CGCGAGCGCGTCGCCGTCCGAGAAGAAGATCCTCGTCGCCTACCAGGGCGTTCCCGGCGCGTACAGCGAGGCCGCGGCGCTGGAGGCGTACCCGACGTGCGAGCCGCGGCCGTGCGAGCAGTTCGAGGACGCGTTCGAGGTGCGCGCGCTCCCCGCTCCGCGCTCCGCGCTCCGCTCGTCCGCGCGCGCGCGTCCGTCGTCGACCGTCCGTCGACGCGACGCGACGCGACGCGACGCGCGCGATCGACGCGGTCCTATCCTCGCGACGCGGACGCGACGCGACTCGGTCGCGCGCGTCCCCCCGCCGCCGCCGCCTCCGCCGTCGCCGCGCTTTCGCCCTCTCCGACGCGCCGTCGCCGTCGATGTCGCCGTCCCACGCGCCCGCGCCCGCGCGGATCCGACGCTGACCCCCGTTCGATCGATCGATCCGTCGCGCGCGCGATCGATCGAGGCGGCGGCGGTGAGACTGCTTCCCATACGACCCCGTTCGCGATGTGAACGCCGTTCCTTAAGGACTTTCCCCGTCGTCACTCTTCACCCGCACTTCCCTTTCAACGTACGTTTGACCGGTAAGACGTTCGACTGACCGATCGCTTCACCCACCACGCTGACCTCCGCGTCGTCGATCGATCGATCGTCGAATCGAATCGAATCGAATCGAATCGAATCGCATCGCATCGAATCGAATCGCATCGAATCGCATCGCATCGCATCGAATCGAATCGCATCGCATCGCATCGAATCAGTCCACGGAGCAGTTCTCGACGGACCGCGCGGTGCTTCCCTTTGAAAACTCCCTCGGCGGGAGCATCCACCGCAACTACGACCTCGTGCTGACGCACCGGCTGCACATCGTCGGCGAGGTGTACTTCAAAGTCCGACACTGTCTCCTCGCGCTGCCGGGGCAGGAGAAGAGCGCGCTGACCAGGTGCGTTCTGCGCGTGTCGCTTTCACCCATCTCCCCTCGGTTTCATCGTCTGATCGCGTGGGTCCCTTTCAACTGACCGATGAACGTGTTTCGTGTGGAACGGCCCTCGCCAGGGCGCTGTCGCACCCGCAGGCGCTCTCGCAGTGCGACGGGTACCTCACGAGACTAGGTGGGTGGGCGCGTCCTAGCAACGTTCGTTCGTTCGTTCGTTCGTTCGTTCGTTGGCGCGGCGCGCGCCGTTCCTCGAGGAGGACGGACTCGACGCACTCTTCCCGTCCCGTCGTTTCTCTCCGCCCGCCCGCCCGCCCGCCCGCCGCCCCGCGGTTTCGATCCCGCCGCCGCGCCGCGCCCGCCAATACGCCCGCGCGTCCGCGCCGCCTCCGTCTGACGATTCGATTCGATTCGTTTCGTTTCGATTCGATCGATCCGATCTTCTCCCTCAGGCGTGGTGAAGGAGGAGTTCGACGACACCGCGGGCGCGGCGGCGCACATCCAACGCGAAGGCCTGTTCGGGCACGCCGCGATCGCGTCGCGTCGCGCGGCGGAGTTGTACGGGATGCACGTGTACGACGAGGACATTCAGGACGACGAGTCCAACGTGACTCGGTTCCTGGCGCTCGCGCGCGAGCCGCTTCCGCCGCGCGAGGGCGTGCCGTACAAGACGTCGATCGTGTGCAGCCTGCGAGAGGGCAGCGGCGCGCTGTTCAAGGCGCTGTCGTGCTTCGCGCTGAGAGACATCAACCTCACGAAGGTGGAGTCGCGGCCGATGCGGTGGAACCCGGTGAGCGGGTCTCGAAAGGATGGCAGCGGCGGGATGCAGTTCATGTACTTGTTCTACGTCGACTTCGACGCGAGCATGGCGGACGAGAACGCGCAGAACGCGCTGAGGCATCTGCAGGAGCAGACGACATTTTTTAGGGTGCTCGGGAGTTACCCCGCGGACGACTCGACGCTGCCCGCGTGACGACGCGAAGGACACGCGACGCGACGCGACGACGGGGACAGGGACGGATGCTATTATTTTATACACTGGTCCCCGTACGACCACGTCGGCGTGGTGAACGCCGATCCTTAAGGACTTTGCCCGGCGCATCTCTCCGTCCACCCCACGGTTTCAATCCCCTACAGTAGAGCGAGGAAGAAGGTTCATCGCCGCGTCATCGTTCGGAGGCGAAGAGCGTTCTCTCTCTCTCGTTCGTCGTTCGACGTCTCGACGCCTTCCCCCCATCCCCCGACGCCGTATTCTCTCACGCGCGCGTTCTGTACAAGTGTAGTGTGGAAGTACTTCCGGAAGTACGAAATCCAACTACGTGTAAACTAGCTATAAGACAGACCTAGCTAGCTAGTAATCCCTGACGGTCTTCTCCTCGCGGCAAAATCCCCGCCCGCGCGCCGCCGCCACCGCGGCGATGGACGCGATCGCGAGCGCCCACCCGACGGCGGAGAACGCCGAGGCGTCCTCCCCGGTCTGGTCGTTCAGCAGGGACGCGCCGACGACGACGTTGGTCGAGCCACCGAGGACGACGACCCATCCGCCGACGACGTGCGCGCGACGCGGCGCGGACGTCTTCGGCGGCGGCGGCGGCGGCTGCGCTTCGCGCGCGAGGAGCTCGCCGCCGCCGCCGCCGCCGTCGTCGCCGTCGTCGTCGTCTCTTGCGTGCTTCTTCTTCTTCTTTTTATCGTTGCGCATCGCGTACGCGAACGCCGCCTGCAGCGCGGGCGCGCACGCGACGATCATCCCCAGCACCCCGTGCGCTTTGACGACGCCGTCCGCGCCCTCCCACGCGAACGGATCGTAGGTTCGACCGGTGAAGATCTCGACGAGACCGGCGCACGCCAGCCCGACGCCGACCGCGTGCGCGGTCACGTGCGCGTAGAGCCACGTCTTGGTTTCGCCGCCGGCCCATGGCATCCACGACGCCTTCTTCGTCAGCGCGATCGCGCTTCCGAGGAAGAAGAACGCGAACGCCGCCGTCATGAGCGCGCCGTGCGTCTCGAGCGCGACGTCCGTGTGGCTGTCTGAGGGCGCGGGCCGTTTCGTTCCGTCGGTCGGTCGAAATGGAACGCGATCAAATCTGACGTCGAAACCGAGGAGGGGAAGGGCCATGCGGAGAGGGGCGGGCGTAAGACGTTTGCGAACGAACGAACGAACGAATGAATGAATGACGAAACGCACGCACCCGCGTTCCCGGTGAGGTAGTTGAGATACACCGTGCCCTTCGAGACGTCGTGCTTGACGTTCGCCTTCGAGGTCGCTCTCGCCCACCCGACGTACCCGAGACGATGCGCGTCGTCGGTCATGACGGCCGAGCGCGTCGTCGCGAACGAGATGATCGTGACCCCGCCGGACTTGGTCACGGACGAGGACGACAGCGCGAGCCCGCCGCTGCTCGGCGTCGACCGTGACGTCATCGCGTACGGCCCGATCGAGCCGCCGCTTCCGTCGGCGTTGATCCACCCCAGCACCGCGTTCGCGGGCGACATGGCGTGCGCCGAGGGGAACGACACGCCCACAATGCCGTCGCTCGTCCCCGCGAGCGCGATCGCGATGTCGCCGTCCGCCACCGAGGCGACCTGCGACGTCGCGTCCGCGGGGCCGAGCGTCCAGTGGAGGTTCATCCCGCTCTCGAGAGCGACCGAGCACGCGTATCCGATGGAGGACGTCGCGCACGCGGCTCCGCCGCCGTCGGCGTCCGCGCCGCGCGCCGCGAGGACGAGGACGAGGACGAGGAGACGGGCGAACATGACGCGCGCGGTCTCGCGGTGCCTCCTTCGGCGTTGTGAACGAGAAGAGCAAAGGTCTACGAAGGTACTTTCGTACCTTCGAAGGTACTTTCGCGTACGAAAGTACATGTAGCCTACTGTACACGTGTAGTTGTAGAACAACCTTTCTCGAAAAGTACTTTCGAAAGTACTTTCGTACCTTCGTACGAAAGTACTTTCGTACGAAAGTACGAAAGTACCTTCGTACAAAGTACTTTCGTACGAAAGTACTTTCGAAAGTACTTTCGTACTTTCGAGAGTACATCACTAGTTGATTCAAAAGCGGCATTGAAAGCAGGAAGTGTTTCGTAGACGTAATCAACGTTCATCGCACCGTCCCCGTACCCGACTTTGTATCCAAAGAAGGTGGGTTTGTTCACCGCACCGAGATCCCCTTCGTCAAGTGTTAATAAGTGGCCTGCGTAGAAAGTACAGTACTTTCGAAAGTACTTTGTACGAAAGTACTTTCGTACTTTCGTACTTTCGTACGAAAGTACTTTCGTACGAAGGTACGAAAGTACTTTCGTACCTTCGTACGAAAGTACAACTACTTTCGTACGAAAGTACAACGTACGTGTACGTGTACACGTACAGTAGGCCCTTGTGTAGATCTGATTACAAAAAGACTGAGCTCTAACCCTACGTGTACACTACTGTAGATCTGATTACAAAAAGACTCAGCTCGACAGTAACGTTGTACGGGCGGTTGTAACGCGGTGTACGTGTACGTGTACGTGTACAGCTGTACACGTAGCACTCACGTAGCCCCTGCCTACAGTACACGTACGTGTACCAGTCGTGTACCTAGAGAACGGATGGCACGTACCATCTCATGCTGAAGATGGACGAGTGAACGCACGTCACGAGAGCGAAGTCTCGAAAGAATCGCGCTCGCGGCTGAGCTCCGAAGAAGGAGAGATGGAATAATATTCATGTTCGTATTTATACCGCTCGCGCTCGGACGGTCGCGTCGCGTTCCCGCCCCGCGCCCTCAGCTCCCTCGCTCGCTCGATCCGATACCCAACGCCCGAAGAACCCCCGTCCAATCTTCCTCCTCCGCCTCCTCCTCCTCCTCCTCCTCGTCGTCGTGTCGTCGCGTCGTCGCGGCGGATCCTGATCAGTGCGCGGCGTGATACGTGCCGACAGCCGGCGGCATCGACTCCGGGGTCTCGAGCACGACGTCGCCGCCGCGCAGCGCGAAAAGCTGCCTCGGCGCAGGCGGAGGGCAATCCTCGAGCAGGTTGATGTCGTGCCTCTGCCCGTTCACGACGACGTACATCGACGTGGGGCAGATGTACTCCATGTTCGGGTGCCACTCGTCCAGGGTGTGTCCGTACGAGTGAATCTGCACGCCGGTGACCACGGCGAAGTCAGCCTTCCCCGGGTCCACGGACGCGCGGACGAGCGCCTCCATGTCCTGCTGGATCACGCTGTCAGCGAGCTTCGTGACTTGGACGAGGTCGAACCCCTCCGCGGGCACCTCGGACGGCTGCACCGCGCGGAGCATCCTGGACTCGAGAAGCGAGTACTCGGGATCCATCGCGTCGCACGACCCGACGGGCCGGATCTGCATCCCGCCCGCCCTCAGCTCCGTGAACTTGGGCTGGAGCTTGATGAGCGCGCCGCACGCGTGCGAGCACCCCGCGCGACCCGCGCGGATGCAGTCTCCCGGGTTGCCCGCGGAGTCGACGGCGATGTGCGGCATGGCGAAGAACACGTACCGTTCCTTCCCCGTCTGCCACTCCGTCGGGGAGTGCGACATGCCCGCGCCCAGGCCCGTGAGACCCGCGGCGGTGAACCCGGCGAGGCCGTCGACGTCCATGGCGTATCCGAACATCTCGTGGATGCCGTTCTTCAGCGGCGCGGTGATCTCGTCGCGGCAAAAGTTCGTGTGCGCGATCGTGTTATCTCCGGTGAATCCGAACTGACGCGGGGCGGGGGCGGCGGGAGGGGGAAGTGGTTCGCGGTTCGCGTCGCTCGGGGGTCAGTCGTCTGCGATCGGCGCGTCGTGCGGATCGCGGCGGGCGACGACGGGGGTCGGCGGGGTTCGATCGAGCGGCATCGAGGGCGAGGGTCGTCGAGGGCGGGCGAGGGATGCGCAGAGCGAGGAACGCGCGCGACGTCGATCGATCGATCGAGTCGATCCGATCCATCTGTCGAGGTTTCGCGCACCTGCGCGAGCTTGTTCTCGACGCGGAAGAGCCAATCGTCCATGCCGATGCTCCCGCGGAAGTGGTGCTGCACGTTCGCGGTGCGCTTGTCGTAGTACGCGTGCCTGCGCGCGCGCTCGTCCGGGAGCGTGTCCAGGCCCGCGTGCTTCATGTACTCGGGGCCGTGGTGCTCGTTGTACGAGTCGTGCTTCGTGCGCGCGTTGTTCTTGAATCCCGCGGTGCGGCCCGAGGCGCGAACGACGACGACGGACGTGCGCGCGCCGCGACGCGTCTTGACGTCCGCGCGGAGGGACGCGACGGAACCGAATGCGGCGCTCATGGAGATGGCCATTGTCGTTGAGAGATCGGCGGTGCGTGTGATGCGTGACGCGTCGCGTGGTGTGAGGGTTCCGCGCGGATCCTGCGCTCAGGTTTTACCCAGCTCCGTGATGACTCGGCAGATGGGGATAAGGCTCTCAGCAGTTGCCATTTTCCGAATAGACCAGTTGCGCTAACTCGATCAGACTAAAAAACCATAGAAGCCGAAACGCCGCGACGTATCCGAGAATGGTGACAGATGACTCGGGATCCAAGAACTGACCTGCGCTACTCGTACACTGTAAGTTGAACTTAGTGTACAGTACACGTAGTCACGTACAGTACACGTTACTGTACGTGTACGTGTACGCGCTACGATTTTGGCAAAAAAAAAATCGATACTCGTACCCTAATAACACTATCGGCGGCGCTTCCGAGATGCCGTCGTCGTCGTCGTCGTCGTCGTCGTCGTCGCTCGCCGCGATGATCCTCGCGCTGTTCCTCCTCCTCGCGCCGGCGTCCTCCGCGAGCGCGTCCGCGGCGTCGCCGGACCCGCTCCTCCTCCCGCAAGCCAACGCCGCGGACCTCGTCGCCGGGCGAGCGGACCGCGTCGTCGCGGCCGCGTTCGTCGGCGACGACGCCCCCGGCGCGATGCTCGTCCGCGGGGTCCCGGGCTACGCCGCCGCGCGCGTCGAAGCGCTGCGCGTCCTCGCGCGCTGCGCGACCGCGGACGACGCGCCGATGCGCCGCGCCGCGGGCTGGGACGAGACGCACGGCGGCCGCGGCGCGTTCACGCGCGCGACGGTCGCGGCGCGATCGAGCGCGCGGCTGCCGAGCGCGCTGGACGCGCGATGCGGCGACGCGACGATCGACGCGTTGGAGTCGCTGAGACGCGCCGCGGACGCGGCGGCGGCGGCGGCGCTCCCGAGACTGGACGCGGTGCTCGGGTACGACACCGGCGGGTTCTTCCGCGCGGCCGTGGACTCGGAGTCGTCGTTGGACCACTTCCACGTGTTCACGGCGAACGACCGGAGCGCCCCCGACGCCGGCGACGAAGAAGAAGCGTCGTTTTTTTCGGCGGCGGCGGCGGCGGCGGCGGCGACCGAGGAAGACGCCTCCGCCGCGGATCCGCCGCCCCCTGAGGATCCGAGCGCGCCGCCCGGACTCAGGGGGAAAGGCGAGCACACGGACGTGGGGATCGCGATCGTGATGACCCCCGCGCTGATGGTCTCTCCTGAACTCGAACTCGAAAGCGAGAGCGAGAGCGACGCGAGAGGCGCCCGCGGGTTGAAAATCGGCGGTCGCTCGCCCGAGCTCCCCCCCGACGCGATCGTCGTCATGCTCGGCGAGGCTGCGCGCGCGTGGCTGCCGTTGCCGCCGCCGGGGGGCGAGGACGCGTCGTCGCCGTCGAATTCGCCGCTCGCCGTGCCGACGCACGAGATGTCTCTAGACGGCGGCGCCGCGTCTTCGCCCGGGACGTCGCGCGCGTGGTTCGGGCGGATGATCCTCCCGCCCCCGGACGCGAAGCACCCGACGGCGACGAGCGGCGACGGCGCGCCGCTGACGTTCGGGGAGTGGCACGAGAACGCCGCGGAAGCCTTCGGCGGCGGCGGCGGCGACGACGACGACGACGACGGGAGAGGCGTCTTGGCCGCCGCCGCGTGCGCGCCGCTTCCCCACCACGACGACGGCGCGCTGACGTCCATCACGCGCCGCAGAAGACTCCAGGACGACAGCGGGTGCGCGGCCGGCAAGGTGTACTGCTGGTTGACGTGCGTCGACGAGCCCGCGGGCGGGTGCGCGTCCCCGGAGGTGGCCAAGTGCGTCAGCGGCGCCGGCCTCGTGTGGCCGGACCAGACCGGGGAGGGCCACTGCTACGACTGCAAGACCCAGTGCGTCGCCTCGGACTACGGGAAGGGGAACGACGGGGGTGGGTCCGGGGAGATCTGCAACTCCAAGATCGCGGGCACGTCCATGTACATGGACGGCTTTCTCGGGTGGGGGAATGAGGACGGCCCGTGCGTCATCTTTCTCGAGAAAAATCTCAAGCTGTCCACCGTCGGCGAGCTCTTCGCAGCCTTCTTCGTCACGATCGCGATCGGCGTCGCCGTGGAGGCGCTCGCGGCGGCGCGGCGCAAGCGCCAGAAGACCGCGAAGAGCGCTCTCGAGAGGGCGAAAGCGAAAGCGGAACGCTGGGGAGAGAGCGGCGACGCCGCGGCGCGACGCGCGGCGGCGTCCGTCAAGGCGCAGTCGCTCGCGATGTACGCGGTTCAAGTCACGTGCGGATACCTCCTCATGTTGATCAGCATGACGTACCACGCGGTGCTGTTCGCGGGCGTCGTCCTCGGCCTCATCTTGGGCCACGCGCTGTTTAACCTGAGCGTCCCGGTCGGGGCCGCGACCGGCGGCGCGAGCGCGTGCTGCGCGCACGTCGGGACCGTCCCCGGCGGCAGCGACGGCGGCGACGGCGCCGCCGAGGACGCGCCGAGCGAACGCGGCAGCGACGGCGGCGGCAGCGACGGCTGCGGCGACGCGATGACTCGGCCGATGATGCGCGGTTTCCCGGGGAGCGCGGAGTATCCCACGAGCGTGGTGGACATCACGCCCGTCGTCGCGTCCGCGTCGCCCGCGGTCGCGTCGCTGCCGCCGCTTCCGGGTCCACGGCGCTCGCCGAAGAACCCCTTTCGATGAGCTCATACGAGCGACGGAGGGGAAGAAACGTAAACGAACGTAAACGAACCGAAGAAGTGACACGACACGGTGTTACTCGCGACCGAGTCGCGACCAACCAAGAAGTCTATCCGATACCCACAGCGCGTTGTATTTTAAAGGTATAACGTCTCACTACGCGCGCGCGCGCTACGCTCGCGCGTCAATAGTCACGACCAGTCTCGACCGACACCGAGCGCCTACAGTAGCCCTACATACGTAGTTACGTGACTGTTACGTGATGTACCTTCGTGGGTACCTTCGTACATATCTGTACACGTACACGTACTGTACAGTGTGTGTTTTAAACTTATTTTCATTTCCCCCAATTATCACTGTTTGCAGAACTGAAGTGGCCAAAATCGAAATCGGATTTGAGAAAAAGCCCAAAATCCCTTTTCACCGTCCCTTCCAGATCTGTAGACGACATCGTGCTCGCGCCCCCCCCGCGCGGGCCATGGGCGACTTTTCGACCGCGGCGCGAGCACATACCAGTCCAGAGATCGTTCCCGACTCGGCGTGGGGCGTGTCGCGATCAGGGCGGAGCGAATCGAGCGCGCGCGGGTGCGGAAAGGAGCCGGAAATCGATTTCGCGATCGACCGAAAATCCCTTCCCGTTCACGCGGGATGAAAATCGGTTTCAATTTTTGGCCACTTCAGTTCTGCAAACAGTGATATCGCCTATTTTTTGGTGTCTAGCAGACTGGAGCGAAGCCCCTGTATAGACACAAGCTGTACGAACGTACACGTACTGTACTGCTATCAAACTTGACTGAACTTTTACTGAACTTTTTTGCCTCGCCGATTTCCCGTGTTTCCCCCGCAAATTAGGTATCTTCCTCACTTTTCACCGCCCCCGCCGTCCCCAGGCACGATGCCCCCGCCGAACGAGATGAATGTCTTCCAAAACTGGAGGAACACCCCACGGGCCGCGTCAAAAAGATACCGCTTGTTTCTGACCTTGTTTTTGACGTTGTTTGCGATCGCGCCCACGAATGCCTCTATGACCTGGACCGAGGACACGTCCGTGGGAGCTTCCGAAACCTGGCGTGGCATCACCTCCTCGAGCGACGGCACCAAGCTCGCCGCGGTTGTCTATAACGGAAACATATGGACCTCCACTGATTCTGGAGCGACCTGGACGTCCGTGGGAGCTACGCAAACCTGGGATTTCATCACCTCCTCGAGCGACGGCACCAAGCTCGCCGCGACTGTCAAAAGCGGAAAGATATGGACCTCCACTGATTCTGGAGCAACGTGGACCTCTCGGGCAACTACGCAAAACTGGCATGGCATCACCTCCTCGAGCGACGGCACCAAGCTCGCCGCGGTTGTCTATAACGGAAACATATGGGCCTCCACTAATTCTGGAGCAACATGGACCTCTCGGGCAACTACGAAAGCCTGGAGTTCCATCACCTCCTCGAGCGACGGCACCAAGCTCGCCGCGGTTGTCGATGGCGGAAAGATATGGACCTCCACTGATTCTGGAGCAACATGGACCTCTCGGGCAACTACGAAAGCCTGGAGTTCCATCACCTCCTCGAGCGACGGCACCAAGCTCGCCGCGGTTGTCGATGGCGGAAAGATATGGACCTCCACTGATTCTGGAGCGACCTGGACCGAGGACACGTCCACGGGAGCTACGAAAAGCTGGTATGACATCACCTCCTCGAGCGACGGCACCAAGCTCGCCGCGGTTGTCGATGGCGGAAAGATATGGACCTCCACTGATTCTGGAGCGACCTGGACCGAGGACACGTCCACGGGAGCTACGAAACGCTGGTGGGCCATCACCTCCTCGTGCGACGGCACCAAGCTCGCCGCGGTTGTCTATAACGGAAAGATATGGACCTCCGGTTCTGATGGCACGGATTCGTGCTCGTCAACATCATCGGGGCTTACATCTGTTGTGATCGCAGCTGTTGTTGTCGTCGTTGGCGTCGCTGGCGGCGTCGCTGGCGCCGTGGCCCTTACCAAGTCCAAAACTGCGGCTGCGTTAAGCATCAATTCGGTGTGAAAATCAGTCATAAAAGGGGTTGCGTTTTCACGAGGTTTGCCCCCATACATAAGCAGTATGAAGGCCGTTTTAGCGTCTTTGCGGGTCATTCCCGTCTCTGCGAGACAGGCTTCACGCTCGGCGACATACCTCCCTAGGTGAGGGCAGGTGAGACCTTCCCTCTCAAAGAGTTGGCTGAGGATTGTGGGGTGGGCATTCACCATATCCACATCGGTGTAGGTGTCGTGCGAGAGGGCTTTTCGCACATCTCCCTTAAGGTTCTGGAGGGACACCGCACCCCGCTTGGGGTACAGCCGACCCGCCTGTTCGCCGTCCTTGGAGAGACAGAAATGTATCTCGTGCTGGTTCGTATTCTTCAAGCGTCGCTTCATCTTCTTCAGTTCCGTGAGCGTGTCGTGGTCGGTCTTCTTAGCCTTCAAGATGCGGTTCAGGTTCTTCGTGTTGATAATTTCTCGGCAGGTGTAGGTCGTCGTCATTTTTGTATTTATATCGCCTAACCTTTAATAAGCTCACTTACTGTACGTGTACGTGTACGTGTACACGTAGGTGTGAAAATTAAGCTAGACCACCGGAAATTTATTTAGTGAGTATTTTATTGAGTATAAATTCGTGTACTGTATGTATCCAAAAAGTGTAAATAAATGAGTATTTGATGAATAAGTTGTAACTTACCGCCAAAAAAAAAGGTACCTTCTAAATAAATAAGTAGGGCCTACTCAAAAAAATTCTTCTATACACCCGAGAATGAGGCTGATGAGATTGTGTGTTTAAAGGAGATTTAACTCGGATTTGCTTTCAAAATAGGTGCTCCCCTTTCAAGTGAATTTAAGAGAGTATGTACTATGTAGCAATGTACTTTCGTACTTTCGTACGAAAGTACTACACATACGTTGTGCACGTACAGTATGGCATACTGTAACGCGTTGTACGTGTACGTACACGTACGTGTACGTTGTTTATTAAGCAGCCTTTCCGGCCAAATGTGACGTATTCGGGCACGGCTGTACAGTACACGTACACTACACGTACACAGGACACGTACACTACGTGTAGTACTTCCCGGCCGATGTTGAAACCACGCGCGGCGAAGTTCGCGTTCGACGAACGAACGCTCGTCTCGCGGGCAGAGTAGATCCGACGGCGCCTCCCCCGCGCGCTCGTCCTCGGTCCGAGAACAGAAGACGCGTCGCGCGCGGATTCGATCACGTACGCTCGCGTCGCCTTCGCCTTCGCCGCGCGGCGGATCGCGTCGACCGCCACGTCGATCCCGACCGCGCGTCTCGTCTCGCCGTCGCGCGCGCAAAGTCGCGTCCGCCTCGCGCGCGTGCGCGTCGACGCGCGTCCGCCGCCGCTCCCCCGCGCCGCGCGGCTCGTCTCCTCCGCCTCTTTGACGATGCCCCCGCGCGACGCGAGCGGCGACCCCGCGGGCGACGACCACGGCGACGCGACGCCGCCGCCGCCCGAGGACGTCTTCCTCGAGGACCTGCGAAGCGAGCGGTCGATGCGTTGGGTCGAATCGGAGAACGCGCGCGCGCTGCGCGCGATCGTCGGCCCCGACCGCGCGATCGAGGACGACCCGATGTTCGCCGCGCTGAGGGCCATCTACGACGACAAGAAGAAGATCCCGAACGTCCGCGCGCGCGGCGACCTCGTATATAACTTTTGGCAAGATCAAGACCACCTCAAAGGGATCTGGCGACGCACCACCATGACGGAGTTCGCGAAGGAGGACCCCGCGTGGGAGACCGTGCTCGACGTGGACGCGCTCGCAGAGAAAGAGGGCCGGTCTTGGGTGTGGAAAGGGCCGTCGTTCTTGGACTACGGCCCGGGGCAAGAGCGACGCGTCGACCGCTGCGTCGTGAAGCTCAGGTGCGCGCCGCGCGCGCGTTTACGTTTTCTGCTTTCCAGTACAACCGCAACCCCTCGGTTCTATCGGTTTCAACTTTTTGTAGTGTACAGTACTGTAGCCCTACAGGGCACGTACATTTGATCGCGTCACCGCCTTTCAACTGACCGATACCGTACGTACACTTTTTTCGTAACAACGAACGCGTCAGCGACGGCGGCGGCGACGCGTGCGTCACGCGAGAGTTCGACGTCGTCGAGAAGCGTTTCGTCTCTCCCGAGGTGCGCGCGCGGGTGGACGCGCGGCGGGCGGGCGCGAACCTCGACCACCGCGCGACGCGCCGCCCACGTCGCGTCGTCTAACTAGCATCCCTCCGACCGCGCTCGCGATCTCGTCGCGAATCGAATCGATTCGAATCGAATCAACCCGACCAACCAAACCGACCGACCGATCGTTCGTTCGTTCCCTCTCGCGGCCGCAGGACGAAGACGCGTTCGTCTTACCCGAGGGAAAGAACAACTTCTGCTGGGTCGACCGCGACGTCGCGTGGGTCGGCGTCGACCGCGGGGAAGGGACGGTGTCCCCGAGCGGCTACCCGCTCACGATCGCAGAGTGGCGGCGAGGGACGAAGCTCGAAGACGCGAGGGAGATTTGGCGCGGCGAACCGAAAGACGTCGTCGCCGCGGGGATGGCGTACTGGGACAAGGGGACGCGGTATAAGGCGCGCGCCGTCGCCGTTTTGTTTCTGTCTCTGTTTCTGTTACTGTTTCTGTTTCTGTATCTCTCTCGCGCCCGTCCCCGCGCGCGTTTCTCTCCACCCGCCGCTCGGTCCCGACGGATCCCGACGCGCCTCGACGCGCCTCGACGCCTCGTGACTGACTCGCGTTCGACTGACGCCTCTCGACTCCGCGCCCGCGAAGATCTGGTACCGCGCGGCGACGTTCTACGACACCGTGCACTACGCGGAGGACGACGTCACCGGGGAGATGGTGAAGGTGGACGTTCCGAGCGATTTTTCCTTCAGCACGTTCGCGGACCACGTCGTGATTCACTGCAAGTCGCGCTGGGGACCGGGCGGATCGCTTCCGGAGGGCGTGTCGTACGCGAGCGGCACCGTCCTCGCGCATCCCGCGGCGGCGTTCGTGCGAGGCGAACGCGACGCGTTCACGGTGCTGTACGCGCCCGCGAACGACCGATGCGCGTACGGCAGGTGCTCGGAGACGAGAGACTACCTTCTCGTGCACGCGCTCGAGAACATGGTCACGAAGGTGTACGTGTTTGAATACAAACGCGCCGCGAACGCCGCGAAGGGAGAGGGAGGAGAGACCGCGTCGTCGCGATTCTCGCTCGTGAAGGAATACGTCGCCCCGGACTGCCAGTCCTTCAGCGCGTCCGGGGTGGACTCGAACTTCACGAACGACCTCTTCGTCACGACGGACGGGTTCCTCACCCCGGTGACGCTCTCTCTCGCCTCGGCGCCGAACCTGGAAGACGCGACGCCGTTGAAGAAGAACACGTCGCACTTCGACGCGTCCGGGATGTCCGTCGAGCTCTCGCACGCGACGAGCGACGACGGCACGGAGGTGCCGTACTTTCTCGTCCGCGGCGCCGGGACCGTCGCGGGGACGCCCGCGCCCACGGTGATGTACGGCTACGGCGGATTCGAGATTCCCATGCTCCCCGGATACGGTGCCACGACGGGATACGCGTTGTTATCGAACGGCTTCAACTACGTCTTGACCTGCATCCGCGGCGGCGGCGAATTCGGCCCGGAGTGGCACCGCGCGGCGAAGAAGTCCAAACGCTGGCGCGCGTTCGAGGACTTTTCCTCCGTCGCGAAGGACCTGTGCCAGAGAAACGTGACGACGGCGAACGCGCTCGCGTGCGTCGGCGGCAGCAACGGCGGTTTACTCGCCGGCGCGATGACGACGTTTTACCCGCATCTCTTCGGCGCGGTCGTCTCGCAGTGCCCGCTGTTGGACATGGAACGCTACGTGCTGCTCACGTCCGGGCCGTCGTGGATCGACGAGTACGGCGACCCGAACGACGCGGCGGAGCGCGAGTTTCTCCTCGAGTACTCGCCCTACCACAACCTCGAGAAGGGCGTCGAGGACGCGATTCGCAAGCGAGGCGCGCGCGAGGCGGACGCCAACGTCGGCGAGCATCTCCCCGCGACGCTCTTCACGACGTCCACCGCGGACGACCGCGTGCACCCGTCGCACGCGAGACGCTTCGTGCACAAGTGCAGCGCGTTGGGGATCGGGAAGGACGTGTTGTACCACGAGATGATAGAAGGCGGGCACGCGGGGGCAGCGGACAACGCCGCGAGGGCGGCGGTGAAGACGCTCGAGAATAGGTTCTTGATCGACACGCTTCGACGCGGGACGCGATCGGTGGAGTGAGGCGGCGAGAGGGGCGGCGGCGGCGGGGGGTGGCGGGGGACGAGAAGAAAACGAACCCGAGTTTTTTTGACGCGCGCGCGCGACGGACGAACGAGTGAGTCGGACGCGCACGTTTGGTTTGGCCCGCGCGACGACCGACTGGAGGTGTAACGATGAATGGTGAACGCGTCACGAACGATCCGCTACGCGCGCGCGCCGAGATTCAGCGCCTCGTCCACGGCGACGGGGTCTAACCCCGCGCCCGTGGCGGCGGCGCGCAACGTCTCCGCGTGCGCCGTCGTCACGACGCCCTCGCGCGCGAAGCGTTTCAGGTGTTCCGTCGCGCGCTCGCGATGCGACGCGCTCAGCTGATGTGGGGGGAACGAAACGAAACGAAAAGAAACGAAACGAAACGAAACGCGCGGGTCGGGTCAGTTATCAGTCAGTCACGCGTCTCGCCGGCGGACCGGACCGGACCGGCGTCGAGAGGAAAGAGAGAGCGACGGTTTCGGCGAAGAGAAACCGAAAGAAAACCCGCGGGGATCGCGAGGAGAGAACAGAACGTCCTCGAGCGACGACGCGCGGGAAGTGGTCTCGTCTCGCACCGTGACGCCGTCCATCCTGGCCACGCCCCACACGCCGTGCACGAGCGCCTGCGGCTCCAGAGCCTCTGCGCCGCCCGCGCCGCCGTCGCAATCGCCGTCGCTGTCGCCGTCGTCGTCGCACAAGAGACGTTCCACGAGCGCGTTCGCGTCGCCCGGTCGCGGCGTCACCTCGAGCTTTCCGCACGCCCACAGGACGCCCGCGGCGCCGGCTCTCCCGATGCCGCCGCCGCGACTTCTCTTCGTCGTCGTCTTCTTCCCCGGTCTCTTCTTGCCCCCGTCCCCGCGAGCGACGGTCTCGTCCCCCCCGCGACCCCGCGCGGCGGCGGCGGCGGCGGCGGCGCCGCCGGTCCCGGTCCCCGTCTGATCCGCCGCGCGTCTCGCCGCCTCCGCGAGGAGCGTCTGAAACGCCCCGCCGTTCGCGTCCGCGGCGTTTCCCTTCACGCCCACCGCCTTCGGGGTCGGGCGAAGCGATGCGCGGGGCGGGCGAACGCGTCGGTCAGTCGCGCGTCTCGCCGGTCGAGACGTTCAACGAGCGTCGAGTTGAAAGTAAAAAAAAACGCCGGGCTGGGCGGGAGACGAGACGAGACGAGACGAGAAGCGAAGCGAGAGCGAGAGCGCGAGCGAGAGCGCGAGCGACAGCGAGAGCGACAGCGAGAGCGCGAGCGAGAGCGCGAGCGAGAGCGCGAGCGAGAACGCGAGCGACAGCGCGAGCGACAGCGAGAGCGACAGCGCGAGCGAGGCCGGTTCGGCGTCTCACCCAGAGCGTCCGCGTCAGCGCGACGTCGTCCAGCCCCTCCGCGTCCGACGCCGCGCGGTCGATGATGACCCGCACCACCCTCGGCGGCAGCGTCGCGTCCAACATCGCGAGGCTCCACGCGAGGTTCGCGCACTGATACGGCGTGTACTCGAGCGCGCGCTTCACGGCGACGGGCGCGAGCGACGCGACGAGCCCCTCGCTCCCCGGGCACCCTCCGACGCACCCGCGATGCCACCGCGCGTACGCCCAGAGCAGGTTCACGACGTCGGGCGGGCGGAAGCTCGCGGCGACCTCGCCCGCGCGATCGCCGACGGCGGCGAGCAGGCGGCTCCTGGGCTCGTGGCCGAGCACCGCCAGCGCCCACATCACCGTGGACAGGTGCCTCGGCTCCGCGTCCGCGCACTGGTCCACCGCGCGCGACGCCAGCGTGGACACCGTCGCGTCCGACGGTCGCAGCCTCAACCGCGCGAACGCCCAGAGCGTGTTGGAGATGGACACGATCTCCATCTCGTGCGCGCTCCGCTCGACCATCGCGAGCAGCGCGCGAAACCGTTCGTCGTGCGCGACGGCGGCGACGTCCGGTCTCGGCGACCCCGCCGCCGCGGGCGTCGTGCACAGCCGCGCCACTCGGTGCAACGCCGTGCTGCAGTTGACCTTGTTGAACACGTCCCCGAGCTCCTCGACGGCGAGGAGCACGTCCTCGACGTCGCTCGCGTCCATGAGGTCGCCCTGAAGATCCTTCGCGCGGTCCAACGCGCGAACGCTCATCGCCGCCGCCGCTCGGAGCTCGCTCGAGAGTTGAAGCTTGTGATACGCCCACTTGCGGTTCTCGAGTCCGCCGCGATCTAGCGCGCCGTGCGTCGCCTCCACCGCGGACACAATCTGCGACGACGACGCGAGAGGGGACGGGGAGGGTGGGCGGGGCGGGGCGGGGCGGGGCCGTCGGTCGGTCGAAAGGTTGGGCGCGGGGGGGAGAGGGGGGGAGGGGGCGTCGCGATTCGATCGAGAGAACCGAACAAAGTCCTTAAGGAACGGCGTTCACCACGCCAACGCGGTCGTATGGGGACCGGTGTGAGCGCGCGTCGAAACCGGGGAGACCGAGGGGAAACGCGACGCGACGCGACGCGACGCTCGGGCGCGCGGCGCGGCGCGAGAGCGACCAGACCAGACCAGACCAGACCAGACCGCCTCGGAGGGGAGGACGTCCGAGGGAGGGCGGGCGGGAGGTCGTCGCGTCGCGTCGCGTCGCGTCGAGCGCGCGGCGGGGGGGAGGGGGTGGGGGCGACGACGGGACGCGCCTCGGCGAAGCGCGCGTCCGCGATGACGAACGCCGCCTCTTTCCTTCGCACGCGTCCCGCGCGCGACGTCAGCGCGCGCGCGATTCGATACAGCGCGGTCACCGCGTTGATCGCGCTGAAGTCGCGCGCGCTCTCGCCCGCGACGGCCAGCACCGCGTTCGCGTCCTCGCAGGACAGGATGCGCTCTTGGATGGCGCGCTGCGCGTTCTTCGCCGCGCGCGCGCGGCCTCTGAACACGGAGGTCTGCGACGCGATCGATTCGGGGAGATTCGGGGCGGGGGAAGAGAGGGCGGGTCGCGACGGGCGTCGTCAGCGCGCGCGGGCGAGGGACGCGCGACTCGACTCGCGGCGAGCGGGCCGGGCGGCGGAGGATGGAAAAAGCGCCCGCCGACCCCGCCGACGATTTGCGCGCGCGCTCGCGCGCGAGCGAACGAATTCCCGACCGCGACGCGACGCGCGCGGCGACGGCGACGGCGATGACGCACCTCGTCTTCGCGGCTGCCTTTCTCCCCGCCCGCGATCGCGTTCGCGGCGACGCGGACGGTGACCGCCGCGCGTTCTCGGCCGTCCGCGCGCGACGTCGCGAGCGGACGATTGCCGCGAAGACGCGGGACGACGGACGTGGCGGCGGCGAGCGCGTCGTCGCGCGCGCGCCTCGTCGAGAGCGCGGCGTGGCGAGGCGCGACGCGTCTGATGTCCCGGGGGCTCCACGCAAACGCCCCCGCGCGCGTCGTCGTCGCCATTATGAGAAGTAGCGCCGGCGTCGCTCGCGCGCGCCGCGTGTGCGCGTCCGCGTCGTCGTCGCCGATTCTCCTCGGCGAGAGGACTTTTCGCGAGGCGGCCGCCGGAAGTACCGTACTTCCGTACCTACTACACGTACAGGTAGTGTAGAAAGTACGAAGAATATCTATCTTCGTACGAAGGTACGAAAGTACTTTCGTACGAAAGTAGTTGTACTTTCGTAGGGCTACAACGTTGTACTTTCGAAAGTACTTTCGTACTTTCGTATCTATTTTCGAAAGTACGAGTACTTTCGTACAACGTTGTACTTTCGTACTTCGTACTAAAGTACGAAAGTACTTTCGTATCTATTTTCGTAGTTGTACAACGTGTCTTGCGCCGCGCGCTCTCGCTCGACCATTCGCCGTCGCGCCGGCGGCTCAAAAGCGCGGCGACGCGTCGTCGGCATCGTCCTCGCGCCTCGGCGACGTCCGCCTCCGACGCGGCGTCCCGACGGATGTCCCGACCGCGGAGACGGCGACGTCCTCCCCGGGGTGCACGCGCACGCGTCCGAGGCCGATATACCTCATGAAACCCTCGACCACCGGACCCGGACCCGGACCCCCGGACGCGGGCGCGGGCACGTCGGTCGTCTCCTCCGCGACCTCCTCCTCCTCCTCCTTCGCGTCCGCGGCGATATCCTCCGCGTTCGCGGCGTCCACGTCGATCCCTAGATCGCTCGCCGCGGGATCGAGAGTCCCGCCCGCTGGCGCGGTGGCCCCGGAGGAGGCGGCGGCGGCGACTTTCCTTCGCGCCAGTCGTCCGCGTTGCACCGCTTGTATCTTCACCGCCGCCGCCTCTCGCTTCTCCGACAACTGCTGTTGCTGCGCCAAGAGCTGCGCGCGAAGGGCTTTCATCTCAAGTTTGAACGAAGGCTCCGTCGTCGCTTTGTTCGCGTCGATCGGGACGGGATCATCGCCGTCCCCGTCCGGAGGCGCGATGCCTTCGAAATCGTCCGCGCCGCCGCCCGGGGCGACTTTGCCGCCCTTCTTGGTCCTGACTTTCCCCAGTATCCGAGAGATTTGTCTCCGCACGCGCACGTTCTCGGCGGCGTAGAGCTCCTTCCCGCCTTGTATCATCGCGAGCACCAGCGCTCCGAAGATGATCAAGATGAACGCGAGTCCGCTCCAGCCGTTGTAATCGCGCACGAACAACGCGTACAACACGATCCAAATCGAGAGCAGGACGTAAAACTGCAGGCGGTCTTTGTGAATGTCCACGTACGGCTGGAAGTACGAGTGCGACGCGATGGATAACGTCGAGATCGCGACCGCGTACGGGAGCTGAAACCCGGGAAATATCATCTTGACGATCGTCACGAAAGACGTCTGAATGACCTTTCGCGAGATCTCCACGGTTTGCCAGTAATAAAACTGGTCCTCGTACGCGTCGTAGAACATCCCGAACACGCCGTCCACCGCGGGGGTGGCTAGACGGTTTTCCGGAACCATTTCTGCGCTCCCGCCGCCGTCGTTCGTGGACTTCCGCATGATGGGCTCCACGAGGACAGGCCTCGCCGACGCTTCGAATATCGACAACAACGACTTCTTCAGCGGTCGAATTTGATTCCGTCCGTGCGCGTCCTTCTCGATCCGTGACGCCTTGACGAACACCATCCCGGCCGCCGCGCGTTCTTTCCTCGCCGCGGCGTAGTGAAACATCTCAAAAAACCCGCCGTGTTCTCTAAGGGATATCGCGATATCCGTCGAGTCGCCTTGCCCGTCCAGAATGCGGACTTTGATCGAGTTCTTGAACGTGTACAGGCTGTACGCGATGAAAATCGGAAACCCAAACACGAAACACGCGATCATCGCGAACACAAAGATCAAGTTTCGGTTGTATTCGGGCGTGAAGCACTCCACGGTCATGTCCATGTTCAGCCAATGTCGCGGCGACGCGTCCGGCGGTCCGTGAACTTCGACGCAATCGAACGCCTTGAAGAGCACTGTCGCCGTGGACGGGTGAATAAACGAGATCACGAACCCGAACACCGCGTACAGCGTGAGCTGAAACGATTGCATCTCCGTGAAGCAGTCGTCCTCGGCGTCCGCCTTCTCGTCGTCCGACGCGCCGATCTCGATCAGGTGTTTACGCACTCTCCTGATCTTAAGCTTGCACTTGATCGAACTGTACTTCGACGCGATGGAGACCCCCAGCAAGAGCAGAATCGGGAATAACATCGTCACGTACATGTACCACCAGTACGTAAGGTCGCATACGTGCATTCATCAAAGCCAGGTGAGTCATCGACAAATATACGTTTGTGTCATGGATGACGAGAACGTCCGTGTCAGAGCGTCTGTGTCATTCGATATGTGAAGAAACCGACGGAAGAGTGGCTCCAGGCATGCCCAAGGGTTTCAAGCTGCACGACCTCGACATGAGCCCGAGCGTTCCCAAACTCATCGCGATGAAGAGCCCCCCGGTGGATTGGGTGCAAGGCCGCGCCGATCGTCGATCGTCGAACGCGAAGGCGAAGGCGCACGCGAAGGCCGAGCAGGCGCCAGATTGAGAGAGAAAAGAGAGCTGTAGAAGAACAACACACGACACACCGCGACAGCGTCGCGATATCGTCCGACGGAACAGACTGACTGGTACTGTATTGTAATGGAACGAACGAATACACAGGGGATGAAAGAGGGGAAACAGGCGGGAGAACCAGATAGGCCCCACCAGTACCCGAACATCGACGACCCGTCGCCATCCGTGGACGTCTCGGTGTACGAAAACTCGTCGACCATGCACTTGAACGACACCAACGCCACGATGTCGACGTTGAGGTAACTCAGTCCGTCCGTGACGTGTTTCAGCGCGGAAGGAGACAGACTGTCGTCCGCCATCGTTCCCATCTGACCCATGATTTGAATCCACCCGGTGAGGATGGAGATGACCGCTCTCGATTTTTTCGCGTCGCGGAGCTCTTGCTCCATCTCGATTCGCTTCCGCTCGCGCAGGTCGCGTTCTTCCGGGGTCAAGATCGTGATCTTCGCCGCGGAGTTTTTGTCCCCGCCCGCTCCCGCGCCGGGGAGCTTCTCCTCGTCCACGCCGGTATCGTTGAACGGATCGTTCATGGATTTGATCCCGAACGTCTTGTATAAGAACCGAAAGAGCAACGACAAGATGAACAACCCGAGGACGGAGAAGATCATAAACCGCGCGACGATGCCCGCCCGGGAAGGGCACCGCACGCACTCTCCCGTGCCGGTATCGACGTTGTAGAACCTCGCGCACTTCGAGACGACTCCTCCCCCGCAAAAAACCGCGGTCGAGAGGTACCCTTCCTTACAGAACGTCATCTGCGAGACCGAACCCGGACTCGAGCCGTTTCTCCACGAACCCTGCACCCACGAGCTCTGGGTGCCAACGTGCACGCCCGTCGTGCACGCGTCCGCTCGTCCGCAGGCGTAAATTCGCGAGCTGAAGCATTCGAACGAAGTGCAGTTGGCTGCTCCTGGGGAAACCCAGTAGCCGTCCTCGATCTCGTATTCCGCCCCGCCGAAACATACTAGGCCCTTCTTGAGTAGGCAACTATCGCAGAATTTCGCTTGCGGGTCAAAGTTGATGAAGCCCTTCACGCATATCTTACAAGTTAAGCCACCTTGGTCGTAATAAGAGCCGTATTTGCAAGGCAACGATTCGATAGGTCTATCGACCGTTTCTTTGACGGTATAGGTCGTCGTGTTCGGACTGTAACGTAAGTAGGTTCCCGTGGCGACCAGTGTAAACATGCCCGAGATGCCCAACCAGTAGAGACACCCGCAAATAAAAACACTCAGTCAAACAGATGGAAACGAACGTGTAGACCCTACATATGTAATGAAAATGGAAGAAAGAGACACAAAGGGGAGAGTGGAGGAAGAAGAATAAACCCTTACCATCCCGAGCTTGAGATCGGAAAACACCGCGCTTCCAGGGACCTTCGCCGAGTGGGTCAAGTCGTTGGTTCCGTCGATAAGGGCGATCTCGGAGGCCTTTGACGTGAACACGATTCGAAACTGTTCTCCCGATGTGACCGACCGTTGCCCCTCGCCGTCGATGACGATGACGTCGAACGTGTCGATGATCTCCCCGGGCGGGCTTCTAAAGGGCTTCAAAACTCGATCCAACGCTCGCCTCAGAGTAGCCTTCGAGACGCTACCGGTGTTCGCGATCTCGTTCGCTGACGTCTGACTCATCGCCGCGAGCGTCGAGTTCGCTTGAGCCATGGGGACAGAATCCCATAGCACCATCTCCGTGGCGTATTTTTTCCCGTACATGGCTCTATTCCCCGAGAAGACGCAATTTTGGCAGAGCACCTTTGTCCCATTCCGATTTAGATGACTCCAAAACACGCCGCCTCCGCCGACGTCCGCGGTGTTATCGTCAATCGTCGAATTCACGATCTCCCGAGCGCTGCCGCCCACGATGCCGGACAGGTTAGACGCCGCGCCTGCGATGAGCGCGTTCGTCTCGATCAAGTACGTCATGCTCGCGTCGAGAACGATCGATCCGCTGCCGCTGCCGGAGTTGACGTAGGGCGCGTCGAAATTCGCGCCGCCGCCGCTGTGCCTGGCGTAATTTCTTCGAATTCGCGAGTTCGCGATGTGCGCTCTTCCGAGGCCGCTCACGACGAGTCCACCACCGTTCGTCGCAGTGTTGTTGTCGAGCGCAGCGTTTTCGAGAACGACGTTCCCTTTAGTCACTGTCACGCCGCCGCCGCCTGTCGTGCAACTGTTCAATTTCACCTCCGACCCCCAGCCGAGGAAGACGCCCGCGCCGCTGGAAAAAATGCCTCCGCCTTGCCGAGCTTCGCACTCGTGAATCCGCGTGGACGTCATGCCAGCCGTAGCGTTCACGTCTAATGCGACCCCCCCTCCCAGTGCGTCCGCAGTGCAATTCGTGATGTTCGTGCCGTCGAAGCTCATCATTGAATTCGACTCTCCGTACGCCGCTCCGCCACTCACCGTCGCTGTGCAGACGTCCACGACGGATTGCGATACGCGAACGTACGCCGCGTCCATCACGGCGATTCCCCCGCCTGACCTCGCGCTGCAGTTTCGAATCGTGGTGTCATGCAATTTTAGCGAAGTCCTCTCCGCGAGCGCGATGCAGCCGCCGGCGCCGTACTTCGCGGTGTTACCTTCCAGTCTGCTTCCCTCGATGTGCGCCACGTACGTCAAGTCGTCCGTTTGGTCCGCGTCGAACGCGCACGACGTATCAACGCTGACTGGATTCTCATCACCAGCGGTCGGTGTCGTGACGGCGTAGTAATACGGGTAGAAGAAAATGCCGCCGCCGTGAGCGGGTTCGACGTCGGATTGCTGCTGACACACGTTATCGGTGATCACCGCGTTCACCATCCTGAACGGTTTCCTGTCCTTCAAGAGGTAGCTCGCCGGCACCATTTCATCACCGGGAACGCGAGCATACACCACTCCGCCGTTGTCATACGGTCGTGTGTACTCGTATTCATTCACCGATCGGCGTGGAACTCGATACTGCACGTAAGCGCCGGCGGCGGCGCTCATCGCCTTGTTGTCGTTGATGACCACGTCGTGCAACTCCATGACGCCCGCCTCCACGAGGTCTACCATGAATGCGCCGCCTCGAAATGCATCGTTAGTCTTGAACGTGACGTTCCCGACGCGTGCGAAGGAGCCGCCTTCGGAAGCTTGCAGAAAGACGGCGCCTCCTCTGTCGAGAGCGGTGTTTTCCGTGAAGGTGCTGTTGTGGATCGCGATCGAGGAAAACGCCGCAAGGATCGCGCCGCCATCCTTCGCGGAATTGTTGACGAACGTGCTACCGCTGATGTCATACGCCGTGGGCACAGCCGTTATGTACTCTTGCGGTTTGATGGAATCCGTGGTGGTCGTAAGAGCCAACGCCCCTCCACCTCCCTCCCACGCTTCGTTCCCATTAAACGTGACGTTCAACAAGGTCAAGCCAGCGCCCGATCCCATCGCAAAGATCGCCCCACCCATGGCTGCTGTACAACCGGTCATCCTCGAGTCGCGCATCATGACGTAAGAGGATTCTCTCAACAACATCGCCCCACCTCTATCTGTGGCTTCGCAATCGATGAAATCTGAATCCATGAACTGCACGTTCATCGCCGGGTCAGTCATTCTCATGTCTTGCCCTCCCCCATTAAAGGCGGCCCCATACAGGCCGTTGCACTCGGTAAATTTGCAGCGTTGGAACGCCACGAAGGCACTATCTACAGAAACGGCTCTATCCGCCTCCTCAAAGGTGCAGTCACGGAACGTCGCCACCATGCCTTTCTCAATTGCCACGGTCGATCTGGTGAAAGTGCAATCCTGGAAGTGCGCGATAACCGGAGGTAAGCGTGTCCATGATCCGCCCGCCCATTGTATACTACCACTCATTCCCAGCGATTGACCGCCTGTAAACGTCGAGTCGGACACCTCCAAGGTCGTCGCAAACTTGTGGTAATATCCCTTCTGCATGTAGATCTCGCGATCGCCATCACCCCCGCTCATCACAAAGTGCGCATACTGCCCTAAATCATCACATTCAAACACGGAGTTCTCGACGAAGAGCACGCTCCCCGTGACCATGTTCATGACGACACATCTGGAAGTGACGTTTTCCAGCTTCACGGTCCAGCCTTCATACATTTCTATGCCGATCGCTTGATAACTGTCGCTATCGTCGCTTCCTGATGGGAGATTTCGCTCGAGCGTGAGGTCCTTCAGCCATAACGCGTATTTACCGGTCGTGTAATCTAGGTCTCTAGGGTCGAACGTTTCGTAGTCATCGAACGCCGCGTACCCTGAAGCGCAGTGATTATCATTTTTATTCACACCGTTAACCTGTGGGAAACATAAAGGATCTTCGGACCACATCCTCGAGGCGTTGTTGAAGACGAGAGGGGCGTAAGTAGGGTCCTCATCCCGCGCTGGATAATCGTACGTCTTCTCGTTGTCCGCCACCCGGGATGATAAATTGGGATGAATACCTGTTGCATTCCATTCGCTGGCTAACCACTGAACATAACCGCCCTCAGCACCATGTGAATTATACTCCGAGCGGTTATAATCCGAGTGTATTATTTTGTCGTCATCGGGGGCTTTCGTATCACCGGGTTTTGCGTAAGTCGTGATGTTGCTCTTCAAAAAGAAGATAATATTGTCGCCTCCGCAGTCGCTGCAACTTTTATCAACAGCCTCGCCCACGATCGCCGCGTTCGGGGTGGTGCCCTGGATCATGATGGGCACGTTGAAGCGCGTCTTGAACGTTGGATTAGTATCCGTGTAGTACTTATCGTGCAGAAGGATTCTCACGCCGTAGGGACCAATGTGATTGGAGAAGTTTGCAACATCAGAACGCAGGCTTTGTTGCGCCAACAACATAGCGGCTGTCAACGTGCACGAACTGATAGCATCCGGGTGGAGTATCTTCGTGGCGCCATCATCAACGAGGCAATCTTCATGATCATAGCCATCCGGTGACGGGTGATCGAGCGAAAAATTTCCCACTTCGACGTCGAACCACGTCCCACACAGCGCGTCTCTTCCCCCCACGTTCGCGAACGGACGCTGCGTCTTCACGCACGGCACCAGCACTTCCAGAGGAGAGGTGCAATTGCAGTTCACGGCGTTATCTGCGCGCTGCGACCACGTGTTCCGCCTCTCGTGGCATCTATCCGCGGTGCACGAGGGGATCGAGCACCGCTGTTTCGCGTCGTCGTTGTCGTCGGCGAATCCGTCGAGAATGCACGACGCTCCCGCGTAGCCGTAGGGCGGTTCCATGGTCCCACGCACGCGGCACTCGTCAAGGCACGGCCGCCCGGCGTAGTCGCGCTTCATGGCCCCCACGTAGTCCCAGTGCGTCGAGCTGCACGTGCAGTCGTCCTCGGGCCACTGAGACGGCAAAATCATGTCCGGCAGCGCGGTGTTATCCACGAGTACCTTCGCTATTCCGTTGACGTCGCGGTGGCATTCGCTCTCGCGCCACTCGTACAATTTCGAGTTATTCCCCAATTTCGTGCACGCGTCTTCCGAGATGGACACGGAGATGCAATCCCGCTTGTTGACGTCCAAGGGGTTTGTCGAATTCGGATGCGCGACGAGCGCTTCCCTGCAGAAGAACTCGGCGTCGACGCACGCGTCGCACACGGTGCCGGCGGGGACGTTCCACATCGGCGCGCCATTCAGTCCGTCTCTCTTCACGCAGCATCCCGTTCCGCGCGCGTCGTGACCCGCGATGCCTTGCTCCGTTTGCAGTCGCGAGTAATCGTTGTAGATCTTAGGCCAACCACCGTCGGTCGAGTTTTTCTTGAGATTCTGCCAAGTGGCTTCATCCACGGAGTCACACGTCACGTTGGTGTGAAACACAGAGACGCAGTCTCTCTTGGTCAGGTTCAAATAGCCTCCGCTGTCTACGTGCTCGCGACAGAAGAAGTGGACTCGATCGCATTCGTCGCAGTTATTCACGTCGTACCCCAGGACGCAGAGTCCGCTGTCGGCGCTCGGGGCGTTGTCCACGCCGTAGATCCCTTCCTGCTTCACGGCGTCCGCGAGCGAGAGGAGGCACGCGAACGTCGCGAGCGTCATCGCGAGCGTGCTCGCGAACGCGCGGCGTCGCGTCGGCGGAACATCGCGTCGACGCGGCATAGAGAACGAATTGGATTTGGATTGGTGCTTGCGAATGCGACGCGGCCCCCGGCGGACCGCGCGGCGTCGCTCCGCGGTGTCCGCGTGTCCGCGCGCTCGCGACCGCGCGCGAAGAAAATCGCGACCGCGCGCGAGAACTCGACCGACGCGCGCGGCGCGTGAGCGATGTCCGCCCTCGCTCCGCGCCGTGGGTGCGCGCTCGCGGGAGGCGCGGCCGGATCGATACTGCGGTCGAGCGAGCCCCGCTCTCTATTACTCGTAGTTTGTGTAAAATACGTACCCCTTGTACACGTACGTGTACGCGCTTATTCCGCGCTTCGAAGATAGATACCTTCGTACCTTCGAAGGTACGAAAGTACTTTCGAAAGTAGATATCTACCTTCATAAACTATGATATCATATAATATGGAGGTACTTTCGTATGATACTTTCGTACGAAAGTACGAAAGTACGAAAGTACTTTCGTACCTTCGTAGTTGTACGTGTACAACGTTACAGTATGTACGTGTACTATGTAGCTATCATTACCTTCGAAGGTACGAAAGTACGAAAGTACTTGAAAGTACTTTCGTACCTTCGTAGTTAAGGTAGTCCTCTACGTAATTCGAAAAAATCCACCTAAAAACGTACTCGTGACTAAAAACACGTGCAAAAGTGTACGCGCGAACACCCGCGCGCGAAACCTATCTCCTCCGCGCGCGATGCACGTCTGCGCGCGAAACTTTGCACGATTACAGTTCTAAGGCATGCGCACAATGATACGCTGGGGTTTTTTGACTTTCGCGCGCGTCGCGAAGAAATCGCAGATCTTGCCCGAAATCGCGATTCGCGACGTTTGCGTACCCCTCTCGCGACAGAGAGCATGAACGCAAAATCCCCGGCGCAGGAAGTTCGGCGTTGAAGCCCGGAACGCGATGGTGCAAAAGAAAATCCGTTTAGATCTCATTCGAGGAAGGAGATAGGTTTCGTGCGCGGGTGTTCGCGCGTACACGTTTGTACGTGTTTTTTTGTCACGAGTACGTTTTTTAGGTGAATTTTTTCGAATTACGTAGAGGACTGACTACCTTTAGTATCTACTGTATCCCTACAATCGAATATCGCGAGGGGCAACTCGGGATCGATGACTAAATAGTCATACGCGTATGGGCAAATCCCGTGCTCGTATGGGCAATCAGTCGTAGATTGTGCTCGTATCGGCAATCAGTCGTAGATTAATACGTGCTCAAGTGTTGTGAAGGATCGACTTATTTGGGGGGCTTACTTTATCGGTCGATCGACCATTGAAACTTGTATGAGTATTTTTTACTCCAAGGGGGGGAAGTGAGCTTGCGAGCACGGGCGCCGAAAACACAACTGTTAGGAGTTTGACGGGTCTCGGGTGTGCGAGCACGGTAAGGTGCGAGCGACAAAAGTGCGTCAGTTGGCAATTTGCGAGCTCAGCCGGCAGCGAAGCAGTTGTAAATGTATCGGATTTAGCAGAAAATTTGTGAGGGTGTCTTCCACATTTGATGGAGTCACCACGTGAAAGAGCGCGTCGCTCCGTTTCATTTTATGCCTTCGCGGGCGACGTCCGCGGCGTTTGTGACTACCTGTAAGCGCGGACGAGTAACTGTACACGTACATGTACGTTTGCTACGTAGGCCGGAGGTGTGACATTAGCGGCAAATAGAAAACGAGAATTCTCGTTTGACCCTAAACCCTAAACTCGTACAGTATGATAATATCTATTTCCGGAAGTACACGTACGGAAGTACAGTCAGACAGTACGTTGTAGATACTAGCTAAACTAGTACAGTATTCTATTTTCGTACTTTCGTACTGTAGTTGTACAGGTACGTGTACAGCTGTACACGGAGTGTAGGCAACGAAGCGTATTGATGTCCACTCCGAAGATTTTGCGGCGCGCGCAGGTCTCGCGCTAGCTCTGCCTAGTGTTGTCGATACTCTCCGGGATATAATGTATGTGAATGATGCTTACGCCCAGAACACAGGCGTCATTTACAACTGCGGTGGTAAGTGAATTTCAAGTTAAAACAAGTTCTGGCGTGTTAGCACTCCACAATTTCTTAAGCACTTGTGTAAATTTTGCAGATTGCGGATCTGAAGTGATGTTACGCCCGGGTGATATTGTGATCTGTCGTGAATGCGGCTATCGTATACTGTATAAGAAGCGCACGAAGCAGAGTGCGTTTACATTGTTATGTTCTCGATCACACGATGATATTTTCTCTGCAGTTGTCCAGTTTGAAGCACGATAAAAGTAACGTGAACAACAGAACCTTGAGGTCGACGTTTTAATTAACGCCGTCATGAAGAGAATCCCTACTGAAAAAATGCATTGGAGAGGAGTTTTAGGGTGAATCTTGGGGGGGGGGATGTTCGAACTTCTGAAAAGATAAGCGTTGTTTGCCTTGTGGATATCTCATGGTAACAGCGCTTCTACTATTCTTTATTATACCTACACACATTTCCAAAACTCCCACAAGAACCAAGGACAAGTCTACACATCCTGCACATATGATAACATGCTAAGCATCAGATGCGCATCTTGGAGAGTTAACAAAAAATGATTGGCTTTCATCCATCATTTGCACAGCCCTCATCCTTCCATTTGTGCCCACAAGAGACACACTGAAAAAAAAGTGACATTCCCTCGGACGTGGTCAATGAAAAAAACACAGCATCTGCATTTTCGCACCTAGAACAACGGACATGGGAAGAGCGAGGCAAGGTTGGGTCTGTGCGTACATCCTGTATAACAGTGGTCGTTTCAGCAGCCGTGTGGTGGACTAAGTGGCGAAAAACGCAGTGATCGTCAGCCTCTACTTGGAAGTCGCAGTTACGGCATGCATATATCAACTTCTTGAGGGCGCGGTCTTCCTTTGGGTAAAGCAGATCGTTACTGTTTGGACAGAAACGCAACCTTACTGCTCCGGGCCGTTCACGGTTGACAAAAGCGCCACTTTCGATTCCAGTTGCTTTTGAGTCGGACATCGGTTTCCGACAAGGCGGGATAGAACTTGCTCGCCTAGATGCGTTATGAACACGGCGAATAAACTCTTCGAAGTTTTGCTCTTTGCTTGACCTCTGCTTGAAGTAAGTTACTTACTGTATGTACTTCCGGAAATAGAATACCTTCGAAGGTAACGCGTTGTCTGTCGTACGTGTACACGTACAGTACTGTACAACGTACTGTACGTGTAGCGGACGAAGACCAAAACCGAAGCCCGGACTTTCAAGTACGGAAGTACTTTCGTACTTCCGGAAGTACGTGTACAGCTGTACACGTACATACGTGTACAGTAAAACGTGTACAACGTTGACTCAACGTTGTACTTCCCGAAGTACACGTTTATACACGTACGTTACACGTACGTGACTCGTACGTGTACAGCTGTACACGTACGTGTACGTGTACGTGTATCTATGTTGTACTTCCGGAAATAGATACTGTACTGTATCTATCTTCGTACGAAAGTACGTCGGAAGTTCCTTCGAAGATGTACACGTACACACGTAGAAAGTACCTTCTGAAGGTACCTTCGAAGGTACCTTCGAAGGTACACGTGTACACAGCTACACACTACACACGTACACGTGTACCTGTACGTGTACACTACATGTACGTGTAGTTGTACACGTGTAGTGCCATACTGCAATACAACGCACCGTACTTCTACAACTGTTGTACAGTGTGTAGCTGTGTACTGTGTAGTGTGTACAGCTATAAAGTTGTACTTTCGTACAAAGATGATACAATAACGCGTTGTACGAAGGTACTCACAGCAACTACGTGTACAACGTTGTGGTCATTGATATGATAGCCCTACAGTATGATAAAGGCTACGTGTACGTGTACACGTAGCCCTATCTATTTTATCAGTTTATAATTTATCAATTCTTCATTCGTAATGTACGGAAGTACAGTACTTTAAAGTTTATCCCCTGCGTGTGTGCAGTACGTGTAGATTTGATTACACAAAAACTGAGCTCTAACCCATCCCATGCGTATACAGCTATACACGTAGTGTCGTCGTGTACCTTCGAAGGTACTTTCGTACTTTCGTACTTTCGAAAGTATTTTCGTACCTTCGTACGAAGGTACTTCCGTCCGCAGTATCTTCGAAGGTATCGGTATCATCTTGTCTACCTTCGAAGGTTGAATAGCTAGCTAGTTACGAAGGTAGCTAGCGTCGTACTCGTAGAAATAGTTGTTTTATGTACACTTGTAAATTGTCTTTTACAGTACGTGTACAGTAATGCTGTACAGTGCGTGTACGTGTACGTGTACAGTACAGCTTTTTTTTTTACTAGATTTGCCCGGATGGGTTAGAGCTGAGTCTTTTTGTACACGTAGCCCTACTGTACGTGTAATCTGATCTACACACAGCTGTACATATACGTACGAAGGTACGAAAGTACTTTCGTACTTCCGTACTTCCGTACTTCCGTACTTCCGAACTTCCGAACTTTCGTACATACAGTAGTTGTAGTCTAGCTTGTAGGTAAGATATTTTATGAAGGTACACGTGTAGTTCATGTACTGCACCCGTACTGTACTGTACAACCACACGTACAGTGCACGTACGTGTACACGTACAGCAAGTTGTTTATCTTCGTTCATAAAACAACTTCGAGGAACACGTATTTTTACCTTTTTTTTCCATTCCTCTAGACAGTGGGGAATTCCACGGGGTACTCTTCTCGCAGGTGCTCCGGGAACTGGGAAGTCCCTTTTGGCTCGTGCAATTGCGGGTGAATCAAATGTCCCCTTCATCCAGTGTTCAACGGCAAACTTCGTTGAAATGTTCGTAGGTGTTGGAGCAAAACGCGCACGCGAACTTTTCCAAGTGGCACGAGAAAATCAACCATGCATCATATTTATAGATGAGATTGATGCGGTTGGTAAGCAGCGTGGAGGTGGAGGTTTCCCAAGTAACGACGAAAGAGAGCAAACCATAAACCAACTTGGATAAAAATGGGTTATATGTACGTGTACTCGTACGTGTTCACGTACGTGTAGTGTACGAAGTTTTAGTTGACGTGTACAGTACAGTAAAACTTAGCCCTACAGTAGCTGTAGACTGTCATATGGCTAGGTTAGTGCTAGGTTTATTTCATAATAGTCTACTGTACTGTACACGTAGCCCTAGCCCTATGTACGTGTACAGTATTTACTACCTTCGAAGGTATGTAGCTATGTACTTTCGAAAGTACTTTCGAAAGTACGAAAGTACAGTACATTGTAGCTAGTCTATGTACAGTCTATCAACAAGATGGGTCTAATATGCTGCTGTTTCCTCCAGTGTTTGCGGAATCCAGCCCAGCAAAGTATCCAGCAATGTTTTATAAAATTATTGATGATGATCTCAATGATTTGACGTCCTTGTCATTTTCCGAGCTGCGGAGAAAAGGGTTGGAGTTTCAGCCACCCGCTATCTTGGTGCGTAACCAACACAACACTGTGAGCAGTCCTTAAACTTTATTTACGTAACAGGCCCGGCGCTCCAACTCAGATACCCCTAAATTCCATGCACCGGAAACTTGCGCGAGTATCTTAACATGTACCATCGCAAGGACGCGGAAACGTATACGGATTTCCTCGTGGCCTCGAGATTCGACATACTGCAAGGAAAACAGCAACAATTTGCTTTCTCAGAAATTATCGCAAAAAGTACGAAAGGTGACTAACTTTGGTGTCAGACAGTCTGTACACAAAGTTGCTCGGCAGAAAGGAATATCTTCAGGACGCACATATACCTCACGGTATCGTGGAGTGCATCAGACATTCCCCACTCGTCGCTGGGAAGCACAGTTCAGACGAAACGGTAAACCAACTTCTCTAGGTTGCTTTGATCGAGAAGAAGAAGCAGCAAGGGCGTATGACCGGATGATGGTGTGGTGTGAACTCCACGTATGCGAAAATAGGGTCGCTCCAAAAAGCGGATTGAAGCCTGGATTTGCATCTCTGCCATTGAATTTTGATTGTGGCGAATACGAAAATGACTATGAGGGATTGAGAAAAATGACTCAGGATGAACTGGTTCAAAACCTGAGAAGACAGGGACGACTGCAGGCAACTACAAATAACTTCGGTGGATAGTGCATGACATACTTTCGATAGTCTATATATGATATGATGTACACACTCTCTCTGCGACATTTACAACTTCTTCACACACTGTGATATTCCGGGTTTGAGTTTTTCCTTCGAAGGTAGCACTACCTGAACCTTTTACAACGGTGACGTCTACCCACAGCCATAAGAAGAGCAAAACCCGTGGAACTCTGAAAGATCTTGTTCTAGTTTCTAGTCTAAGCAGCCATTCATGGGGACAGGAATATAAGAACACCAATACACTGGCCAGAGTCTGTAAAAATCGCATTTCCGAACGATTAAAAGTTATCATGGAGGGAGTTCTATCCCTGCCCTGGTTTCTGCCGTCTAAACAATTCGGCCACTATCTCAGCAACACTTGCGTTTGTCAGGGTTTTCTCGCAGGAGACGTCGTGCACCTCAGAATAGTTTGGCACTGTATCATAACCAAAATTATCGTCTCCTTGAAATGAACAGGCAAATTTACCCTGATCAAACCCTGTGCTCCTGATTCGACTGACGACATCCTTATAACGATGCTGTCCAGGTACAAGTTTTCGCTGAGAAACTGGTTGATTCAGCAGTGAGAGAACTTGAGTGACTGAGGGATGTAAAAGTGGAAAGAGTGCCTTGCGCAGCGATGGGAATAATGAAGAAAAAGTCCCCTCTTCGCGTGTCAAAAACTTCTTGATGTGGTGCCGCTCTTTGGGTGCCTCGAAACACGCAGGACAATTCTCATTTATCACTGGAAGCCTGTTGGTGTACGAAAAGTCGCGCAGCTGACGTTCTCGGCAATATATACCGGGACGAATCACGGTTAAATCCCCTTCGTCAACCGAGTGCAAGAGTCAAAAATAAATTATTTACTTCTTCACATTCTCCCGGAATCTAATCGTCACAGGAACATCTAACGAGTGCTTGTTTTTTGCCTTACCACATACGAAGCCTTCATGGTCCGCAGAACCCCATTGTGCATAGCTGACATGAAGAAACTTTCAACTATGTCATCGAGGTGTTGCGCAAGAACCAACTTGTTGTAGCCATGTTGTCGCATACACGTGTAAAGCGCACCACGTTTCATGCGCGCACAGAAAGCACAGATGCTGTCACCAGACATGTGCTTTGTAGCCATGTCCATGATATTCTCCTCAATGTAATGGTACTTTACCCCTAAAGAATCTAAATACGCAACAAGAGGTCGAGGATTGTAGGCCTCTGTGCCCGGGTCTATAGTGCAACAGAACAATTCAAATGTTCCTGGTGGGTATCTGCGCTGTAATGCTTTAAGAATGTGTAGCATTGCCATACTATCCTTCCCTCCAGAGAGGCCAAGGAGAACTCGATCACCAGAATCGATCATATTCCACTGGGAAACTGCTTTACTAACTAGGCTCAGTAGCTTGGGGGGAGGCTCGGCGAATTTGTTTTGCATTTGAACTTCGCTGTGGATGTCACCTGAGAGATCTAGGTCACACGTATTTACTCCCGATAGAACGGCATTGCCATCTCTAGAATCACTGTCGTCCGCGTCTTGAATTGAACTTAGCGGTGGCTGTCGATCACAAGCTGAACCCACACTACTTGACTCGACACCTTCGCTGGTATTCCTCAACATGTGAATTTCCTCTTTCGTGGAAATTCTAGATGTAAGGATAGCCGACATAATGCGTTGCCTTGCAAAACCACCGTGAAGACCGCATGTGCCTGATTTTCCATATAGTGGATATTTTTTGCTAGCCATTCGAGGTGTATCTTCCTGAACCTCAAAACCTGCGTTCCGTTCAAAAGGATGATAGCCTCCCCGAAAACTAGTCTCATCGGATAGTGCACCGCTATCCTCCCTGAAATATCGAGGGCAAAGTGCTCCTTGAAGCTCACCGGGCGAGGGTTGCTGTGACAGAGGAAAATGCGAGTAGTTTTTATATTCTTGACATTTTTTGACATGGTAAGTTGCCTTCGAGAGAAGTTCAGACGCCTCTGATGGAAACATGAACCACCGAAAAGATTTTGCTGCAAACTCACTCGATACTGGAAGCCCACTTTTCGCCCGGTCACCACGACTGACAGATTTCAATCTAACTGCAGCCGTGTGCCTTTGATCACTGATGAAGAGCATACGACCCTCATATTCTGTGCTCAGCTCACCAACTTCCAAACACTTTAGCGGGTTTTCTTGACCGCAGTGCTTCAACAATTCTATTCCGGCCCTCAGTTGTGAACGAAGTGATATCTCATAAAGAAATTCCGGTGGGGATCCTGACCGTCTAGGCCCATCATAAGTTGGAATCGTAGAAAGTTTATCTCTATCATATACTGCGGGAAAGTGCATGTGAGCCAACCATTTTCGTTCTGGAAAAGACTTTACCCGGGCTTTGTGGCGCCAAATACCAGACTTCGCATCCAATCGATAAAGTGGCAGCAAGCGCCAACCATGGTTTGCAACTGCTTGCAGCGCAGCCAGTGTATAATCAACCTCAGCTCTTGACGTGAAGTAAGTCAAACTCAACCGGACAAATCCTGGACGCATTACTTCAGTCTGCTCCAAAAGTATTTTCTCTAAAGCAAATGATTTAGCATCATCGATTCCAAGCAAGTGGAGGGCATACGGTCCAGCACACGCACATCCACCTCGCGTCTGGATACCAAATACGTCATTCAGTAGAGCACAAACGAAGCTGGTGTGAAGAAATCGGCTACAACCCTTTGAATCTGCTGGGCACCGAATTAGAAAAGAGATGATTGGCAACCGATCAGGGGGTTCCAGAGCATCCATGCGCATACATGAACTGCGTAAGGTTGAGCATAATACCGCAATGTTTGGATTCTGGGATAAAGATGTGTAGATCCGTCTGCATAAATCACTCTCAGATTTCTTTATGATACTGCAACCAACGGCGTTTTTTACCTGGAATGCAAGGCCAGCCCTTATGCTTCCCAGAGGGTACAATCCAAAGGTTATCCACCAGGGAGCAGTCAGTTTTTCATGGACTCAGAAAACAGCGCAGTTATGTCAACAGAAGGAAAATATGTGTTCTATTCCCTACCACGATGTCTTGTGTGCCACCTTCTTCTCGTTCACATCGATTAGAAATGTATCGATGATCTTTTCTAGTTACAAAAAAAATACTTCCACCTCCTGGTTCTGTGGGTATTTTGTTGGTAAACAACGAACGCTTAGCCACAAGAACACCAGGTGAACCTGGGCCGCCTGGGAGTTTATGGGGGGAGAGAAATATCGCATCTTTGTATACATAAGGATTAAGGGTTCCATCAGGAAAAAATCTCACAGGGTTCATGTCAACTTGTAAATACGATGCAGCAGTAGCATAGTCCCAAAAAGCAAGTGCACCAGCACGGTGAAGATCCTCTGTTATACCGTCGACATCAGCGACTACACCAGTAACGTTGGAAGCGGCTGAAAATGATCCAATGATGAGTGAGTGCGAGGCATGCGCTTGAAGCTCTTTTCGTAAGATCTGACGGTCAATTGTACCATCTGGCCTCTCTGGAATGCAAACTATTTTGGCATTAGATTCTCTCCAGGGAAGAATATTTGAGTGGTGCTCATGCGGGCCCAGAATGACTACAGGCATTGATGTCTGTGGTGCTTCAGATGGAACAGGAAGGTGGATACCCAGGATAAGGACAAGTTTATTGACTGCGCCTGTTGTGCCGCTGCCCGCAAAAACAACAACGTCAGCATGTCGATCTGAGTAGCCAACTCTTGCGTTGCATGACTGTGCTATTATCTGACGAGCCTCCTGACGGAAACACGTAGACTGAAGACCACTCACACTGGTTGTCGTGTGCGTGTTTGCATAGGTGGGAAGCACCTCGGCTTGCACGTAATTTTCAACTGCAGTCAGCGCTCGACCTGATGCGGCCCAATCCGCGTATATCATGCCTTTACGACCGAATGGTCCATCAAAAAAACTCCCATGACCTATCACAGAACGGCGAACGTTAGCTAGAACCTCCGATGAAAACGACATGACTATTGCGCAGCATCGATAGTTAGAGGAGAGAGCAACTAGTGGTTTTTCCTTCTCGTACAAGTTGTAGACGAGGTGCGCTAATTCGCGGCTAAAGGGCGTAGGCCAGTACGTGTACGTACAATAAACGTACAATAAACGTACAGTACACGTAGTGTACTGAACCTTCAAGGTACAACGTACAGCACATAGAATCCCTTCGTACGAAAAAAACCCCCGTTCCGACCAAACTGTAAGATATGCAGGCTACGGGCATTTAGTCAGAGACGTCCTATGAACATTTACCGCTGAGAAGTACTTTCGTACGAAAGTACGAAAGTACTTTCGAAAATAGATATCTATTTTGAGTACGAAAGTACGAAAGTACTTTCGAAAGTACGAAAGTACTTTCGAAAGTACACGTACGTTGTACTTTCAAAGTACGAAAGTAAGTTGTTACTTTCGTACGAAAGTACGAAAGTACTTTCGAAAGTACTTTCGAAAGTACTTTCGAGAGTACTTTCGTACGAAGGTAGGACTCACGTAGGGCTACGTGACTGCTACGTGTACACGTGTACGTGTACTGTAGGGTTCAAGCTCCGTCAATTCACGCTAATTCAGGCGTACAGTAGGCCAGTGTACGTGTACTATACGTACTGTACACGTACACGTAGCCGGAATAAACAAGTTGTACACGTACGGACGTTCATGTTGAAATTTAATTTGAAATTTGAATCCTCTCATTGTTCCCGTCGACTGCTTCTTGGCCGGCGCACAGGGACTAACGCTTGCGGTTCGGATTATTAATAGCGTCAATCTGCCACAAAAGTAGTAGAGCTTACCCGATGACGGGCGCAGACAAAGCGTTCGAAACTCTTTCGCCGAACGTTGTTGTGGATGGTCCGTCTTCACGGTTGACGAGCAACGATGAGAATGCTACGATACTCTTCCATGAATTCGTGCCTGTCTGTGTTAGGGAACGTGCTAATAGCTCGGAACACGTAGAAAATCTGAAAATTCGGATTGCGTTTGGGTTCAACAAGCAGAAACAAAATAAGGTGCGGGCCAACAAGAACTTGTTTCTGCTTTCAAAAATGAGTTTCGCTCTTTTTGTCACAGGTTCTTCGCATTCAGGTGACAAACGACTCAGATCCGTTCTTCTTTCACCACACTGAAGTGTCCGAGGAGGATTACAAGTCAATCAAGGTTGAACAATCTATCCTCGTCGAGTTTTTACAATTTCCGCACAAACTCATTGAGTTGCTGGGAGAGTGCACCAAAAGTTATCATGATGGGAAGCCACCTTTCTTGGCAGTGTTGAGAGTTGGAAGTGGGGGCTCAAGCCTGGACTCTAGTTTGGGAGTGATCGAAACCAATCAATTTAAGCGTTTATCTCACATTTCTTTGAATTTGAAGCACGGCGATTCAGCCGCTGTAAAAGAGTACCTAGCTGGTCGTCTGCTCGATGTGCAGGCCGAGCGAGACAGCTGGCTGCAGGCACACGGTGCTGTCACCTCAGAGTTGATTTCAGTGCGTGGCGATCTGGAATCTACCAGAGCAGATTTGTTTGCGGAAAGAGATGCATGCGGACGCAGAGATAATCACACACAGGCCCGCCTTGATGAACTTGCTGCACGTCTGAAGTTGGCAGCAGTGGAGGAGTTGACAAACACAAAAACCCGCTTAGAGGGTGAATTCAGTGCAGCAGAAGCTGGCATGCGCAGTGCAATAGAGGCGCTGACCTGCAGAAACAAGGAATTGGAGTCTCGTGCCGGTGATCTCATCCAAACGAAATACAAACTCGATAGCAATCTTTCAGAGATTACTTCGCGTCTCAATACAACTGATGCAGAGCTCAAAGCAGCGAAGGCTGAACTTGAGAACCTAAGAGCTGACAAAAACTATCTCGAAAAGGTATCAAAAGACGCGCGCACTTTTTTTTCCTACATGCATGTGACAATTATATTAGAGTTCATGGGACAAAGTTAATACTTGTTTTGCTGTATGCAGGAGTTGCAGGCTCACGAAACCAGAAATGCTCGAGACGGCTCACGTGTTGAATGGCTAGAAACCCAGTTGAAAGATAGGGACGAGCTTATAAATGTCCTGAAGGGCAAGCTCGATGGTAATATTTCGCACAACTTATCCATGGAACATGCGCTGGACGATGCGCGTGTAGCTGTAACCAGGGCTGAGGATCGACTCTCTGCCAGCGCTTGTGAAATTCGAAAGGGGAACCATATTATTGAGCGACTTCAAGCTGAACTTCGTTCTGCCAAAGCAAAAGCAAAATTGAAGTCAACTGTTATTTCTCAGCAGGAAATCGTATTGAACGAACGGCAGGGTGCGCTCGATAATCACGCACGTAAACACGACGAGCTTACACATGAATTGGAAATCGCAAACCGTGAGATGCAAGTTCTGAGAGCACAGGTCAAAAGCCAGAATAAGAAACTTGAAGAGAGCCAAGCACTCCTAGTCAGCAATCAACAAATGATTCAATGGCTCAACAGCCAAGTCAATGAGGCTCATCTAACGCAATTAGGAAACATCTCAAGGCAAAACTATAATCCCTCACTAAGACTGCCGACTATAAAACCAAGTGACTTCAACGTGGTTCGTCCGGGTAAGTCAGAAGCGCTAACTTTCAACAGCAAGCGAGGAAGTGTTGCAAGTGGAGCAATATGAAATGTTATCGGAGCAGTGTAAACAGGACTAGCTATCGATATCACGTTTGATTATGAAGAAAACCCTGCTGTCAAACGTCCTGTCCTATTTTGTGGCATACAACATTTCTACCAATACTCCTTTTTGCTTTGGTCTAGTATTTCTGTGAAATACAGATGTTTCCTATTTCTTCTACATTTCGTGGTTTGGGTTCGTGTAACTAAAGTTCATCATACTTTTGCTGAATGAAGCAGTGATACCAAGTGATCCGGGAACTAAGCTCGTGTCTTCCGTGTCTGCGTGAGCTAGCCCTCGGCCACCATAAATGTAGTACCACTTCAGCGTTAAGTCACTGTTTTTCTTTGAAGCTTCAAGGTTCTGAACATCTGCACTGCGAATGAAAAGTTTTCGAAAGTCTATACCACCGTGGAAATAAGTTCTATAAAACACATCTCCTTCAACGCTTCTCGATTCCCTTGTGATATGAAATTCTCCCTTTCGCAAGGAAATTCAAAAACAAAAAAATCAAGTCATACAAAAATGATGAGGCACTCGCGGCGTAACTTAAATTTAACGACTTTTACCTCGATCATCGACTTCGCGTACTCGTCGAACACGACAGCTGGCATCCATGTATTTGACACAGGACGATACCAATGCTCAGGTTCGAGGAAATTCAATGTTTTAGTGAGTTCGTCTGAGATGCAATTGCTTTTCGACTTCGCCGAGTTGTTTCTCAACCAAACATGTAGCCTACTCTTGTAACAGCTGACTTGCTTGCTTTCCAGAGCTTCATCGAAAGTGTTTTTCATATTTCTTTGATACCATTCGCTGACGATGCGCCACAAAAAGATCGCGCGCAGATGAAGATACTCTGGATTTTCGTTCACCTGACGCTGAAGCTCGGGTAGCAAGATCGACTGTGCAGGCAAAAGGGTCAGAAGAGAATAAAACAAGTGCTTATGATCTGGACTTGCCTTGAATAACTCATCTGCTTTTCTTTGTGTCGTCACATCAGAACTTTGGCAAAGTGTGCGCACATCCTCGTCCGGCGCCCGCGTCTCATATTCCCATTCTTTAGCATTCGTATAATAGAGTGCCTCTTGTTTCACAAGCAGTCTCGCGCTCAGGACATGAAACGATGAAACATTTTTCTTCTCGCACTTACTCCGATGCATTACATCTGTTCTCCCTTGCTTAGATTTATATCCTCTACTCCCAGATGACGACTGCCAGACCTCGGCTATATCTGGAACAATCCACTGGCGAAATGAATGACAGATTTGAATATCTCTTGTACCGATTGAACCATATAACTCACCCCAGAACAAGCTTCCCAAAGTTTAAGGTCACTCATGAAAGGTGGTGAAAGCCACCCGGCGTACTATTCGAGCATCCGAGCATACGAGCATCCGAGTAAAGTCGTCTGGCATTTAAAAAGAATATCTCCTTACAATAGGGTGATCTGGGTGTAGAAGCCGAGCTGCGGTTTTCTTCAATGACAGGTCAGCCTCGAGCATGATTCTTCCTACTTCAGTGTGACCAATATTACGCTCGACAACCCGATCAGACTCTGTTGGATTCAGGTTGACCCAAAAGCTCTCTGATGGGTGAGAGAGCCATACAAAAAATGTTTCGGAAAGATTATTCAAAAGATCGCTAGAAGCCCTGGGAACATACGCTGACGTTAGCTTTGACCCTTGTTGCACGTTGACAGGTCTGTCAAAATGCAAATCAAAGGTCGCAAGAGGTAACACCACCTGAAAAAGAGCTTCTAATTAGTGTGGGCATACACCTCTGATAAAAGGAAACGTAGTCGGGGATCTCGTAAAGACAACTGCCTGACATGACGAAGCAACGCAAGAAAATAGAATCACGTGAACTTCAAATAGTCTGCTTAAAAAAATTTTGTCGCGAGAATACGGAGTTACCTTGCATTCCTGATGTTCAACACATCCAGAAATGACGCTCATGCCAACAGCAGACATATCTATCCCGCACACAGACATCGAATCGTCAAGCCATGGTCCGTCTCCAGCAGCTGGAGTGGTATAAATCCAACAAGGCCATTGAATATATTTAGAGCAGTGAAAAACGAAAGAGGTCAAAGCCGCGACGAGCAAAGCTTCCCGCCGTGCACAAGATAGAACAAGCATGTATGTATGTAAGCTGTCCGCCTGGAATACGAAGAATAAGTGAGAGGCTCCGCTATCTTCAGATATCACGGACACTGGTGCGTGTCGTCCACTGTTTTGACTGTCGAGAAAAATAAATGCGGAGAAAGAGTTCGTCCGGCTATCCGGTGACCTGGAAGTACGTGTACTTTCGTACGAAAGTACGAAAGTACTTTCGTACTTTCGAAAGTACGAAAGTATTTTCGAAAGTACTTTCGTACGAAAGTATTCTACTGTATCTTCGTACGAAAGTATTACTTCCGTACAGTACACGTGTTGTACGTGTACAGCTGTACTGTACACTGTGTCAGTAGGACCACGTGCACGACGCACCGTATCGGAATCGTATCACCGTTCGCGCGTCTCCCGGACTCCACGTCCTCGTATCGCTCCCGTCGCCGGGCGTTCGGTCGTCGAACGGAAGTCACGTGGATGCGTCAGGAATCGTTCTTCGGGCTCGAGGTCGCCCCCGGGGAGCCGGCGTATTACCGCCCGGACGAGTACTGCCCGCGTGTCGACCTCACGCGCGCGACTCTCGTCCTCACTGGCGATGCTGCCGCGCTTGACGGCGCGCGCATTCTCGTGAAGGCGCGCATTGCGCGAGGTGCGCTCGCTCGTTTCCCCGTCACCATCGATCCTTGTCCGCAGCGTCCTCCCCATTGCTGACCGGCGCGTCTCCGTCGTATTCTTTCGAGTCACGACAGGCCCGCCATTCGTCGTCGCGTCGCTCCTCCCCGGGCGCTTGGAGACGCTTGCGCTGGACATATCGTTCGCGGCCGACGTGCGCGTCAGCGCGCGCGTCGTCGTCGCCCGCGACGAGCGCGCCGCAGCGGTAACTGAAAACACACGGTGCGTCGTGCACCTCACCGGGCACGTGGATAGTAGCTTCGTGCTGATATCACCCAAAGAAGTGCGCGACGAGGACGAAAAAAGTGCAACCGAAAGCTTCGAGGAAGACGACCAAGGAGAGGACGCGAGTAGCAGCGAGAGTTGGGGCAGCGACGTCGACGAAGTTCTTGGGGACGATGGCAATGTTAGTGAGGGGGACGAGGCCATCGCGCGCACGTGTCTAATCGGAGACGACGACGCGTCCGTTGCTGCGCGACTTCGAGCGAAAAACAAAGGGATCATGACCGGCGACTGGCACGTTCCTTCAGTGGAAGATGTCTCTTCATTGTTTCGAGACGGCAGCTCGAGCGCGAATGGTAGCGGCGAAGTGCGGTCTGGCTGGGCGTACCACCTCCAAACCCCGGGGGCGCGTGTTCACAAAAGCGTGGACAAGATGCCGGAGTTTGCATACACTGGAGAACTTCAGCCGGGATTGATATCTCCGCGACGACGCGTGCCATCGCGCGGGTGGTCTTTCCCGCCTCCCGACTATGCGACGACGGGTTGGCCAACCGCTGAGTTTGAGTCGAAATTGCAGAGGGTCATCGAGATAAAAACTCCGGAGGCAATCGTGAAGATGCGAGCCTCGTGCTCGCTCGCGCGCGCGGTCATGGATGCCGTTGCCGCGCTCGTTAAACCAGGGGTCTCAACAGATTTTCTCGACCACGTCGTGCACGTTATGACGGTAAGTTCCCGCACGCGCGTTCCACTACCCATTTTCGGGGACTCCACAGTGCCGATCGTTCAATTGTCTAGAAATCCATGGGATGAAACTAACGAACCGTGATTTATGAATGTCTAAAGATAAGTAACGGAGCGTACCCGAGTCCACGGAACTACATGGGATTTCCAAAAAGCGTGTGTACGTCAGTGAATGAGGTGGTGTGTCATGGAATTCCCGACTCCCGGCTGTTGCGTGATGGCGACTTGATCAACATCGACATAACCGTGTGTTTGGACGGTTACCATGGGGATTTGAATGAGACGTATTTCGTCGGCGTCGGCGATGCGGACATCGAGAACGCGCGACGAGGTAAGAAACTGATGCAATGTGCGTTGACTTGCTTACAAGATGCGATCGCGTTTTGCAGACCTTCCGCTCGGTTTCGTGACATTGGTGGCGTGATCGCGCAAACTGCTTGCGCGTTCGATCCTTCGTACGGTGTCGTGAAGGATTTTTGTGGGCACGGGATCGGTACCTTGTTCCACTGCGCACCGAACGTGCCCCATTACGCGAGAAACAAGGCAGTCGGATCGATGCGACGCGGGATGACGTTCACGATCGAACCAATGATCAACGAACGCACACATCGGACGACGCACTGGCCGGATGGGTGGACCGCGGTGACGACGGATGGCGGGAGGAGCGCGCAGTACGAGCACACGTTGCTGATCACGGAACATGGCGCCGAGGTGCTCACCGCGCGGACAGAGCGCTCTGTGCCGTTTTTCTCGAAGGGCGACGACTACAAGCCCTAACCTGCTACGACTACACGTACGGTGTACTACTAGCTAGTCGCGTCCGACGTCGGTGAGGAGTCGAGTCGCTCCCCCCCCAGCCCCCTCTGGGTCGCTCCTCTCTCTCGAGACCGCTCGATCGCGATCTCCTCGTCCACGTCATCAAATCTGAGCGCGTGCTGATCAATCAAAATCGTACACGTCGCTTCGCTTACTTCGTTAAACGCAGGCACCGAGATCTCGGGTGTCGGAGACGATGTCTCCGCGGAAGAGACGCTCGTCGTGAACGACGCCGAAGGCTCATCAAGAACGAAACCGTGGGTGGCAAGGCATCGGTTGGCGACAGCGCGTCCGGTGCGGAGTCACTCGTCGCTGGCGCAGAGTCCGAGCTCAGCTCGTGGACGGGGGGGGGGTGGCTGTGATCGGCGAAAGTCCTCAAGTAGTCGCGTTTAACACGAGAAGAGGGTCGTGTGGGAGTGGGAGCAGCCTCACAGACCCCCACCCACGCGCGGTTGCGGCTGCGGCTTGGCTCACAAAAAAAACAAAACGACGATTCTCGCATTTCGCGACCGTCTGTATATACCCTCGCCGCCCTTTATATGCATCGCTTTTCTCTGATATACCTGTATTGTACAGTACATGACCTGCTTATTATGTACTGTAGCATCATGTGTCTGTCTATCGCGTCGACGTCGGGCGTCGCGGTTCTCTCAACGACTCGTTTGTCGTTCAACCTTTCGCGACGCCGTCGCCGCACCCTCCCGAGGTTTCCCCTTCCTCCCCGCCCCATCGCCGCCGCCGCCGCCGAGCGCGGACGCGGCGTAAGCGGCAGCACCGACAACGACGACGCCGCCCCACGCGTATCCTTGGAACCGCCCGTACTTTCGCATCGCGTGCGCCCACATCGTTCCCAAGGACTCGATCTTCGTCCTGGCGTTAGTTCGTTCGCCGCGTCGGCGCGTCGGTCGTCAGTCGAAAGGCGCGCGTCGCGGTCGAGCGTCGAGACCGAGCGTCCGTCGACGCGATCGAATCGTGATGGCGCGGGGCGTAGCGGCGCGGGCGGAGAGAGAGTCCTTAAGAAACGACGTTCAACACGCGAACTGGGAAACTATCTCGGGGAGAGACGACGCCACGCACCCGGGGGGGGGCTGGCGGTACGGCGGATTCGAGGCTCTGTTCTCCGCGGCGGTGGGGAGCCGCGAGAGCGCCGCATACGCGGCGTCGGACGTGGGGATATCGGATATCCCGTCCGCATCCGCGTCCGGGGCCGTCGCGTCCGCTTCATCGCGCGTAATCATCGGCGCTCGTCGTCGACGAATGAAGTGTCGACGAATGAAATGTCGGCACGCCAGCAGAATATTTCTCGTCGCGTTTGTTCCTCGGTCAAATCTCCTAGCCCTAGCCCTATCTTGACCGTCTTGACCGTCTTGACCGTCTTGACCGTCTTGACCGTCTTGACCGTCTTGACCGGTAGAACCTTTTATTGAATATGTATCTGATGTACCATCAGAATAACTAATGGTCAAATAGTCTCGTCTCGCGCCGGTGTACCGGCCGTTTTTTTCGGACCGGAGCTAAACTTTTAAATCGTGCTTTTTGAGTCAAATTCTCCATATATTTGATCGGAGATGGTTGCTTTCAAAAGTTCATCGAGTCGCTTTCAAATTCTCATCGATCAAATTTTCGATCGGAGAAAATGACTGGAAAATGACATCGGAAAATTTGACTCAAAAACGACGGTCTAAGATTTTCGTTCCGGTCCGAAAAAAGCGGCCGGTAAACCGGCACGAGACGAGACCTGGCGTACCTCGTGTAGCTGTGGCTGGAGTGTTTGTCGGCGGCGGAGATCGTTCGGGAGTTTATCAAGGGAACGAGAAGATTTTTTGAGATTTCAGTCAGAGCTTTTGAGACCCTGTAATTTTGTAATTTTGTAATAGCAGATGTAGTAGTAGTAGTAGTAGTAGTAGTAGTAGTAGTAGTAGTAGTAGTAGTAGTAGTAGTAGTAGTAGTAGAGTATTACAGAATTACAAAATTACAAGGTCTCGGAAGCCCTCGTCAAAATAATAAAAAACGTATTTTACGTCGAGCTCTGCTCCTTCTCAGGAATAAGCCACTCTGTGTAGTTCATACGGAAGGGACTGAGGTGTTCCTTCTTTGGTGTCAAGTCTATAAATAAAAAGTTGTGCCTGTTGTCGGGTTCCTTGTTCATAACATAGTCATATGCTTGTAATATTTGATGTTTTGGTATAACCCCACTTAGCTCGGTTGCGAGAAGGTCAACTTCTGTCCAACACGAGGACTTCCAACACGCACAGCAGTTGATATTCCCGCGTATAGATTTGGGTATGCCCTCATTTCCCGAAGCTGTGTAGTTTTGTACACATACGAATATAGAGCATCCTATGGGTGGTTCACCAGATTGAAATGCCCCTATGTGACGGCACTTGATACACAGGTTTTTGAAAGCCTTCGACCCTATTAACGATGAGCTTTGGATGTCGTCCGCGAATATCCCAACGACTGGTTTGCGTCCGTTTAGCCAATGCTTTGGGGGTTCAAACTGTCTCGTCACTGGGTCAAAGAACTCGAGGAGGTCGGCGGTGATTCTGTAATCCAAACTGTGATTGAAGGCTTTCCACCGTTTTAGTTTTTCTCGGTAAACCAGAAGCTCGTCCCGTTCCTTTTCAATCTCCGCGATGATTTTTTGTACCGCTTGAGGGTCGTTTGGACTGAGGACATCCTCGGGTCTGATGTTCAGGGATTCCATCATTTTCTTGTTCGAATCGAAGGTGTCGCTTAAACAGAATATTCTATCCATACACGATGCCTGTTTCAGCTGATACAGAAGGTTTGATACGAATCGGGTCTTGCCACTCTGCTTCTTCGCGACGCAGAGAACGATGCCGTTCAAGCTTATGTGATGCGATGGGGTGTTCACCGTAAAGCTTGGGTTTCCCAAGTCCTTAAAGGGTGCTATGCCAACAGGCTGGGTTCGCATTTTTATACTACTATATGGTAAGAAACAAATGACTACCATATTCTCTGACCCCAGAGGTCTCCAGATGGACTTGTTTCTACAGAAGTATCAAAACCAAATCAAGGACAAACATATTCTTTACGTGGTGAGTACCAACTTGGAGGAGGATGAACAAATTAGTCGTTCTACTCGTGGTGTGTTGGGTGGTGTCAATCTAAAAATCGGGAAGGCTACTGCTAATGCCTACGCTCGTTTAAAAGCGTACACCAATATGGGAAGTAATTATACGCCTCGGTTCGTTCAGTCAGGTATTCGCGTCTTGTATGCGCGCACCTATCAAAAGCGTAAGCAGTCGCAAACTGGTAGGTTGTTCGTGGATGTAGCTGAGACTCTTCTCAAACGTGTCTTGAATGATATGAATAAAAAGGTAAAGGGTCGTGGTGCTGAGATATTTAACATTGACCCCCAAGAGCTGTTTCAAATCATCGAAGATTTGGATATAGGCGACGTACAATACCAAGACAGGCGTAAGTCTGAAAGGATTGGTAAGCGTTTGCTGTGGCTCGTGACCGACGCCCTGTCTGGCAAGGAAAAGCTCGTGTTCGCTGAGGACTACGACGAGGTTCTTAAGCAGTATGCTCTGACCAATGAACGAGACTCTATGGACGAGAGAAGCAAGTACATAACCCGATACTTCATCCGCCCGGTAAACCCGTGGAAGGCTGTTCAACGGGTCTTGAGACCCCAGCAGGTGATGAGCATTTCAACTCATTCTGAAACTGAAACATTCGAAGACAACGACGAGGTCGACCAAGAATCTGTAGCCCCCAGTCCCTTTAGTGACGGGTTTCGGACTCCTCGGATTCCAGAAGAAGTTCCTCGGACTCCAGAAGAAGTTCCTCGGACTCCAGAAGAAGGAATCGCACGAGCGTTAAAAGACGTCGGACTCGTCGCCGAGACGAAAGGCATCCGCGGCCTCCTCCCCCCCGACGCCGTGCGAGGTGGACGCCACGAGTGCATGAAAACCGTCGACATCAGCATCACGGGACTCGACAGCCGGGTGACCAGGACCCTCGGGGACGTCGTCGTCCCCCACCCGTTCAGCGGTGACGGGCGCGCGAAATTCAACGGTCGGCGCCCCACTGCGACCCGCTCACCAGCGAACATCCAGCCGGGCGAGTACACGCTCGAGGCGGAGAAGAAGAAGCTCGACTGGTACGGCAACATCCCCGAGGGCCGCGGCTTCAGCCTCGTGCCCATGGCCATCGACACGTACGGTTTCAAGGCGCCGCGCTTCCGCAAGTTCCTTAACCAGCTCGCCGATCACGGTGCGAGAGGTACTGTCCCCGCCGGCGACGCCGCCTCCGAGGCCGCGGCCGAGGCCACGCTCTCCGCCATCGCGAGGAGCAAAAGCTATTGGAAACGACACATCATGGGCCACATCTCCGTCGCGCTCGTATCCGCCATCGGGGACCGCGTCGCTGGCGCGCCCATCTCGTACGCGCTCAGAACCTCACGTGACTCCGAAAACTTCCACGCGGGCGCGGCAGCGCAAATCCTTTTTATGGAGCCCGACACTGCTGGCGATTTCCACATCGCCCCGGCTCCGTGCGCTCGTGAGGCTCACATGGGTTCCATGAATCCCGTCGTGGGGTTGCTTACTACGTGAGAGGATTGTTCGTAGTGCGGTCTGCTCGCTTCTAGATCACATGTTTTACCCGGATGGGTTAGAGCTCAGTCTTTTTGTAATCAGATCTACACACTATAAACTAGACATTTACTGTATCTACGGCTAGACGCGCGGGTCCCTTGCCGTGAGAAGGCTCGAACGCGTAGAATACCATCAAAGGTAATACCTTCAAAGGTTCCTTGCTTTGTGTGGAAGTGCTTCCGGAAGTATATTATGTATTCGCATGAGAGATAGGTTGAAAACTGTAGGGGAGTCGGCGAACTCACTTCAGGTGAACCAACTTAAAGAGTCTTTGCACAACAGTTTCCTGTGCGACTTTCTTTCCTAATTCAAATACGAGACGGAAGTTGTTATACCACAACAGACCTAGCTAGAAAAAGTATGATGGAATTTCTGCTTCCTTCAGTTTGAACCTCTGAATGCATCTATTTATCGCTGTGCTGATATTACACGTGCATGTCACGTGCTGTACCCACATGTTATACTCAGCAATCATCACACGCACGGCACGTCCGCTTACTCACGGCACGTTCGCACTCCAAAACCTTCTTCCAGTGTTCTGCATTCATGTCGGTTTCACCCATACTTAGCGCTGTCAGCCGCGTCATCGTCAACCATCGATGCAAATCCTTCTCTTTTGCCTTATCATTACCTTCTCTCTGCTGAGCAGCTACCATCTCCCTTTCAATATATTCGCTCGATTCTCTACTTATGGTGTGGTTGGACAAACGAGCAGCAGCAACAAACTCTCTCATTTCTTTCAAGAGCTCTGGAGCCACGATGGGTGACACTCTTGGTTTGACCGACATTTGCAGAGGCACCTTGGAATCGGTCTCTGCCACAACCGATTTTGTTGGCACCGTTGAAACTACGATTGTGGGAACATCAACTGGTAATTTCATCTGGTGGTACTCGAAGTCGTACTCTACCTCTTGCATTTCAATGAACTCTTTCAACGCGTTAACATTACGCACACCGATATCACCTAGCTTTCCAGTGGAAAGCCTTGTTTCGTCTAAAATCAAGCATGTTCCTGAAGCGAGTTGCAGTGGACCAGAGCGCAGCCGATCGGTGCCATAATCTTTTTTGGGCACCCATTGCCGGGAATTGAGGCTCCCTAGCGTAAGTTGGAGATATGCGACTGCAGGGGCAATGTCAGCGATAGCCGCGGCAAGTGCCCGCGCGACTGTCATACCACCATCACCGCTGTTTCCAGGCTCGTTATCAACAGGGACACCAAGTAAAGTTACGGAAAATTTGCCGATTGGTATTGCATCTGTGCGTACATGAACGCGAGAAAGCAACGCATAGAGGACATACTCAGCAGCAGTGGCATCATTACCGAGCGGTGCCGAAAGGTGATCGATCAATGCAGCACGCACTTTCGCCCTGCGGGCAAAAAGTTCAGATTTTCGCATTAGACAAAGTGCCTCACACGCTGCAATCGGATATAGCCCAGCCCTGGAAACAAACTCGTGTGTCGAAGTTGAACGGAAAATGATGGCGTGGAAGCGAGGGACCAAGGACGTCGGAGGATTGCGTGCACGTTCTTCCTCCATAAAGTCCATCATGGGCTGAAATGTCACCGCATTATTGCTACTCTTCGTCGTAAATGCGCCCTCTGCATCTGCACGTTCCGGCTCAGAGGACAGCCCGGGCACGATAGATAACACGCCAACTAACTCAACCACATCATTCAGCTTCAGCTTGCAATCGCCCCCGTACATTTTCACAATACACGGTGTGGAAGCAGGTAGTTGACCTATAGAATTTACATCGCTCACGTTGCCAAGGGGAAGATTCAAAACAGCCTTAAGCGTTTCTCCGTCGGTACTCCTTTTTGCCTGTTCTACATCGGCAGTGTCTATCGACCTCGTATGGAGCGATTTCAGTTTTGACTCAGATATTAACGTTGTGGCGAAATGTGCGCAAGTACCAAGCTTTTGTTCTGCTTCGTCACACGGCACCACGTTTTCGCCCCTCGGTCTTTTTGCACATATAGATGTTGCACACGTTTTCCATGGGTAAACACTATCGCGTTTGCTATCCAACCGCCGCAGCCAGACGCTCTCGCCTGGAATAGGCACACAGTACAGAATGCGTCTCTCCCATATTTTTTGTTCGCGCGAGCTTCCTCTGCCCAACACGGGCTCAACCTCTTCGGTATACTTCGTCGTCTTCCAGCGTCCAAGGGTAGTTTCGTCTTTGTAGGCGCCAACATAAAACTCCGGATTGTACATATCCTGCACCATGCAGCGAAAACGGACCAATGTTCCTTGGCGCACAGCATCGACGCCAATATTGTTGATCTCCGGGATCTGCTCGCACGTTATGTAAGAAAACAAAACGAAGTGACAACGAGGATGCGCATCGAACGAACGATCATGACAACGAAGGAGCCGAATGCGTCATTTTCGTCATTTATTTACGCTAAAAATAAAGTAAACCAACTGTGCCGCGGCGCACCGTTTCGAGCACTCCGGGTACGGCGAGCGCTTCCTCAAAAACGGCGGAGACCCCCCAGTCGCCGTCGCCGTCTGGTTCCGAAGTTCCGGTTGCAGCGTCAAAAAGCGCAGCGACGGTGCCCAGGGGGTCGACGACACACGATGGGTAGTTCTGAGACATTCTTGCGGTGTTCGGAGCCCCCCGTGGTTGCTTGTCTGGTGGACAGCAGTGGACAGCGAGCTTTTTCCTATTGTAGAAGGTGGCCTGTAGGAGCGCTTCGCTGCACGGTAAACGGGGGCCTCTAAACTCAATCGATCAGTTTCACCGGAGAAACTGCCAAACACGCCGATCAACGAAAGTACGAAAGTACAACGTTGTACTTTCGAAAGTAACTTTGTACGAAAGTACTTCCGTACAACGTGTACCCGTTGTTTTTTTGAGTTTGGATTTCAGTACAACGTACACGTGCGTACAACACAGTAGACAGATATTTTCTGCTGCGATTATGCGTACGTCCGATGCTACACGTAGGGCTACGTGTACAGCTGTACACGTACACGTACACTGTCACCCATTATTTAAAAGTCTTAGGCTGGTGGGCAGCTCCCAAAATAAAATGTCGAATTAAATGTTTTTTTTATGGTTAGGGCTACAATAAAGTGGTGTGTAGGACGCTTTGCAATTAAAATCGCACCCAATGATTCGGAAACGAAAGCACGTTTCAGTTCGGCAGTTTTCCGGGGGTCCCAAAGTAAAAAGCACGCCTCCATCATCAGGGCTCATCGCGGTCGTGATTTCGCGCTTGGGCTCCCCGGCATCAGGGAGCTACGCGCGCCAACAGCCAGTCTGCGGCGCCAGACGAAAAAAAACCGAAAAACGCGTACTACAGCAAAAACTACTTGGCGACATACGGGGTGATTTGATGGGTCATAACTCAAAACATAATTGCGACATTTAATTCCCGCCGAGAGCCCGATTCATAATTGTATTCATAATTGCAAACGCTATGGGGCGATTTGACGAGTTATGACTCAAAACATTTAATTCAACATTTATGAACGGGACCTGCCCACCAGCCTTAGTACTGTCATCGTGCAAAGTTTCGCGCGCAGACGTGCATCGCGCGCGGAGGAGTAGTGTTTCGCGCGTACACTTTTGTAGGGCTATGTGTTCTTCGTCACGAGTATTTTTTTGTGTGTTTTTATCGAATTTATACGTACGGAAGTACAATAATGTACGAAAGTACTTATCCTTCGTACGAAAGTACTTTAGTACTTCCGTAGAGGACTACGTGTACATACAACTACGATGTACCTTCGTATTGTACATGTATGCTTAATACCTTTCGAAGGTACTTTCGTACAAAGTACGAAAGTACGAAAGTAGGTACTTTCGTACAAAGTACGAAAGTACGAAAGTAATTTTTAATATCAGCCCTACATTTCGTATGCACATTCAGTCATCTCGGAAAATGCTCATAGGACGTCACTGACTGATCAATCTGAAGATCTGCCGGAACGGGGGCTGTCGGGGGGAGTCACTCAGCATCGCATCCTATGGGCATTTTCGTGTGACTTTTTGGTTTTTTCCCTACCGGGGGTCGAGCAGGGGTAGTATTGTTGGGGTCTGACTAGACTATTCCGAAGCTCACCTTCGGCTTCACGAATGGAGCAGAAGTATATTTGCACTCATAGTCTCATAAGTCAACTTGCCTTATTCGTACAAGTCAAATACAACTTTGTAACAACAAAATGTAGTGAAAAACCAAGTGCAAAGTCGGCTTTTAAGGTCACGCTCCGCTAATTAAATTTCCCGTGCCAAAAGTACGAAATTTGTATGCGTATTTAGTGAAAAAAAAGACTCCTTAGGGGTCAGAAAACCGTCTTACCGACCTTCTAAAATCGCGAAACTTTGTGAGGGCAACGACGGCGTGATGGACACCATCGTGACGAGGTTTCAAATCGATCGACGCCGCTACGACGCGTGGGCGCGCGCAAAAGTACGTTTTTGCGATTTAGACAAATACGCATACAAATTTCGTACTTTTGGCACGGGAAATTTCATTACCGGAGCGTGACCTTAACTGCAATATGTTAGCGGATAACGTCACTTGTCTCGTCATTCTGTGGACACGGTGCAGTCCATCCAGCACCACTGGTAAGTGTCGTAGACAAAGAACCTGGGAGTTGTGGTCCACTGTATCCATATTTTGAAACTATCCTTTCGTCATAAACATGTTCAGCATCATTTTTCAGCTCGTTCGGAGTTAAGCGATGTTCAATACCCATGCTGTCTGCAGCGGTAAACTTAAACTTAATACAGAGGAGATCACTACAAGATTAAGTAGGAGGAGCCGTTAGTAACGCACTTTGTAGATTCTGGATCGAAGAAACAGTTTTTGATGTCTTTTTGTTTGGAGCCGCCAGCGAAACAACCTTCTTGCTTTCCGTGCTCGTGCAGTCCTAATGCGTATTGTCGTAGGAATCTTAAAACTATAGATAACAAAGGTTCGTTTTGATCAACACAGCCACACCTGTCGCCTCTTTCGGGTCTGAAATTCGTGAGACGGCTCATATTTTGGTAGATCCTGAGGTGAGCACGGTATTGGCTCTTCCCAAAAATAATCTGAATCTAAAGCATCTCTTGCAGATATGCGATGAGTTGGATTTAGGGTCAAAAAACTTTCTACAAGAGATCGTGCACTCTGGTGACAAGAAGTAAGAACCGTTCCCTGAGTGACAACGTATATAAAAAAACAACCCTTGAAAACCGCCGGAACACATCTTGAACTCTACGTGGAAATCGTTTCTTGCCAACGAAAGAGCTTGCCCTAGTATACGGAAAAAAAACTTAAAAGGTAAGCACATCAAAATAATTGAGGCAAAATTAATGAAAATGTGCTCTCATACCAAGGAAGCAATTCAACCTCAGGCCAGTCCACCGGTACAGGAGAACCACAGAGCTTGAACATCAAGTCGAGCTGCTCCAACTCATTTTTACCCTGATCGTGGTTGCTGAGTCATTTCTATTGTTAACAGGTATCATTCAATTAATCGAATGGACAAACCGGTAAAATTGGCTTTCCAAGAAGTAGTTCAGCAAATATGCACCCTGCGGACCACATGTCTACTGCAGGACCATAAAACTGTGTCCCAAGAAGTAATTCTGGAGGTCTGTACCAGAGTGTGATAACTCTATTTGTTAATGTCTTACTACTTTCAGAGGCACATGACCTGGCGAGGCCAAAATCTGCCAATTTCAATATACCATTGTTATCTATTAGCAGATTTGATCCTTTTATGTCACGGTGTAGTATGTTGTTACGATGGCAATAATAAAGCCCTGTCAGGAGTTGTTTCATATAACACCTGGGCTGGCGAGATAGTAAGTGCCAGCGTTAAATTCAAACCAAATCCGAACACGCACTTTATCTGAGGCTCCGAGAACTTCATTCCAGGCCGGTCTGCAAGTCCCGTAAGGTCATGGTCCATGTACTCAAAAACCATGTAGATGCTACCCTTATTCTGGTTCAAAGCATGAGCCTGTTTGACATACATTTTTTTGTGTTGATCAGATGCATGTGGTAAACAGCCGAAGAAAGCTACAGGGTTGGAAGCTCGTCTCACCTTCGACGTCACTATTTCTTTCAACTTGATAACATTCTTATGATCCAATGATTTTAATATTTTTATTTCGCGTATAGCTGTAATTGGAAAACCTTCCTTTTCATTATCCATTCTGACTTTCTTTAGAGCAACTATTTCTCCAGTTGTGTTGCTTCGAGCCATGAAGACCTTCACAAAAAAACCATGTTCAAGTGCCAAATCAGCGTCAAAGAGCACGCGCTGCTCTGCTCACCTGGCCGTATGTACCCTCGCCGATTTGTTCCATTTTTTCATAGTTCTCCACGGAACGGGAACATCCGCTCCGCATAGTATCAACGAAGTGATGTGTTTGAAACGATCGTGGTAGTGTTGTTCCACCTTCTCGACACATCTGTAGACGAACACGATAATCTGGACTACTGTACGTGTAAACTGTACAGTAAGCGTACGACGAAGTGCACCGTACGTGTTGCACGTGTAACGTTGTACACGTACTTTCGTACGAAAATACGAAAGTACGAAAGTACGCTGGTACTTTCAAAGTACGAAGTACAGTCTAGCTACACGAGGTACACGTGTAGCTCTAGCTAGCTCTAGCTAGCTACCCTACACATGTACGTGTACACGTACAGTACGCCCTTTACGGTCACGCTCCGATAATGAAATTTCCCGTGCCAAAAGTACGAATTTTGTGTGCGTATTTTGTCTAAATCGCAAAAATCGTACTTTTGCGCGCTCCCACGCGCCGTCGCGGCGTTTGTCAATTTGATACTTCGTCACGATGTTGTTCAGCACGCAGCCGATGCCTTCGCAAAGTTTCGCGATTTTAGGAGGCCTAGAAGACGGTTTTCGGACCCCTCAGCGACTTATTTTAAAAAGGCTCCTTAGGGGTCGGAAAACCGTCTTCCCGACCTCCTAAAATCGCGAAACTTTGAGAGGGCAACGACTGCGTGATAGACACCATCGTGACGAAGATTCAAATCAATCCACGCAGCGACGGCGCGTGGGCGCGCACGAAAGTACGTTTTTTTGCGATTTAGACCGTATACGCAGACAAATCTCGTACTTTTGGCACGGGAAATTTCATTTATACTGGAGCGTGACCTTAACTCGCATAGCGGGAATTGACATGCATGCATAGGGCCTACAGTACGTGTAGAACCCTTCCAGCCAAATATCACGTATCCGGGCACTACTTTCGTACGTACGGAAGTACTTTCGTACAGTACGGAAGTACTTCCGGAAGTACTAGCTAGGCCTACTGTATTTACGTTGTACCTTCGTACGAAGGTACGAAAGTACGGAAGTAGTACTTCCGGGAGTGCTGTACGGAATTACTTCCGGGAGTACTGTACGGAATTACTTCCGGAAGAAGTACTTCCGGAAGTGAAGATACGGAAGTACTTCCGGAAGTACAACTAACGTTGTACGAAAGTACGAAAGTACCTTCGAAGGTACTTTCGTACTTTCGTACTTCCGTACTTCGGAAGTACTTTCGTACGAAAGTACGAAAGTATCATTACTTCCGGAAGTACAACTACTTCCGGTACAACGTAGTACGGAACGAAGTACTTTCGTACTTTCGTACGAAAGTACTTCCGTATTATTGTACATACACGTACAATAAATACTGTGCTTCCCCGATAGGTACTGTCTACCTTCGTACGAAAGTACGAAAGTACCTTCGAAGGTAAATCTTATTGTACAGTGTACGTTGTAGTCTAAATAGTACGTACGGAAGTACGTGTACTTTCGTACTTTCGTATTATCTTATCTATTATGGTTAGGTGGGCGTATTGCTGTGGTTTTATTGTCATAGGACGCGATGCTGAGTGACTCTCTACAGTAGTCCTCTCTTGGTTGGGAACTGCCAGTCATTCTGTTCAGGTAATACTCAAGTGCCTTCGGCTTCGCCGTCGGTAGTTGGGAGAAGGGGCACGGCAGGGTATTTAGTCTGATAAGTACGGAAGTTCGTGTATTGGTTTAAAAATGGTTTTCATCTGAAGAGTTCATCTTCAGGTCCCGTGTGCATACGAAACTCCAAACGCATTTGATAGGCTGAAATTTTCGTGCCTAGGTCCGGGAAAAACCCCAAATATTGTAGCCTCGCTCTCTTGAATCGATGTTACCTTCGTACCTCCGTGCATTTATGGAACTAATTTCGGAATAATGTTCGACAGGTGAGTTAACTCTCATGCATGATGGCCTGTCCTATTCTTGAACTCCACTATGACGAGAACGCGCTCAGACGACAGCAGCGCCGTGTTAGGCAATCACACAGTAATATCACGTAGATATTTCAGCTGACCAGCCACCGGGCGAGCTAGGAGACGAGAACGATGTGCGCCGTCGCACTGTGCAAACTTGATCTGTGTCGTTCAAAACATTTCTGACAATCCGCGAGGGGAGGGGCGCGACCGGGCACGCGCTCGAATGGGAAACTAGAATGGGCGCTGCGCGGGCTGCGCGAGCGACATCTTACGCGCGCTTCCCTTAAAACTCGTCGTCGTCCAATATGTGCATGACGAGCTCCTCCGCATCCGCGTCATTCAAAGTCTTTCGACTCGATTTCGCCGGCGTCTTTCCGCCCGCAGCATACCGCATCGCGACGACGGCCTCGTTGTGCGTGTCCAAACAAAACGCGATCCTCGCGTGAAATGCTTCTTGCGGCGCTGTCGTCCCGTACACGTCACTGATGTCTTTACTGTACATGATCTGCGCGTCGTGGTCTATCATTGCGTCGATGCCGCCGTCGCGAACCGCCTTCGCGACAACCCACTCGACGTCGTCATCTTTCCCGAGACCGAGCTTGGACGCCACGTCCGTGAGGTGAATCTTTGTGTACGCGAGAGAAATTCTTCGTAGGCCGACACGGATGACGTTCCGTCGCAGGCGAACGACAAGATTCGTGGTTTTGTCGCACGTGAACACGTGTTCGTGCGCGCCCGCAACGACGCGGAACTTCTCGAGGTCCCCCAACCGCACGGCATTCGCAAGGTCGAGGTACGGTCGCAGTGCAGCAGCGGTGACACCGCCGCCATAAGTGAGGTCCTTCTTGTCCGGGATTTCGCCTAAGAGTAATTGAACAACGGTAATCCATTTCGAAAGCTCTAACGTGAACCCTCGCGCGAATTTCGGCGCTTTGCGTTGTGCCATTTGTAGACACTCTTTCGCTTCCGAGTACTCGAGCTGAATCGCGCGAATGCGTCCGAGGTAGTACAAGTACCTGCACTGCTGCTGGTTTGACCGAGACGCGGGTAGCGTCGCTTTCGAACGCAGCTTCTCCGCCTGTTCGTACAGGTTATAGTGTAAATAATTCCTCAGTAGCATGTTCAGCGAGCTCTCTTGACCGATCTCGTCGAACCTCGACGCGGATGTTCGCAACGACGCCAGCAATGCGCTTCGAACATCTGAAAGCTCCGCGTGCTTCTCATGGCTCAACGAGACATAAAACAACACGCGCGCGTCTAGCTGATCCATCGTTCGGCGGTTGAAAACCTTCAGGCGGTTCGCCGCGTCGATAGAAGCTTGAACGCACCGCGCGTCACCGTTATCCGTGAGGAACATCAACACGAGTAAATGCGCGTACGCCTCCACCTCGGGGAGGAGCGTCTGCATTGGTGTTGGCTTCGCACGCGGCCGAGGGATCGGCGTTCGAAGAGCCTCATCTTCGGCCTTCGAAACCTCCGCGCTCGCGTCCGGGACGTCATCTTCCGCGGGCGTTTTCTTACCGCGCGCGCTGCGTCGCGTCGGGGACTTTACCGGCGTCGCGGGCGTCTGCACAGGCGTCGGCGTCGGCTCGCCCCCCGCAAGCGCGACGAGGGCATCCTTCGTCGGAACTTTGCTGTGAAGCGCGGCGAGGAAAAAGTCCACGAGCTTGTGCGGCGTGAGATTCGCACGACATGACATCGTCTGTGAACGGGAAACGCGCACGGGGTGGGTGAAGGTGATGATTCGGCGACGACGTGTGCGGCGGAGACACTAAGCAACCACACTACGCTTCTTCGAACAAACGAGTAGACATTCGGTTGCGGTGATCTTTTCGTCGGCGAAATCGGGGGCTGCGCGTCGACGTCGCGCGCGGTGCGGCGGCGTCGAACGAGTTGTGAACGCCAAATGCGGTCGCGAGGTTGGAACGCGCTCGAGAGCGCGCGATCAGCGGCGTCGTGCGTGCGTCGGGTCAGATCTCGTGGGCGGTCACCGAACGGGAAAAAATCACGCGCGGTTTCTGAGAGCGCATCGCACCTGTCGTAGAACCTTCGCGACGAATCTAGGCTCGCCCTTTGACGCGACAGACTTGTCTAGCAGCGTGACGTTTGCGAAAAGCTGTGGCGGAAAAGATCGAGGGGAAAGAGGCGTCAGGGCCGGTCTAGGTCGGTCGTGGGACGACCAGGAGAGGACGGACGGGTGGCGAAAGTGAGCCCCGCACGCCGCGCGCGCGCGGGCAGGGTTGCTCGCGCACCACGTCCAGGACATCTACATCCGTCTGTTGCGATTCTGCGACGTCCGTTTTCGTATCTGATAGGCCGCTGTGCCTCATCTCGACGTCTTGCGCCCCCATGTGTGCGTTGATACCTTGGAAGGTACGTGTACTGTATGTTTGAACAGCCTTCGTACAGTGCGTGTACGTGTACGTGTAGTGGCCGAACAAGATCAAATTTATTTTTATTCGTAGTACATGGCCCTGCGTGTATACGTGTACGTGTACACGTACTACTACAACTACGAAGTAAAATAATTTTGGTTTTCGTGAAATTAATCAACTACGAAAACTACGAAAACTACGAAGTAAAATGATTTTGGTTTCCGTGAAATTATTCAACTACGAAAACTACGAAAACTACTCTGTAAAACCAAAACAGTTTTGACTATCTTCCGTAGCTACAAAAACTACTACAACTACGAAGCGTATGGTCAACGGTTTCTTATGTTCAATATATATAAATCAAATCGATGCTTGTTTCGTGGATACTAGTGTCTCAAATAAGATCCACAGAGCGTGTCATTTTTGGGGCAGACTGTAATGCCGGCATTTGCGTTTCATCCCTTACTCCTTCAGCAAGCTCATGACCCTCGCTCACAGGGGTGTAGCGTCTGCTGTAATTGCGTCTCAACTTGTTGTTCAATGATGGCGCTCCAAGCATATTAACACCGTGTCGTTTCAAGTGTCGTTGCTCTTGGCATAGTGCTAAGGGAAAGCACCAATGGTAAATACAAAAGTCGTCCAACTTCAGCTCGTCCCCATCGCAAAAGAACGACAAGCAAGAACAACAGCAGTAAGGTTTGCCAACGATTCCATACTTCTTCCTGAGTTGTTGTCGTCTGGTCATCCCGTAGTAGCTCACACCCCAGTGAGCAAGAGTAATAACAGGCGAAACGATTAAGGCCGAAATCGTGCTTAAGTCAGCAATTGGAATTAGCCAGCCTGGGACAAAACTGGCCATACAGTAAAACTTTATGAAGGCATCATCATATGATTCCGTTCCTACAGCTCGGACGTTTGAGGCAAAAAGAGCTGACCGACACCCGCAGCACCACGTTCCCATACAACATACACCACAATCCGAACAACAATTAAGCAAGCCGTCGCTCCATTCGTAATGTGGTTCGACGTCCACCTCAACACTGGGCTGGTTCGTCGGGTTCGGCGGAACCATTGATGAGTTTGTGAAACTCTAAAAAAAGTATCGGGGTAAAAAGTACTTTCGTATCTTGGAAGATACTGTTTTTACGTTATGATACGATAGCACAAGTACGCCAGTTATTTGTGGTGCTTTTAACGCCACTTTACACTATTTAACGATACAATAATAAGTGTACACGTACGTGTACAACGCGAACGTTACAGTGCAATATTCTATGGCACATACTACATAGGGCTAGAATACTTCCGGAAGTACTTCCGTACTTCCGTACACTACGTGTACAGCTGTATCTGAGTCACGTACGGTGCCTCGGCGTCGTCGCCCGGCGTGCCGTCGGGGTTCGTCGGATAGAGTCGTCCCACGCCTCCCCGCGCGCGCCCGCGCGCGCAAGTGGCGCGTCGCCCGCGCGCGCCGCGAAAGTACAACTTTGTACATTGCGTTTGTACACGTACGCACGGAAGTATAGATGCTTGTCTGCAACGATGAAAGCAAATACAATAGGCGCACACTGATAAAATGAGACGGTAGCAGCCTGATGTAGTGGATAAAAAAGTGAGGCCCTAGCTAGACAAACAACAAAAAGTGTCCGTCATGCGAGGTACCTTCTATGTTTTACTACAGTATGAATCAATAAAGATAAGCGTGTACAGTTTTTTCAAAAGTACGGAAGTACTGAGTTCTTCGTTCGTTGCGTATTCACTGAATGTGCACAGAAGGTAGACTATCTAGACGTGAGCTTACCTTCGAAGGTACTGTACTTCCGAAAGTACTTCCGACGAAGGTACAACGTTGTACTTCTGGGAGTAGCTAATTTTTATGTATCCTCTTCGAATAGCGTATGCCAAGATGTTCACTCACTCTCTACAATTTCACCGGCTCACCTGTATTTTGCTCTCGATGCCATTTGAGAGCAAGCTGATTAACAAGAAGTCCCATCGCAAGAGCATCATCAACCACATAGGGAGTGACCGTCTCGGAAATTGACCTCATAGGGGGATATATTTCCGTAGGAACCAGTGCAAGTTTCGTGGGAAACATGAATAGGTGACTAAATGTCGGAGAGAGTTCAAAACATTGCTCAAACAGCTTCTTGCGGCCAAAAATGTAAAGCCCGAGCCGGGCTCGAGACACGGCAACGACAAGTCGCCGCACATCACGTATGTGGCCCACCGATTTACTTCTGACCAGCGATAACAAAACGTAGTCATTCTGCTGTCCTTGATACTCATCCACGGTAGTTATCTTCAGTGGATTGCCAAATAAAGGATGTGTTGCACAACGTCGGGCAACGACATCTTTAATTAAGTGCTTCTGACCACGATATGTTGTAATGATTGTAATTTTGTCTGCTGGGTAGCCAAGGAGTCGCATATACTGAAAAACACTAACAATATATTCTGCTTCGCCGAGATTTTGAAAGAAATGTGGAGTTGGCTGTGTTTCTCCCACACCATTGTAGTCATCAACATCAATGAACTGAGTCTCATGCGAAAAACCAGGATTCACAAGCTCAAATTCTCCACGCTTGGTGACAGGTAAGTCGCCGAGGCTGAGGTATCGCCAATTATACAATTGAGACAAGACTGGTCTGGAGCGACCCTGCGCATTCAGCTCTATCTTCGGAACACCGAGCCGTATGAGTCGCGTGAAGAGAGATTGATCCATATTGCAGAAGTTTTGAAGTGTCGAGTTCTTGACAACTGGGGGGAGCTGATGATGATCACCAATAAGTACCACTCTCTTAAGACGACTATGTCCGTTATCGTTTTTTTGAAGTAGCATGGGAATAAATGCCTGAATGTCCTGAATCTGAGCAGATTCTTCCATCACGAGGTTATCATACTTGAACCCTAAACGAATGAATTCGCTGTATTTAATAGCAGCATGGGTACACGTCATCGCGACGACCTTGGCCTGTTTCGTGAGCAGGTAGTTGGAACGGTCACGGTTTCCTTTGAGCAATTCAAAGGGGCGACACTCCTCCAACTCATAGAATATATTTTGTATGTATCGCATGCATGCTCGAGCTCTGTCCATGTCATCAACTAAGGATTTTGAGGAGAACAACGGCTGTGGTACACTTGAAAAGAACGCCGTGAAGGGGAAACTGCAGCTAACGAACTTGGGATCCTTAGATGCTGCCACATCAGATTCAAATATCTCCCAACGAGACAGCACATGAAGCAGCCAGAAGTGTCCAGCTGTTTCGCAGGTGTACGCCACGTCTTTCGGTTGGCCAAGACAAGATGCGAGCATCTCAACTTCTCTCAGAAGTTCAAGACGTCTAATGAGCATAGCATTGACTCGCCCTGCCCTCGAGAAGTCTAGGTCAGTGTCAAGGTCAGACTCACCTTGGCCCAGCCGAAGAAGATATCTGGAAGGGACATCGCGCATTAAGAGCTTCTGAAACAAGTCATTCAGAGCAGCGTTAGAATGAGTGATCAGCAAAGTTCGCTGGTTTGGCTCGTTGCAATACAGACAATGTAAGATCTGGGCGGCAGTGTCCGTCTTTCCTGTTCCTGGAGGCCCAACCACCATAGTCAGACCAGGTTGAACTCCGCTGGAAATTGCTTCCACCTGTGCAGGGGTAAAACGCACTCGATTCATGGTTAGGCTCCGTTGATTGTTTAAATCTGGGCATACATCCAGCGGGTTATACGATTCAACTAACAACGTTGCTCCAGTCTCAGCGCATTTTGAGCCCATGCTTCTATCGGTCAACTTTTTACTTTCACAAGGTTCACCTTTGCCCTTCAAGTGAATAGAACCTGCTGACGTTTGAAAAGTGACACGGCAAAAAAGAGGTTCAGTTGACTTAGACTCAGTCAACTTGATCTCAAAACCAGGAAAAGAGTCTCGCAAGTGGTTCTCATCAACAAATGTATCCTTGAAATCGACCGTGTGCAATCTGCAAGGAAGAGCAGAGCTTTGCGCTGCAAACGGGTCCCCATATCCTAAAAATATATCGTGCAGCCATTCAGGTATGACGCATTCGGTGTTCAATATATCTCGAATAGATTCAAGGAGTGCCTTAAAATTATTTTCCTTTGGCTTTCGGCGCACAAACACATTTAATTTCCGGTACACATCAGACTCTGGATTTCGAGATTTGTTGAGAGCATCAACCTGGTACTGGGCCGGATCTAATGAAAGTGTGAAAGTTCGATGGTCACCATTTTCTTTTACTGCTGACTTCCCGATTGTACTGGCTATACACGTTGATATATTTTGATGCTTTCGTGACTTGTTCCTTACCTCAATTACTTCAGCACCACGAACGAACTGAAGACCAAACATGTTCACTGTACTGCGTGTTTCGATCCCCATTCCTTGTTGCTGTGGTGCCAACTTCTCTGCATCTATTTCGTTGCATCCCTCAACGGCCAGGAGAAATACGACGTCATGTGCCCTGATTTGATCCCACTCATCCTGCGCAGATCCACACACATTGCTTAGATTAATTGTTACCTCACACGTAACCGAAGCAGGCTTTTCTTCCCCAACCCTGGGTTTCTTTACCTCTGTCACAGTCAGACCACCCGGTACCACAGTCGTTGCCATGCGTGCCCAGCCTGAAAACGCAACTGAATCTGTAGCAGGATTCTTGTAAGGGCCCATGCGACACAGTGCGTCAAAAATGTCCCCGCGAATTTCATAAGCTGCTTCAAGTCGGAGAAGAACAAAGTTTCTGAGGAGATAGTCTTGCAAGGTAAGGAATTGCAAACTAAGTTTAGGCAGCGCCAGACATTTCTCTTCTGCATACGTGGAAGTTGGTAGCAATTTAGAATCCAATATCAGATCCTCGTTGGGATACAATGGCATCTCATTGATCACCCGGCGCTGGGATACACGCTTTTCAAAAGTGGAGACAAGAACTTCGAGTATAAAATTAGGATCTGATGCCCATGGATCATCTGGATCAACTAAACGCAAATGCTCGGTTGCTAAGGAATACAGTTCCTTATTGTCAAGGTTAGCAAGGTGTTTGATCAGTACCTGGCGTTTTTCGAAAGCACCGCAGTGACTGAGTGCTACACAACGAAGACTTTTTATTTCTTTGAAACATAGTTTTTGCAGGTGAACCAACCGTTCACTGTGGGAGGTTGCGATATCTTCATCTGTAAGAGGCTTTCCGGTGTGGTCATTGATTTCGAATTCCTGGTATATTTCGAAGAGATTAATCAGTTGACGGTAAAGTTGGCCAGCTGGATGAGCATGAAAGGCTGCCAAGCGAGCTTTTATCAGAAGCTTGCAGTCGTCAAACAAAGCGCGAACAAATCGCCGGGTTGGAAGCTGTGACAAAAGGTCAGTGATAAGTTGAATGAATTGCTCGCAGTAATATATCGCTGGAATGTTCGTGACCGCTTTATCGAACTCGCCCTCTTTCAGCGTCCCCGCCTTCAGATTCATAGTAGTGCACTTAAGAATTTCAAAAAACTCACTGATCAACGCTGGCAACCAAGCTGATTCGGGGCTTTCCTTCAGAGATATGTGACCACTTCTCTGCATTGACTCAGCTTCTTTTTTCATGAAGTATTTCCAGTGCTTCTCCAGTTGGCGATTATTGCGAAGCTCTAACTGCAACCTCGTTTTGCTCAGATTTGACCAGAGGGGCAAACTGACAAAAGGCAGGACCACCGCCCTGATTTTTTCTGCCTCAAGGGACAGGAAGACGTGGTTTAAGAACTTTACACGAGCAGTTCTCTCGAAATTTTTTGAACTGAAGTTCTGTTTAGGAAACAAGATTCGACGAAAGAGTGAGTTAAACTTCTCAGAAGTAAATCCCTGGAGATAGTCCCATACACATACTTTCTCAAAATGCTTCTCATTCACCAAGAGAAGGATAGAAAACACGTGCTTATCACTAGAATGCACACCACTAAAGTTTACCCAAAGGTATTCAAGGTAACGGGTGGTTTGAAGTGATTGATATATCGCGCGCGACTCATTCGATATTCTGCCAGACGGATTTGGGATTTTGCCGCGCAGCTTCGTATCATATATTTTAACCATTAGCTCTTCGTCCCACTCCCCAGAAGCTATTGCCCTTTTCAGCTGCAATTTGATCGACTCGCTTTCAACCACATCGTCAACGTGTAATGATGTGACAGCCAGCGTTTGTTTTCGCACCTCACATCGAGTAGGTTGGTTTGAAAATTCATTTTCAGGATCGTGACTCTCAATAACCGACAGGCTTAGCTTGTTTGCGTTTCGCATCGGTGAGCTCGCTGAGGGAAGTACCGGAAGGTCAGGGGGAACCCCAGCCGTACAGGCAAGCGCCTCTTTTAGTCGTTTGACCAAAGCTGTCTTCAAACCTAGTGTAGGAAGGCGACGCCTCTTAAGCTCTGCTCTGAGCTTCGGAACTGTTAGCTTGTCAACATCCATAGGACCTCGTGATCGTCCTCGATCGGCAGTTTCAGAAAAAAGTATGATCTGAATGGGTTGTTCTCGACGAATCGTAATCTTGCACTCGTGTGAAAAACAATAGTCGCAAAGGAAGTACTTCCGGAAGTACACTACGAACTACACTACGTATAGCTGTACACGTACACGTACACGTACACGTACATACGGACTGCAATAGTGAAGACACAGATAGATAATAGTACAGTTCAGTGATATCTTCGTATGTATAGACGTGATACACGAGCGAGGTACACGTACACGTAGCCCTACCTAGCTAGCGCATAGACTAGTACGAAGGTATGTACATACCTTCGTACGTATTTCCGTACTTATTCTTACCTTGGCTCCTAGGCTAAGTTGACTTACTGTACCTTCGAAGGTACGAAAGTAGATATCACTATGAAAATGGAACTGCTAATTTACTGCTACTGTATCTACACGTACACATATTATTGTGTAATTTTTAGCACTAAATTAGCAACTGCTAAAATGGGACTTTTAGCAGTTGCTAATTTAGGGCTACAACGTACACGTACAGTACATGTACATGTACGTGTAGTGTACTGTACTGCTAATAATTTACCTTCGAAGGTACGAAAGTACTTTCGTACTTTCTACAGCAGTAAATTATTACTGCACGTGTACGTGTACACGTAAGCAACTTACACGTACTGTACTGTTAAACTGATATTTTTTAGCAGTACTACTGTACACGTGTACGTGTACACGTACTGTAAATAGCAGTAAATTAGCAGTTCCGTTTTCATACTATGCTGTATCTTGTATCTAAGTTGCAACTTATCTACTACGAAGACACGGAAGTAGAAAGTACGTACAGTACACAACTACACATAGGGCTACCTAGCTAGCTACCTTCGTACGAAGGTAGTACTTTCGTACGAAGGTAGATAGGCCCTAGCTAGCGTTTACCTTCGAAGGTACCTTCGTATGGTACACGTACGGAAATGGCAATAATGTGCTTCCGTATGTACGAAAGTACCTTCGTACGAAAGTACCTTCGAAGGTACTTTCGAAAGTACGAAAGTACGTGAAAGTACTTTATTTCGTACTTTCGAAAGTACTTTCGTACGAAAGTACTTCGGAAGTACGTGTACTTTCGTACGAAGGTACTTCCGTTCACACGTTATCCATATGTCTTCGGAGTGTAAATAAGAGACGGGCTCACTCCGAATATTGTTCGGGTCGCGGCGTTTCAAAGCCTACAACGTGCAGTGTATGTAGCTCTGTGCATAGACAATGTAGATCGCAATGTGGAAATTTGATCGAAGTTGGTGACTATAAGTTCTCCATAGACGGGCGTGATTCCGACGCAATCTCCACAGAATCACGCTGCAAGACCTCGCTTTTCCCACGCTTCGAGAATAACATGTTGCACTCTGCCTTTTGCATTTGAGCCTTATCGCGCGCTGTTCGCGATGCTGATCTATATTCTTTAGCTAACGCTTTCCGCTGCGCCCGCAGCGCCCGTTCGAATTCGCCGCTCAAACGATAGTCGTGTCTGATCGCCCAATTCACATCGATTTGGTCGAAAACTAAAGCGCGAACCTCAGTTACAGCAACCACCGTCACTGACGACAGTGGCGCTTGTGCGCTGACACCACGAATGACGTCGCTCGGTATCTCGCCGACTATGTTACCCTTTCGTCTCCGTAGCAAGGTGAGACTCTTATTGTCGTCGTAGCCTACCTTTTTTATCAAGTCACACTCACCTGCTGTGATCACAAAGATTTCGTCAGAGATTTCACCGCAGGTCACCAACCTTGCACCAGGTTTGAACCGCCGCTCCGGATGTTGCCTGGAAGATCCAGCCAATGCGTCGAGTCGCGTATGTAAATGATGCAGCCGAGCTGATGTGTGCGTCTTTTGACCTGTAAACCATGCATGCTCCAGTGCTTGACATGCCGTCAACCTATGCTTCGGGTTTGATTCAAGCAACCCGCTTAGCAAGTCCTTCGCTTCAGGGGAGACTTCGGAGTAGATCTCGTCGTGATCAAAGTCTAAATCGCACGATACGATGGCATCCATTAGGCTATCATCATCATCATCATCAAACGGCCACGCGCCGGTGAGAAGCGCGTGCATTGCCACGCCAAGTGCCCAGACATCAACACCCTGCCCATACTCGCCCACCACAAGTGCTTCTGGCGCTATGTAAGCTGTAAATTAAGAGGAGCAGGGAATAATGCAAATACATGTCATATGCATTGGTGATATTGGGTAGAATCTGGGAACATATTAATATGTGTAAATTTGTGAGATACGAGACGAAGAAAAGGCTTGTATGCGCACCCAAAGTCCCGCAAACATTTTCTGCGCGCTCTCGCGCCTTCAGTGCCTTCGCCAAACCAAAATCTACCAGTGTGACAGAGCTTAAGTCGTACGGTCTCGCTAGTACCAAGTTCTCGAGCTTCAAATCACGGTGCACCACCCCACTTGCGTGCATGTACGCTATGGCGTCAAGCATGGGGCACATCACCTGCCGTGCATCATGCTCGACACACATACCAACCTCTGTGATAAAATCGACGAGCTCTTGGCCGCGGAGGAACTCCATGACGACGTGCACAATGCATTCGTTAGGCTGATCTCGTGCTGTTTTTGACACCGATGTCGATGCGGAGGGAGAGTCCTCTGTAAAAAATTCTTTGATGGTGACAATGTTTGGATGTCCCGATAGCTGTTGCATCAAGACAAGTTCGTTCGTCACCTCCTCCATGGACATCGATGCAGTTCTGTGCGTCTTCCAGCCTTCACTTCCTTCCTTATTTTGGCTATTGGTGTCCTCACTGTCCGCATCGTCTCTACTACCAGTTGATATTCCGCATTCTTTACCACTGTCAAGTTTTACCCGCAACGTTTTCACAGCGAACGTCTCACCTGAGACTATGTGGATGGCTTCGCGTACAACTGCAAAACCACCCGTGCCGACAGGATCCCCAAGTAGGTAATCATTTTCAAACGGGCGATGACGATGAACTGAGCCGATGGACAGTACGTGCGCAGCATTGTTAAGCTCAAACAAGCCACCTGGGCACGAACGTGAACGACGCATTAAGCGCACCCTGCGCAAGAAGGCCTGCTTGCGCCATGGAGCGGCATCCTCGCCAGAGACGCGTTGCGGAGCAGGTTTGTACAAAGCACGCCACGCACACTTGCCCAACAACAGTCGGTTCGTGTGAGCAGCAATGATAGGGAGGCCAGGGGACGTTCCCGTTTTGTTAATATCATTGACACGATTGCCACTGAAGGCAATATCATTAAAGTATTTCGTGCGCATCACACGGAAGCCTGACCAACCTGAATTAAGTTGATTTCCGTTTGGCACAGAAGCAGAGGATAATGCACCGTTGCAGCGGTCGATAATAGCTTTTCCAATTGCAGGAGCGATCCCGACAGATTCATTTTTATGACTTCCATCATCCATTATGTACATACTTTCCGGAGACAACACGCTAGCGGTCGTGGACCTTTCGTTCGCGCATTTGCCTCGCTCATTTGCTGGGCTCAAGTGCAGCGCCGCAGGAATTTCAGTTGAATTCGATTCAGTGTCCACCTCGACGGGGCTACGGCTGCCGCCGACAATCTCAGCCAGCTGGATCAAATCTGGTGCCGAATCCAACCGTAGCATGTGGCCGCGCAGACTCCTGTTATCACCAACAGGTTTCAACCCGTCGCAGCCAGTCAGTTCTTTGCTGCCACGCACGCCACAGTCCCGCAGCGAAGCCCATGCTGACAATGCTGCCGGAAGCAGCCCCTCGTCTTTTGCAACACCCACCAGTTCCTCAAATCTTTCTCTTGCATCTGGAACATCCAATGTTATCTCCGTGAGTGACGTGGCAACGCGTGCGAAACCTTTTGCAAACTGCGTCCCACTGACAAGTCCTGTGGCGTTGAGATAGCCCAACAACCTAGTGATTGTCCGCGGCCTTTGCGAGTTGACGGCGAAACTTTCAATAGCATGTGTCAGCGCTCGACGAACAAATTCATGGTGGTAGAATGGTACACCAAGCTCTGCCAAGCGCCTTGATGCCTCCGCAACATCGCCTGAAGAGATATACTCCTCCAGCAAATTCCTCATTTCTCTACGAGCGGCGTCCGCTGTTGTTCCTTCAGGTCCACCCCATACCGCTCGGACGTGAGATTCACCCCCAGGTTGCCGGAGGGCACCTCTGGCGGTCACAGCCACCTGATGCGAAGTAATGTCGACGCCTTCTGCGTCTGCGCTGTCATCGAGGAACTTGCGGGATACGACTCCGTCAACCACTGCACGCGAGATGAAGTGCGACAGTTCGGTGGGCACGCGAGGGACGTCGATGACGAGCGAGTCTAAATCTTGAAGGATGAGATCAAAACCCGCTTCGAGATGTGCCGGGGCGATGACTTCGTGCACGGCGAGGGCTTGGAGGAACCGTGCAGCCATCTCACGCTCACGCGGTCCGCGGTCAAGAGAGGCAACGACGGCACGTTTCACCACAGCAGGGCGCGTTGTCGACGGGTTGAGCAGACGCGTGTGCCCAAGCGGAGTTGGGGTCTCAGCGCGGTCGAGCAAATCGAGGACGCTGGTCAGTACGTCAGCCATGACGCCGTGAGTAAAGTACTCGCGCACCATACTTTCGCACTCGCGCTTAAAGTCAAGCTCGGTCATGGTGCCTGGCATCTGAACTGTGCGCTCTTTCCTTGAGCTCTCGTCGACCCTTTTCCTGGCAAATGAAACCGTTGCAGTAAACGTGCGTCTTGGCTCGTCTCCCGACACGTCGTCTTCCCCGCGACGTGCTCGTCGTCGTCGTCGTCGTCGTCGTCGTCGTCGTCGTCGTCGTCGTCGTATCGGCGTGTGCGCTCCCCGCTGGACGTTCTATTCCGTGATCACGCGCGCATGCCGCGTGTGGCCTCCTTCGAAAGAGCACATATCTACTGTGCAATATCTCCGATGCTTGGTCGCCGGACGTGCACAAACTGCGGATCCCGCGCGGACGATGGTAGGGCGGGCGCGCTTTCAGTTTCTTTGAATATCAAGGTTACAACTTATTATCCGATATCACTGATATGACTGACAGACTGATACTGTACTGTACACATGTACACGCACGTGTGCGGAAGAGATAGGCAGCAGAGGGGTAGTCAGTCAACTCGCATCCTATGGGTATTTTTCGTATGACGTTTTAGGCAGGCAGTCTCATATTTCTCGGAAGTGGCAAGGATGCGCGCGCGTCGCCGGCGTCGTCCTTCTTCGCCGCCGCCGCCGACTCACCTCATGAAACGGAGCCATTCGCGATTCTTCTGCACCGGCGGCGGCGGCGGCGGCGGCGGCGCGTTGTCGTTGTCGTCGTCGTCGTCGTTGTAACCCGTCTATTGAATATTCCAAGGTTTTATTGCTCGGGTTATGGGCTCAGCTCGCAACGATTTCATCGGGTCGCAAATGCTCATAAACTTATCATCAGCGGTGCAATTTTGACTTATGGGTTGAAAGTTTTGATCGCCCCAATGAAAAAATAAACTTTATTTCTCTTGGACGTGGCGACGGCGACCGGCGGTCGCGGCGGCGGGAGGTCCACACATCGGTCGTTTTCCGGTGCAATCCGTTCCTCATGTGCGTCGACGACCCGCGCGCATCGCGCACGTCGTTTGCGACGTCGCATCTCGCCGTCGTGTACCGCGGCGTTCCGTATGACGTTTTGGTCATGATCGATTTGCATTTTTTCGAGACTAAAAAGTCTCGTGCCCGAATACGTCCCGTTTGCCCGGAAGGGCTGTGTAGTTACGCTACGGAAGTACACAATGATACTTTCGTACGAAAGTACGAAAGTACTTTCGTACCTTGGTAAGAAAGTAGTTTGAAAGTACACGTACGAGTACAATGTACTTTCAGGTACAAGTACAAAATCGTACCTTCGTATGATAGATTTACTTCCGGAGTATGTGTACAACGAACGTACGTGTACAACGGTTTTACTGTACGAAAGTACGAAAGTACGAAAGTACTTTCGTACCACCGAAGGTATTCTATTCGAAGATAGAATACGAAAGTACTTTCGAAAATAGATATTTCCGGAAGTATGGAAGTACGAAAGTACTTTCGTACTTCCGTACTGCCGTCCGTGTACAATACTCGTATCGTGTACGTGTACAGGCGCATGGTATACATTCAGTCTCATGTTCCCTTATTGATTACGAAGGTACGAAAGTACTTTCGTACCTTCGAAGGTACTTTCGTACTTTCGAAAGTACTTCCGGAAGTACGAACGAAGGTACACGTAGGCCATAATAGCAATTTGTGGGGGTAAAGTGCACGTGTTCTACGGCTGTTTTCTACGAATGATAAAACGATCGTTATTTTGTAATACTCGTACTCGTATAAAAAGGAACATGTTTGAGTTTAAGGTACACGTACACGTACACGTACGTGTAGTCCTCTACCTTCGAGGGTATAATAAATTCGAAAAAAACCAGCAAAAAAACGTATTCGTAACTAAAAACACGTACAAAAGTGTACGCGCGAGCACCCGCGCGCGAAACTATCTCCTTCCTCGAATGAGATCGCGACGAATTTTAGAAAAAAATCCGAAAACTGTATTCCCGTCTTCTTCCCGCCGCGCAAATGCACATATCTGTTGTCTAAAATCGCAAGTGGCTGCTGTGTAAAGTTTCAGGTCAGTCCAAGCTGCGGCGGCACATGGGGAAGCGCGGACGTGAGGGGGCGCGTCTGACTGACGCTCATACGAATTTTGAATAAAGAAATCGCAAATTAATTTGGCGAAACAATTTGGAGGACGTCAGTAACGAAATCGACGATTTCTATGAGCAAATACTCTAAAATTAATGCGACCCCCATGATTTTCGAAAAAAATTCATCTCCGGAAGACAAAAATCCGAATCTCTATGGGCAATTAGTACGGTGTGTGCGCGCGCGCGCGAGCGCCATCACGCGCGCGGCTGCGTGCTCCCGCGCGCGCGGCAGCGCCCACACCCGGTTTACGAACGCGCCCGGCGCCTTTCGACTCGTTAGACGCGAACGCGTCGCCTGGAGGACGCGGAGAAGCTCGCGACCCTCGAAACACTGCGCTCCCTATCAAAGCCAGGATGTTGACCCTATCAAAGCAAGGATGTTGAACGTTGAGGGGAATGCTTCACCGGCGGTTTTAAAAAAGTCGCTGAGGGGTCGGAAAACCATCTTCCCGATCTTTTAAAATCGCGAAACTTCGTGGGAACATCATCTGCATTATGGACAACATCGTGGCGAAGTGTCAACTCAATCGACGAAGCGACGACGCGTGGGAGCGCACGAAAGTACGTTTTTGCGATTCGAACCAAATACGCATATATTTTCCGTGACCGAAAATTTTCGCCTGCCCGCGAACAAAAAAACGGCATCGCGATCGTATGGCGCGTTAGTCACGGCCACCACCGCCGCCGTTCGCCCATTTTGCGGGGGGGGACACTCGCGCGAATCGCGCAGTCGCATTCTACGCGTCGAGGGCGTCCCGTTGATGTGATTTTCGGCGGTGTTCCGGCAGGCAAACCCGGTCAACGATCATGGGTCCCAGATTCGCCCTTCGTTACTGACGTACTACAATTTGGTTGAATAGGGCACCTCGTAAGTGCACTCTCGGTGGCCGCTTTTCACGTCGGCGTTAGCACGCAGCGAGACGCGAGCTCGCGCTCAGATAACAATCCTCCACGAGATACGACATCATGAACGCCACGCACGCGCGCGTCATGCATCGCGGCGTGCCGTCCCTCGACGGTTCCGCGCGTAAAGCGTACGGCGCCGCGATTCGCGTCTCGCCGTCGCCTAATCGCTGCGCTTCCGGCCGCGCCGTCAGCAGGACCGCGCGTCCGTCCTCGCGCGTCGTCGTCGCGAGCGCGGAAACGGGCGAGCTCCCTCCGCCCGTGCCCGCGATCGACCGCACGGCGAAGAAGCTCACGCTTAAAATCGGCGACTCCGAGGCGCGTCGCATCCCTCGCGTTCCCCGTCGTCGCTCGCCGCGCGACGCGACCAGCCTCGCTCGAGGAATCGAATCGCGCGCGCTCCCCGACGCGCTCCCCCGACGCGCGCTCGCGCGACGTCGACCGATACGCTCTCGTTCGCGTCCGCCTTCCCATCGAATCTTGCGCGCACGTCATGACGCCTCCTCTTCCCCCCTCCGTCCCTTCATCGTCGGCTCGCGCTTGTCCCGCCCTTCCACCCTCCCGCTCTCACTCCGTCGCGCCGCATCCGCAGGTAGTCGTCGAGACCGGTAAGATTGGAAAACAAGCAAACGGCGCAGTTATCGTGTCCGAGGGCGAGACACAGATGTACGTCACGATATGCGCGGGACGCGACGTCGTCGCGGACGGCGGCTTCGTCCCGTTAACGGTGAATTACATGGAGCGATTCAGCGCCGCGGGGAGGACGAGCGGCGGGTACCGAAAACGCGATGGCGGCGTCCGTGAACACGAGACTTTAATCGGACGGCTCGTGGATCGACCGCTTCGACCGATGATCCCGAAAGCGTGGGCGTACGAGACGCAGATCCTGCAGTGGGTCCTATCATACGACGGTAACCGAAGCACGGACGCGCTCGCGATCACGGCGGCGTCTGCGGCGGCGGCGGTGTCGGACGTGCCGCTCTCGAAGCCCGTGTGCGGCGTCAGGTGCGTTCTACACGTACACCGGTCCCCATACCACCGCGTCTGCGTGGTGAACGTCGTCGCTTAAGGACTTTGCCCGGCGTTTTCTCTCCGCACACCCCTCGCCTTCAATCCACGACCACGATGCCTGCCCTTAAACTCCAACTGACGCACCCCTGAACTCCACCCCGACGTCGCTTCGTATGGGACGACCCTCAGAGTCGGGTTCCTTCCAGGCGATGCGACGCCGATCGTGAATCCGACGACGGAGCAGATGGAGAACAGCCGACTGGACCTTCTGCTCGCGGGGACCGAAGACGCGGTGATGATGATCGAGGGGTATGGGGATTTTCTCTCCGTGGACGAGATGATCACCGCGATCGCCGCGGGGCACGCCGCCATCGCGAGCGTGTGTCGAGAACTCTCAAAGTGGGCGGCGGAGGTTGGGAAAGCCAAAGCGACGGAGCGGTTGCTCACCGCGCCGGACGGGATCTACGAATCCGTGAAAGCGGCCGTCGGCGATGAGCTCGCGGTGGCGATGGCGATCGGCAAGAAGCAAATCCGCGGCGCCGCCGTGGAACGGCTGAGGAGCAAGGCGATCGAGATGGTATCGGGGCTGGACAAGGAGAACGCCGCTTACAAGGTGCAACGCCGACAAAACCAGATCGGATCGTCAGTTGGTCGGTCTGTTGGTCGATCGCGCATCTCCCCCGCGTCGCTCCCTTCGTATCGCCTGCGCCCACGCTCCCGCTCGCGCGCTTTCGGCATCGCACTCACCGAATGGCCGCCGTCGCGTCGCGCGAAAGCGAGGCTTCTGCGCGTGCGGCCCAACTGCCGAGTGCGCACATGCACGCGTTGTTAAAACCGCGAGCACTTCGAACGCACGCTCGGCCTACCCTGGGGTCGCACCCGGGCACTTCCGGTGTCGTCGCTTTGCACGTGCCCGACACGTCGCTCGCGTGGCTTGTCGAGACTACTTCCCACATGACCCGATTCGCATGTTGAACGTCGTTTCTTAAGGACTTTTCTCCGATGGCCGCCTCCCTCGCGTCGTGCCCGCCTTTTTGAAAGCGCGTCGTGCGGTATTGACCTTCTTCTCGTATAATTTCTTTCGCGTCCTTCGCTCCACTCGCAGCCGGAAGACGTGCGACTCGCGTGCGAGAAGATTGAATCCGAAGCCCTGAGGGACATGATCCGATCGCGCGGAACGCGGCAGGATGGAAGAGATGTGTACACGGTGCGTCCGATATCGTGCGAAGGTGGTTTTTTACACCGCACTCACGGCAGCTCGTTGTTCACGCGAGGCGAAACGCAAGCGATCGCGGCGGCGACGCTGGGCTCGCAGTCGGACGCGCAGAGGTTCGATGGCATCGCGGAGATGGACGACCGCCGCTTTTATTTGCACTACTTCTTCCCCCCGAGCAGCGTCGGCGAGTGTGGCAGAGTCGGCGCGGCGAGCCGAAGGGAAGTTGGGCACGGGAACCTCGCCGAACGCGCGCTCGCGCCGGTGCTTCCCTCTAAAGACGAGTTTCCATTTACGGTGAGGTTAGAGAGTACGATCACGGAAAGTAACGGGTCGTCGTCCATGGCGACCGTGTGCGCAGGGTGCCTCGCGCTCCAAGACGCGGGAGTGCCGATTCGGAGGTGCGATTTCGTCGTCGGTTTTTTTTTTCGTTTTCGTCTCGTTCCGTCGTCGCCCTCTACCCTCGCTCCGAGCCATGGTCTTAAGAGCACTTTCCGACACGCGCACCTCAGTGGCGTATGGAAAGAGTTTGAGTCATAACCTGGCGAGAATCAATCCGGTCTCTCGCGCGGATAGGGGAACGTTGCGGGGCATTCGTGTCGAAACCGCCGTTCTCCGGAGCGCAGCATCAGTACATTCGAATCGAATGTTTTTTTTTTGTCGTTTTTTGCAGTCGTCCCGGCCTCGACGTTCGCGCCCTAAAAACTCACCGTCAAAGCGCGCCACAACATTAACGACAAATCAATATAGAAAAGTAGCTGGTATCGCGATGGGGCTCGTCTTAGGCGACGAGACCAAAGGCGAAGACGCGATCGTGCTCACGGACATCCTCGGAAGCGAAGACGCGCTTGGGGACATGGATTTCAAAGTCGCCGGCGACGGCGAAGGCATGAGCGCGTTTCAGATGGACATCAAAGTTGAGGGGATCAGCCTACCGGTGATGCGGACCGCGCTCGAGCGCGCGCGCGAGGGGTTGATTCACATCCTAGGCGAGATGGATAAAGCGGACCCATCGCCGCGGAAGGGGGGGGAAATGTCGAAATACGCCCCGAGGATCGAAGTCGTCGAGGTGAACACGAAATACATCGGTAAAATCATCGGCAAAGGCGGCGAACAAATCAAGTCCATTTGCGAAGAGACGAGAATCGACACGATCGACATCAATAATGACGGCGTGTGCGTGCTCACGGGCTCATACGGGTGCGACATGGCACGCGCGTTGGAGATTATCGCCGAGCTCACGATCGAGCCGGAAATCGGAAAAATTTATCGAAACTCGCGCGTCACGAAAGTTTTAGAGTTTGGCGCGTTCGTGGAGATCTTACCTGGCGTCGAAGGGCTCTGCCACGTTAGCGAGCTTGACGTCACGCGCGTCGCGAATGTCAAGGACGTCGTGAACGATGGAGATTTCATAGACGTGAAGCTGTTGGAAACGAACGAAAGAGGGCAATATAAACTGAGCCGCAGAGAGGTGCTTCTCGACGACGGAAAAGGCGGCGGAAGCGGAGGCGGCAGCACGCCGCGAGAAGACCCTGCGTCGCGGTTCTTGAGCGAGAATGGGCAAAATTTCAGCGGCGGGTGGGATTCTGATCGCGGCGGGGGAGGTGGAAGAGGCAGATCGTCGTCCAAGGCGAGGAGGGGGCGAACGAGGCTGCGGGAGTGAGACAAAGACGCCTCGCACGTTTTGCCTCCGGTTGGTTTTGTCCGTCGAGCGGTTTTCCATGGTCTCTTTATTCACGGCGACGCGCTCGCGACATCTGACGCGGTCACCGCCGCCGCCCTTTCTTCATCGCGTTTAGTTTGCTAGTGAGCCGCTCTCGCGTAGACCCGATCTTCATCTTTTTCGCCTTCGCTGCCGCAGCTGCCGGCGCTGACTCTGGCGAGACAACTTCCCATACACTCCCGTTCGAGTGGTGAACGCCATTCCTTAAGGACTCGCCGCCTCCCTCGTCCATCTTCCGCTTCGCCGCTCGCGCAACGTATCCGGCCGTCGTCTCTTTCTCTTTCCGAAGTCGACCGCGCCCGGGGGGGGACATCACATCATCGCCACCACCGCCGTCATCGCATTCGATGTCTTCCCACGACGGCGTGTACGTATCCCCGTCGTCGACCCCGGCTTCCGCGTCGTCGTGACTGCTTTCCATACAGCCGTCACCGCGCGTTGAACGCCGTTCCTCAAGAAGGTTCTCATCCTCCGTAGAAACGCTCACATCACTGGGATCCGCGCGGGAGTTTGCCGCTGTTGCACATTTCGTGAGACCTCTCTTTTTAGTGTCGACGCAACTCGGACAAAACCACTCGCTCTCCGGAACAGCCTTGACGTTCACGCAGGACGCGTGGTACACATCGTCGCACCCGTCGCAATACATCCCGTCGTCGTCGTTCACGCCGCAGAAGCGACACGCCTCCGGGTCCTGGTCGAGACTGGTCACCATACGACCTCCCTCACGTGTTGAACGCCGTTCCTTAAGAAGGTCCTCGTCATCGGCTTCTTCACGAGCGGACACCGGATCCGACGCTAGAAGCGTGACCGCTACCGTGTGGTCCGCGCGCGCGGCACGTGGACGCCTGACGTCCTCCGCGCACGACGGCTCGACGAAAACGCCACCATCGCTCTTCCCCGCCGCGTGAGCGATTTCGCTCGCTGCCTGTTGATCCACAACGCCGCTTGCGGCGCCTACTCGCGCCCACGAAGTCGAATCGATACCTAATCGATCGTTCTTCTTCTCGAGCTCCGCGGTGTTCGTTTCGCATTCGCGTCGCACCTTCGCCGCGGGATCTCTAAAATAGATCTCCTGGTTGCCTTTGGACTCCATTTTTTTGCTCACGGGCAAATGTTCAACCCCGTGTTCACGTCTTTCCTTCGAGATTCTGTTCCTGTACCAAACGAGGAGTTTACTCTCTCTCAGGTGCACGGGATCGACGTCTCCGAGGGTCGCGAGCTCATTCAACATGGACACCCGTGACGCGCGGTCGTGAAAATGTCCCCGGTGGTTGATAAAGTAAAACTCCAACCGCTCTCGTTGTACACTGTTTCTTCGCCACTGTTTTTTGCCAGAAGGGGGCTCGGCCCCTGCTTTCCCCAAGGGTTCGCTCGACTCGTTCAACCCGCGGGTCGTCTCCTCGAGATTTGAATCTGTGGCATCGACACATGTAGCGCTCGTAGACGGCTGTTTTATAACTTCCGCGTCGTCTGAACCTTCGCGTGGGGCGCTCGGCGCCGCCGGCACGGACGTCGACAAGTCAGATACCCACTTAAACTTCGCCGCTTGGGTGCTGACATGGGCCCCGTTCCCGCCACCGCCCGCGTCACCGGCGTTCGCACCTGGTCGCATCGCCGCCGGCGGTGGAGGTACCGGCACCAACACTGGCTTCGGTGCTCGGATCAGAGACGAGATCAACGCGCCGACTCTCGAGCCCGCGCCCGCGGCTGAACGCGTTGCGCCGCCTTGTATAGCCACGATCGCCGCCGCGTCCGTCGCGCGTTCGTTCATCAGCGGCGCGAGAAGCGATTGGGTCGTCGGGAGTGCAGGTCGTGCGATCCCGTTGTCTGCGTCGGAGTCGGTGCCATCGTCGCCGTATTCGCGTTCGTTCGTCGTCCCGGGAACCGTCGTTCTGGCAACCGTCTCCGTCTTCGACTTCGTCCTCGCGTCCTCCCCGACTTCACCGTCTTCGTCCGCGTCGACGTTCGCCTCCCCTCTCGCCGCTCCCGCAGACAAGCCTGCTTTCACTCTCCTCTCCGTTCTTTCGTGGCCATCCTTCTTCTGCGCGCGCTTGTTATCCTCCGCGAAGTGCGCGTTTTTTCGTCTTCTGAACGGCAAATTCGGGTTCTTCTCGTGAAACTCAGAAAATTTATCGAACAAAAGGAAGGCGTCCCCACGCAGCTTCTCGAGCATGCTCTGCGCGGCGCCGAGGACACCGCCTGCGCCGGCCAATTCGCCACGTAAACCAGGTCCGATGTCCGTGTGGTACGGCATGAACGGACACACCGCGAGGATGTTCCCTCGCGCGTCGTTCTCCCAAACCCCCGTGCGATCGTCGAGTACGACCGTCAGCTCCTTCGGCATCGGTGTCCCTCCAAAGGCACGCGATAACGTCTTCGTCTCGTCCGTGGGGACGCTCACAATTCTCCGTGACGTCTTTTTCGCGGGTATGAGCGCCCCCGACGGGTCGAGCAGCCGCCACATCTCCTCCGCGTACGTCTGACAGGTGTCCCATACAGAGCGATGTTGGGGTGGAGTTCAAAGACGTCAGTTGGAGTTGAAAGGCATCGCGGTCGAGGATTGAAACCGAGAAGTAAGCGCAGATAAACGAAGGCAGACGTCCTTAAGGAATGCGTTCACCGCACAAACAGGGTCGTATGAGGAGCGGTGATAGGACGCACCTTTTCACCCTTCGTGCATACGAACGCGTGGCATCGCGGCGTCCGCGGCGGGGGACATCCCTCTTCGGGCGGCGGACGCTCGGCGACGCCCACGCCGTCGAGGGCGCCGGCGCGCACGCCGACGAGGAAATCGAGCAAGCCGCCGTCTGTCCATCCCGGACGGACGTGCACGATCATCGACGTCTCGACGTTCATCGGGTCGATCCTCGTGAAGAACATGTGTCCGCCGCGGCAGTGAGGAGATTTCACGCGAATCACTGGTCGGGTGATCTCTTTTCCGTCGCTCGTCGTGATCGTCTCGTGATTCGCGGGGTATCGCTTTCCATCAAGCACGACCGCGTCTTGGCTCGCGAACATCATGAGCATCTCGCGGTCGTGAAGCGCGCGATCGAAGTCTTCCTGGCGGCGTTTTTTCAGCTCCTTCGCATTGTTTTTAATCACCCTCTGCGCTTCGACGGCGGTCGCGTTCAGACTAGGATTCATACGATTCGTAAACGTCATTACCCGCACGTTTGCTGCTTCATCGTTATCATCTCGCTCGCCGACGTACACCGCGTTCGCGGCATCGATTCCAGCCTGGGTCTCGTCGCCCGCTTTCATCGCCGCGTCTCTCACGCGTTGCAACGTCCCGAGCCTTTTTTCGATCGATCGAATCGTAAACGACGCAAGAAGCGTCTCGTCCAAGTCGAACACGACGACGAGCTGTTTACATCGCAACAACCTTCCAAGATAGAACGGCGCGTGCTTTTTCGTCACGAACGCGAGGAAGCCACCGTGCCCGGGACGGGCGTCGGTCGCGCGGTCAGTCGGGCCTCCGCGCGAGCAGACGTTCTCTTCATCGCCGCCTCCGCGCCGCGTCGGCGGCGGTGGCGCGTCTGGATTGACGGCGTACAAGTGAATCTCCCCGAGGCGATCGTCTTCCACGACCGCGGTCTTGTTTTGCTCGCGCATCTCCTTGTGAAGGCTTTGGAACGCATCCGCAGAAATCGCGTCCTCACCCTCTTGCGCGGTGGAGATGACGCGCGCCACTGGCCCGCGGTCGCCAGACAGCAGGTGCAGCGACCCGAGGAGGTTGAAATCCTCCCCGGGCTTCCAGAACTCGACGATGTGTATTCCCGCGAGAGGGGAACGAATCGTCGTGCGCGTCTGCTCGTCCTTCGAGTCGTGTTCGTCGTGCTGTTTTTTCGCGCTCTCGCCGTCGCAAGCGGCGAAGGTTACGCAGCCGCGAGGACTCTTTGCTCTGCGGTTCGTCTCCGCGGGATCAAGGGGCGCCCACGCGACCCGCATTCCGCACTGCGATTGTTTCTCCCGTCCTTTCACGGACAGCGTCGTCATGGAGCGAGGCGCCCCCATGGTCGCGTCCAGTAGCTGCAGGTGACTCAGTTTCGAGGGTGTTTTTTTTCAACCGCGTTCGTCCTCGGCGCCCCTCGCGCGCGATCTCGTCAGGGCACGCGCCACACCCCAGAGCGCGTGCGACGTGAGCGCACGGCGCGATTCGCTCACGTGAGAGGATCGCTTTCTCGCTCAGCGTGCGCGAGCGCGCGACAAATCGGGAGACTTCCGCAGCAAGTGCCAGACTTCAAGATACTGTATCCAAAAACACTGCCTGAGGTGCTACCACTACACGTGTACTGTACGAGTACGAATACGCGTACATGCATGAAATATTATTCGGTAAATGTACATAGGCCGTCTCTGACTAATTGCCCGTAGACCGGCGTAAATCTGCAACTCGGGCGGCACGGGGGCTATTCTGTCCTTCACAACACGTGAGCACGTTGGGATCTACGACTGATTGCCCATACGAGCAAGCGAATTGCCCATACGCGTATGACTATTTAATTATCGATCCCGATTTGCCAGGGAGTGGGTAACGGCGTAGTACTTTCTGTATGAGAAATAGTCTGAAAATCGCGGTGGTACCATTTCAACTTTTTTGCTTTCAGCGTTGATCGATGTATCGATCAAACCAGAGAATTCATCGCGAATTTTTCAAAGGTTGCTTGACCGAGAAGCAACTTCAAGCGCGCGTAGCTCCCTAATGCCCGCGAGTCCCAGCGCGAAATCACGACCGCGATGAGCCCTGATGAAGGCGATCACGGTGATGTGCTTTTTGTGCTGGGACTCGCGGGCAAACTTGCCGAACTGAAATGGTACCAAAACGTACGTTCGTTACTGACTCCCTCGATTTGCCCCCTCGCGAATATTATTATTCGTATGGCTACATGTACACGTACAGTACTACAGTTACACTGCCTTATTACAGTGTTCCTATCTTATAACTGTACGCTGTACAGTGTACACTCTGTTCTCAGCAGGGGGGTAAAGTTGTCGCCGGCGAGGCCAAAGCAGAGAGTGTGGAGGGCGTTCGTGTACACTACACGTAGTGGCTATCACGAAAGGATAGATAGAAAGCATAAAAGGATGAGCGTATGAGAAAATAGTCAGAGCGTAGTACGTTTTTAAAAGGATGAGCTCATCCTTTTAACTGCCGCGCGGCGGGAGGGCAGTCATAGAGGCGCGCGCCGCGGTTGCGACCGGAGCGTCAAAGAAAACATCGACTATATAGTGTAACCGATCTGTCCGGCGAGTTTTATACACCTGGGGCGCTGAATCAGGCCGTCCCGGCGCACAGATCCGTCGTTTGCGTCCAGGGCAGGGCTACTGTTAGACTGTAGCATGGCCATGACTGGAAGATCATTTTTTCTTTCGTTACCAAGCGCAACCCCCCCTCTCTGCGCTTCAACCGCCGCTCACGTCGCCGCGAGACCTCGAACATCGTCGCCATAGTGAGATGACTTGTGGGAAACACTGCGATGCGTGAGACGAAGCGACAGCACCACACGGATTTCTGTCAAAATTCGCGCGTTCTCGGTGCCTGAACGCGGCGGTTGGCTGGAAAAAAGGAATCGCGCGAGCACGTCTTCGGGTCGGTTGAGACACACTGCCGCGCTGTCGAAACGAATCGATCATACGCCCCCGCGCACGCGCGGCTTGCTCGGTCGCGCGGGAACGCGGGGACTCGATGAGTCGCAACGTGGGCGCGGCGAAGACGCGTCCACGTTCGTGAGCGGCCGCCGCCGCGACGCGCGCTGCCCGCGCGCGGGGCGTTTTGCGCAGCGTACAGTACATGTACGTGTACACGTACTGTAGGCAGCAGAGAGCACGCAAAAACGTCGACGCGGACTCCTCAACGCGTTTTACATTAGTGTACAGCTGTACACGTACACGTGTGCAGTACCTTCGTACAACGTACGAAAGTATCTATTTCCGGAAGTACGTGTACAGTAGTGTACGTGTACGTGTACAACGTTGTACTGTACAGTACAGTAAACATTTATTAGGGCGACGGAGCGGAGGCGCACACGAAGCTTCATTTATCGACCGAGTCGGTCAACTTCATTTGACAAAATACTCAGTATCTACTCACTTGGAATATTTCTTTGAGTAACAGGGTCTGGTACATACTGTAGAATACTGTACCTTATTCGTGTACGAAAGTACTTTCGTACAACGTTTATACAGTACAGTACACATAGAATACGCGTACACGTGTACAGCTGTACACGTACAGTAGGGCTGCAGTACACGTACGCGTATTCGCTCAGCAACGAGCTGAGGTGGTGTTCAGATCTCAGCTCCTCAAAAAGTGTCGCGCGAGGGTCCAGCCAGTACTCACGGTTCCGATGGGACCCCCCGGGGGGCGCGGGACCGGGCGCGGGGACCGGGCGGATGACACCGTCATCATCTCCGGGCAGACGCTCAAGCGCGTCCTCGACGCGGACACGAAGCAGTGGGTTTACCGCCCCATCGACGCGCGATCGGGGGAGACTGTCTCCAGAGAGGCGTTCGAGGCCGCGAAGCGCGAAGCCCGCGAGGCGCGCTTGGAGAACGACCCGAGGGTGATCGTGGATCGAGAGAAGCGATGGGCGGCGGCGCAAAGAGCGGAGATACGTGAAATGCGCGCGCAAGACGAGCGAAAGACGCGAAGGGAGCGCGTCAAAGGAGCGAAGAAAGAGCCTGGTGGCGCGTCGGCGAACGCGGCGAGGTGGAAGAAGCCGATCGCGACGGTGAAGCCGCCGACTGCGCTCTTAAGCCTACGCGAAGAGATGCGAATCGCGAACGCGAACGATTTAAGCAAGAAGAATCCGAAAAGCTACGCGTTCGTGAAGTCCGCGCTTGACGCGGAGGAGGCGAAGCACGACGCGAACGTCAAGGCGGCGAGGGAGAAGGCGTACCAGAGGGAAAGGACGAAGCGCGGCGTGCGAGGCGCCGCGTGGGGGGACTCCGAGAGTGGGGAAGACGATGCGTTCGCGTCGGAAGAGGAGACTGGCGTCGGCATCCGGGGTTCGCTCGCAGATCTGGACGATCCGGATTACCGACGCTCGTCTCTTCCGCCAGTCGCGGGCGACAGCGGCGGCGGGGCGTATCCCGAGCCGCGCGGCGTTGGCGACGGCGACGGCAACGACGGTGGCGGTGGCGAGAGAGGACGCGGATGCGGTCGAGGAAGGGGCGGTCGAGGAATGAGCGGGCGAGGTGGTCGCGTGGATCTCTCCGAAGCGATGTGTGGCATGATCGTGAACGCCGGCGGCGACGGCGACGGCGGAGGGAGAGGGAGAGGGAGAGGACGTGGACGCGGACGTGGCGCGCCTTCTGTGGCATTGTTCGAGCCGTAACGCTCGCGAGCTCTAGCTAGGCGCTGTATATAATGTATGACTTGACATAAAACAGTACACATACACGTCGCCGCGTATGCGTACTGTAGCCCAAGAGTCAAGTGCTGTTATTCAGCATTCCGGCCTACCTGCAACAGGTACCTGCAACGTACGGAAGTAGTACGAAAGTACGAAAGTACGAAAGTAGTACGAAAGTACTTTCGTACTAAAGTACTTTGTACAAAGTACTTTCGTACTTTATTTCGTACGAAGGTACAGTACCTTCGAAGGTACTTTCGTACCTTCGTACGAAGGTACACGTGTATAGAATACTTCCGGAAGTACGAAAGTATTTTCGTACGGAAGGAGCAGTACAACGTGTAGCAGTACGTGTACACGTACCTCCGCTTTTTTTGTGTAAAATTAGGTGAAATAGTGTGATACTATTAAGCTTGACCGACTGCGTCGTTCAAGGTTCGTTTCACTCACCCTTAATAATATACACAATTTGAACCTAATTTTACACAAAAAAAGCGGAGGTACGGGAACATTAAAATATCAGGAGAAGGTGAGAAGGTCTCGTCAGGCGGGTTTCTCAAAGGTCTCATGTTCCCGTCGCGCAATATCCTTTAGGGTTTGTGGGGCGCGAAAAGTTTAGGGTTGGCGCGCACGGCCATTTCTGGTCTGTGGGTAATGTATCGCGGAAATCCGCGAGATATTTCATGGGTTTTAGGGGGTTTGAAGGATGTCTCGGGAGATCCCATTTATTTTTCGTTCGCAGAGAGGTCCCGGGGAAATGCCGTGCACAGTGGTGCCGACCGACCGCTGGTTAATTAAAGCACAACGTGATAACTACAAGTAGTTTTTGGTCTCATTTTGGTCTAAATGACTAAATGTATTATCGCGTGTTGTCTAAAAGGCCCATAACCTTACGCAAGTCTCCAAAATGAGCCTTTGTTTAAGAAGCCTGTTTGAGACCTTTTTGAAGACCCCTCGCGGCCGCAACCTTCATGGACTTCTATAGAACCCTGTGAAATGTAGCCTACGGCAGACCCTCACAAAACCATATAGAAACCTCACGCAAGTTTCTGGGAACTTCTGTGAGATTTTGACGGGTGTTTGAGACCTTTGTAAGTATCGCTTGAACTGGTTGTTCCCATTTCGCGAAAGTTCCGTGATTTAGATATAGCTCCTACGACCTCCACGACTTTTTATAGCGCCCGTGGAATAAAAGTTCCGTCATTTAGACATAGCCCCTACGACTTCCACGACTTCCACGACTTTTTTCTGACTTTATACACTCTCCCCCCCCTATGCCCTCCCCTCTCCTTTTTTTTTTAAACTTATAAAAAAGTCGTAAAAGTCGTGGAAGTCGTAGGAGCCTTACGAAAATGAGACAGCACGACTTTTGGGGTCGCTTGACGAAAGTCGTGGAAGTCGTAGGAGCTATGTCTAATTTAGACCAATTTGGGGTTCGCTATAAAAATAAACCCCTATCTCCACAGACCCTCCACCGAACCTGTTTGAAAAGAACTGACTGAAGCTGTTTTCAAACACACTATAAAAATTGGTCTGTAGACACTAAGAAAAACTATACAAACTACCACTGTTGATTTTTGGCGCCAAAATCTTTTTGACGATCCAACCGAAGCTTAGTGGCCTGCGCAAGGTTGACCTGCGTGTTTGACCTTTCAACAAATGGCCCAAAACCAGCAGTCTACCCGTCAAGGGTGCCACTCAATCTTCTCGAGCGAGTCAAATGCACAGCAAACACGTTTGGCATTCGGAAACCTCCACGGTGGACCTCGTGAGGGATCTCAAAGCGACCTTAGTTCTACTGACGATAGCAGTGATACTTATCTCTGCCGCGAGCTTGTCGGACGTGATTCTGACGCAACGTGCATTCAAGCGTACCCGAACCCGCGCAGTGTAGAGGACGAGCTATCACTAGAAGTCGTCCGAGAAACATGCCGCGAGATCAACGGTCTAAGGAGAGGAATATCCCGACCAGGCAGGTTCGACCCAACGCCCGAAAAGCGAAAGAGAACCGTCACGTTTGAAACGTATGAAACGTGTCCTTGCAGTATATGCGGTATTGTAGACGCAGGCGAAGGCCTGGTTTGTGAAGTCTGCGATAAGCTTGTTCATCTGTCGTGCATGAAACCACCGTTTAGTTGTGTTCCTGACGGTGACTGGCACTGCCTTCAGTGCCGAGAACAGTTTGACTTTACAAATTTTGGGGTGCAGGCACCGTGCATGCTTTGTGGTGTAGCTGACGACAGAGACGGCCTGGTGTGTGATAGGTGTGATACCGTGTATCATCACGAATGTCTCGGTGACACTGTCGCAGCATACGCTTCGGAAAAGTGGTTCTGCAGCTCTTGTCATGACGAAGCTTATCGTGATAAGAAGTTATCTTCTTTCACGAGTCGCCTATGGGAGGGTCTTGATGGCCAGACCGGGCCTGCGTCACCATGCATGAAGGATTTATTATCCGCGAACGAAGGCCCGTCTATCATTTCTTGGCTCAAAGATGGAGAATTCCAAATGCGCTATGCATTATACCTTCCTGTCGTTAATTCGGACCAGGTTTTTGAAGTTGTGCACGCTGCTTCAACGCCTCTGTTCCAGCGATCCTTTTCATGTATTAAGAAGAACGTTTTCCTGCTAACAGGCAGTCAAATGGACATACCTCCGCGATATTTGTGCTCAATCGATACCCCCCCGATGGTCACCCATGTTGGATATAACCGAGACTGGGCATTGCCTAAAGGTTGCGCTGCAATAGTTCCCATGGCCATTGACGTGGAATCCATGTCTCTCATCGATCTGCCCAAGAACATCCTTGATGTGATCTCACCGGACAATTGCTCACAGCATTACCCCTTGGCCGACAGCTCGGGCCTAAATGTATGCGAACTTTACAGTGGCCTTGGTTGTTGGCTAGATGGTGCGCGTCGCAGTGGAAAACTGAAGTTTGGCATGGCAGTCGAAAGTGATAGCGAAGTTGCGCAAGTGTCCAAGGACTATTTACAAGGTTGTGCAGAGATAATCAATGAAAAGGTGGAAGTTTTGGTTGGCGCAGAGGGGCACTTCTGTCGAAAGGGAAGTTCAGCTGAGCATGCACTGGAGTTTATATCAAAATGCAAGCTCGATTGCATCGCCGGTTCTCCACTTTGTGAGGGATTCTCGAACATGAACAGACATCACTGCAGTCACCGATCAAAGGAAAAGCGCTGGCATTTGAAACATTGGGGACAGGCGGTACTTAAATTTACGCCAGCATATGCCCTAATGGAAAATGTACCCGAAGTTACATCCGGCCGTAATGAAGAACACCTTTGTACGCTGCTAGCCCTTTTGGCCATGGCAGGATATCAGTTGCAGACGTACTTGCTGTCGTGCAGTGCCTTTGGGGCAGCCAGCAACAGAACTCGCTTTGTGCTGGTAGCAACACGAAGAGGTATTCCTGTTCCTCCATCGCCGAGGCCGACGCATCGGTGTTTTTCAGTACGTCGGCCAGAATGCAGTGGTGTGCGTTGGGCTCTTGCGAAGGGTAATCCGAGCGCATACGACGGGCGTTACGATGAATTACTTCCGACGGTCATGTTACGAAGGGTACTGTGTGATTTAGGGTCTCCAACAGCACCACCGCGAGATGCGTCTTTACCTGGCGATCTTCACGCTGAGCGGACAGAACATGAAAAAGTCAGAGCTCTACTCGATGCGCTTCCAATTGATGAAAATGCATGCTACGCAAACATCAGAGCGAAGATCAGAAGAAAATATCCCATCAGCCGTGCAGAGACTGATATGAATTCGGGCGCAGAAAAGTTTGCTCAGCTCATCTTCAGGCGTCTAAACCCAGACAGGCCAGCCTGTTCTTTTACGACGCAGTTCAGACCTGATGGTTTCCAAGGACGCGTTGTCCATCCCAAGGAGGCCAGGGTGTGTACTCCCGCCGAGGCACTCTCTTGTCTTGGGTTCGAGGTTTCCAGCCTTCCGCATGCCAAGTTGAGCATCGGCCACAGGTTGGCAGGTAACGCGTTTTCACCCCTTGTGACGAAGGCTATTTTTGACGCAATCTGTACCCCTTTGGAAGAACGCTGATATCTCAGTCTAGTTACGGAAAATACGAGCTCGCGTGCCTTGTAGCTTGAATTCCTCACAACTGTCCTTCTGGACCTTAGCCTGAGCTGTCCTTCCGAGCACGAATTCTGGCATGTGTTTCGAAAAATCGCATACCCAACTGCCACGACAGAGACAACGGTTGTTGGAGTCAGTCATGTTGGATTTGTTTGCGAGCAAGTCACCTGGATCCAAAGGGACATAACCGTTTCACCCCTGTCGCGCGCTTACATTCTCGAGATTTTTCTGTGGTGATATTCCGCGATGCATCGCCTTGAAGTGCCTCTTTACCTTCATCTTGCACCTGATCATAACAAGTGGCTCACGTCAAGAGAAGAGTCAGCGAAAATTCTATGGAGCAGGTACACTCACCAAAAGGTTAACGCGTAGTTCCCAAAGCTTTACTGCGGGTTCTATATCACCGTCGTCGTGTTCAATTCGATGTAAGTAGCTCTGGTCGTCGAAAGCGGTGATAGTCGCGGGATAAAACTTCCTATCAACGTGCCAATATATTTCTACACGCCGGCCCACCGCTTTTTCTCGCAGCAAGGCAAGTTGGGCGCTGATTGATCCTTTCTTTGCCGCTGAGAGTACCTGCAAGCAGTGGGCATTAATAAGTAAACGCACGAGTGATGAAGTAACCGACAAATACTCACCCTTAGTTGAGGACAGTTCTGACCTGATCGCACTCCTTTCAGAGGCGAACGTTTCTTTTGTCGAGTGCTTGCTCGTGGGATGTGACGCTCACTGAATGAATTGTTTTGCGACTCGTGCTTTTTCGACTGGCAAACGCTGCACACACCACAAGTCGCAATTGGTATCTCGCTCAAGTTTCCGATTTTCCGGCGAAGTATTTCTGCCTCCTTAGCGTGCAACTGACGTAAACGCATATCATACACGTTTTCAAGAGCCCCGTCTTGATTAACCTGCCACTCCAAAGCCATCTCTACTGCCTTTTTATACTTCGCTCTTGATGCAAGCAAGGGCTGCTTTTCAAGCTCATCGAAATACTCACGGAAGGGGAGTATTCCAACCTTATTCATCCACTCATAAGACTCCTCTGCGAAATATACAACCATTCTATGTGAATCAGACGTCTGACCGGGCTTTATCTTTTCTATCGCGTAGCTTGGAATAACGTCTCGATCCTCATCGAGATGCAAAGCGATTCCAGGCCAAAAACACGCCGTCTTGCTATTTTTTGTGGGGATCCAAACAACCTTACCGGCGTGCTCACCCTCAGTTTGCTCTGCAGAAACCTTGGGTTTTGGTGACTTTCTTTGTTTGGCGTTTGGCGTGGCGGGAACACGTATCCCAAAGGCGTGGGAGACAAACGGATCCAAGTTTATGCCGTGTTCCACAGCACGCGATACGAACCCTGAAAGTACATCGGGATCGACTTCTTGACGTGGTGCTGAAGACAGAAATTCACCCAACGGGGTAAATGAACAAATCTCTGGAGTCTCTGCCACGCGTGGCAGACCTCGTCTGCCACGCCATAATAAACCGCTTGGGTCACGGGTAGTGAACAATTTGATATTTTCGGGGCAAGAAATGATATTCCATGCTGCTGAAGGCCAGGCGTGAAGTTGAGTGTCGTTCTCGTGACTTTCTGTCGCAACACTCGAAAGACTGGGAACTGGCTCAGAAAACTTCACCCCTTCACATTCTCGGGAAAACTTTATCTCATAAGGGCTCAAGAGTCGTTGCCCTATCCAGCAAGCCTGCGGTACTGAGACCGCGCGGCCAAGCAATTCCATTCGTTTGATATAGCTCGATTGAGTATTGACCGCTCTCATCCACGGACGGCCAGGTATCTTGAGAGGGAAACAAGGCTCTGTCCAACCTACTGGGAAGCCACTCAACCGCTCGGCATCTTCGACCTCTAACCTGAAAGCACGACCATTACCTTCACCTAGATCTTCCACCATGCACAGACGTCTCCCATTTGACGCCGTCAACGTGCATGTTTCATGCGCTAGCGGACAAAATCGCTTCTCGGCAAGGTCAACACAGGTGACGGATATCTTTGGTGTGACATGCGGAGGTGTCATGAAGCAGTCATAACACTCAGCAGCAGATCTTTTGTCACCGTCTGTTTTGCTCACATCGATGCACTGTCCCTTACATATGCTCTCTGTCGAAAGAATTACGTCTCGAGGATCGCCATGGAGAGAAGCGACGATGAATACGCGACGGCGTCGCTGCGGTAAACCAAACGCAGATAAGCTGACAACGCGGTGGGCCCAGCTGTAACCCAAACTTTCTAGTTCTTGCACGATGTATGCTATCGCAGGTTCTTGAGGTGGATCACTGGCAAGATGCCACATAAGCAAGCCCGGAACATTTTCCAAGAGAACCCAAGGCACGCGAGTTCTGCGAAGCAGGCGAAAAATATGAGAACACAGTGCGGTGCGCATACCGTCTCGGAGACCTGGCCGACTTGGGTTCATCGTGCTGACGTCCTGTGAAGGCAACAGATAACGTGGTAATCGGGGAAAAGGAAAGAAGTGTGCCGGACCTCGCACGGGAATCCTGCAGCGAGCAATTGCGCTCCTGCAGGAAGGTCTGAAAGCTCAGCTACGTCGCGACGAAGTTCTCTTCCAGGAAAGTGCCGCTGTAACACCTGCAAGCAGTGAGGATCGTTCTCTACTTGCATGATGACCTCGTGCCCGGCTTCTTCTAGACCTAGGTCGAGACCACCTATGCCGGAAAACAAGCTGACGACCTTCATGCCCACGTTGAATAGCGAGTCCGTGCTCTATTTATAGATTGAAGGATAGGGTTTGCTTGAAGTCGTGCCTCTGTGGCAGCCCTGAACTCTGTTTATAGTTCTCGATTCGAATGGATATTGTTTCCAAAAGATATTTTTGTTGTTAAGTTTCCTCCGAGAACTCACTAAAGTCTTCCTGAAGTAGTACTGTCAAAAGTGCCCGCCACCACCCATGCGTCTTCTCGCGTCGACTACGCTAGTGATAGTGACATGTTGCGCTCTATGTGACTATGCCGTGACACTCGTCTCGCTCACGGTGAAAACACCAGCCCAAGGGCTCGCGGCACAGCGCGCATGCTTCCGAATAAGTCAAAGTCTGCTTACTCTCGACAGGCTTGGTCCCACTCGGGTATACGACGCTGTCGTGTTCACCATACGTGCTGTGTCGATCACCTCTGGTGGTATCACGACAGCAGTCTTCCTGACTATCTCTCACCTTTTGGCTGCGGCCAGCAGACGGAAGCACATGAGTCCTGAGGCGAAAAAGCTCGTCAGACTCGCGGGAGCTTGGCTGAATATGGCGTCAGTCACGTGGGCATTTATATCCTTGCTGAGGCACGTGCCAGGATTTTGCCCTGTTTGCGAGAAAAATGGTTCACCCGATGTCAATGTTATTGGTGGATACTCCTTGGATAAACCCACCACGACTGGCGGCACTCTCTCGAATCTTGGTTTGGTCAAGAATGCGAGGCGACGTCGTGAGTTGACTACGCTGCGCAACATAACCTTCATATCATGCTATGACGGGGATACATGTTTCTTTACACTCCCAGAGGTCGTTGAGCACGTGCCGGAGCTCGCACCTCTGTTTGGTGGTGAGTATTTCTAGCAGCATTTTAGAGTACTTCTGTCCTAATGTCATTGTATTGCGCAGCTCGAATTGCTGTGCGCATATATGGCATTGATTGCCCGGAGCTTGGGGGGCGTGCAAAGTGTGCGAGGGAAAGACAGCTAGCTATCCGGGCACGTGACGTTGCGGATTCCATGCTTCGCTCGGCGATATCCCTGCAAGTGACGGATGCACGACCTGACAAGTTCTTCCGCGTTCTTGGCCGGTTGATCCTGAACAATAGTGTCGAACTCGGCAAAGAACTGGTGCGCGGAAAGCTCGCCGTTGAATATTCCGGCAAGGCAAGATCAGGCGAGACATGGTGTATGTGAGCTGCGTAATGTTTACCTGTATTACTTTTTTCATACTGACAACACACCAGGGAAGACTCTCGTGCCTCTGACAAATTCAGTCAGGTAAACACGACTCGAATAGAAATTTCTCTCGTGGAGCGAAGATATTTTTACGAAAGGACTATTGCTTCTCAGAGACATAAAGATATTTTTACAAAAGGGAATATTGTTAAGATATTTATAAGCTTGCTGCCAACTCCAAGAGGCTCGCCTCTCACACCACGTTTACGCGACACGATGTTCTCTTCGCTTAAACCCCTTTTCGGTCGGAACGGGCGGGATGGACCACGCCCTGGTGGCGTAGGGAAGAAAAACGTGAAGTCCACTGAGACTTCTAGTGCCGACACACATATGGACGGTTCGTGGGGCAACAGCCTGAGCCCTGTCAAACTTGCAGCGGCTGCCTTCGCCGGTATAGGGGCGTACGCGGCACTCGCTCCTCATCTACAGGGCAAGGGTGAAGGGCTGATGCACCTCGAGCACGGCATCGAGTGTATCATTGACGGCTTGACCGGATACAAAACTGTTCTAGTGAAGCTCAAGAGGGGTGATTCTTCATGGGACCCAGCTTTCACCTTGCTAAAAAAGTGGTTACAGAAGTAGAGAGAGATACTCTAGGTACTCATGGAGCGCAGCGTTCCGGCTCATGTCTCGTTCAAACCACAGCTATCGAAGTCCTCTCTGACGAAGGGCAGCGTTTGACCTCTCATAAAGGTAACCTAGAGGAACAGAATCAGGTCATTGTTAACGCTCTTGAGATCATCGACTATCCTACCAAGACCGAGGAAATTTACAATCGATCTTTATATAAAGTTCGTGTCATCGACAACTCTGACACTGATGAGGCAGTGGCCCGCACACAACCATTGTCATCCCACGACCATGGGACTCGATTTGCTTCAAAGGCGTTGAGGTCCGCGAACAAAGATATCGATACAAAAAAGGATGAACTTGAAGAAGCTGAAGAGGTGGTCGAACCGGCAGAATATGATAAGGGTTCAAACTCTGAGAAGCTCATCAAACAAAAGCGATGGTATCCTAACAAAGAACAGCTTCGGCGACTTGAATTTTATTACAAGCACTCTCGTTCATCATTCAAGGACAGGGAAGGACGCACCCAGATTCTTGCAGAGCTCAGCAAACACGGTGAAACTAAAGGGCAGGCAAAGTTGCACACTTGGTCTATGAATCGCCGAGCAAAAGAGAAGAGGCAAGCGGCGCAAGAGGAGCTGGCGAAGATAATTGACGAGACACGTGTCAGTGTGCCACAGCAGCAAGCCGTGAAGACGCCAAGCGAAGGCGACGGAGCGATTGCAGAGTACTCGAACCCCGAGGCGTGTCGAGTGTGTGGTATTGATGATGATGACGGCATGTACTGCGAAAAATGTAACGGCGTGTACCACTTTGCTTGTCTGGGACTCGACGCGCCGCCCACCGATGATTATATCTGTCCATCATGCCAATAAATCTTAATAACCTTCAGGGGGCACTTTCTATAATATTTGCGATGATACGGGACAAGCACGGCGCGACGGACCTCTCACGCTATCGGAAGCTGGCGAAGGTCTTTTCAGGGAGCGACGAGCGTTCAGTTACGATTCGCATCAGGAATTTTCGTGCTAATGAGACTCCCTAAGATACAAACAAGATCTCTTCTAAACTCTTCTTCAAAAAGTAGTAACTTGTACAGACTTATACCAAAACTACTATGACTCGAAGGAAAACCCGGTGTCGAACACATAATTTACTGACACTACGCACGACAAGTGGGAGGGCGTTCCCTTTCAGGGAGCGACGAGCGTTCAGTTGTGAATATGTCAGCAACAATAAGAGCCACCGTGCTGGAGAAATTGCCGATGGCCAGGGAGACCGTCGCGAGGTCGCTCGAGGCGAAGCGGAACAAGCGGCCAGCGGATAACGCGCGTGAGGTTCGTGACCGCATTGGGTGGCTGTCGCCCTCGGCGGCGACGTATCTTTCTGAAAAGAAATTGCCGTGTCGATTTCTTCAATCTTCAAGCATTTTTCCTCGGCTTAGTCTCGGCGTTGCTTTGGGTCTGTACATATTGGTGATCACAAGGATATCACTTTTTACAGGAGGGTAAAACCGATTTTATGCTGCAGCCTGCCTCAGCATCCTGGCAGATGCCATAGCGTGTTCTAGACAACCCCTCATGATCACACTGCAACTCTTTTCCTTGACATCACAATTTCGAACTGCATGTGTCACGTTATTTGCTGCATAGCCCTCCATCACGGTGAGCGATCCACGAGGAATCACCACATTATGTGTTCTGTGCCCCGTGTACTGCCCCTTTACATTGAACGAGAGCACGCTCTCGCTATGAAATCTCGCAGATACTATGGGTCGCATAAATAGGCTCGAAGGATCAATATGCACCGCGAGCCCTTGACCAGGCATTGCATACAAATTAATCACGGCCATGTCAAAGAAATCCACACTGGAAACAATTTCAAGATCAGCTGCACGCTTGCAGATTTTAAGAATCCAGTTTGGCATAGGGGGCGCATCTGAATACAACTTTGGAACCTTGCATTCAGCACGGCCACTTCTACCAGGTTCTTCTCCGCGAGCAGGGCAATTGTTATAGGCGTAACGGAAGCCAAAAAATATCTTCAACCGCTTCAAGTTTGCACTCACGTGAACGTTTCTACGCGATACCGAATTCTGGACGTTGCCACGTCCGAGTCCTCCCGGCAAGTGTTGCTGACTACCATTGCAGGATGTTAAGTCGTCAACACAACGCTCGAGTTGTCTCAGCTCTTCAGTTGTAAATGCGTCTAGGTATTGAGTTATGCCGAAATACTGTCCATTTGAGCGAAATTTGTACTTCCGTTTTGTGATTTCGAGCTTCGAATTTCCTCCCAGCCGGAAACGTATTTTGGCATCGGTATGCTCCAAACCAGAACATGCAGTTTGTCTTGAAGTGCCAACGCTAGCACGAATCATATTTAGGTGTATTGGCGATACCACATATCGCGCAAGAACTTCATCCGGTATTTTACTGAATATATCATGTGAAACCCAAGCTTCGCGCATAGCAGAATCCATGCCCTTCGCCATGATGGTCATGATCATCTCATTTTGTGTGTGAGACCAAGACCGTTTGACTTTCCAGCCACACGGCGCGACCCTGACTTGCTCTGTCCAACAAACTTTCATCACCATTCCTTGAGCTTCACTGCACCATACCCTTGACACGCGGTCAATATTCTTTGCAAATGTTTTAGGAACATCGGCCATGGTCAGTGGAGCAAGTGGACTGGAACCTCGTAACCAAGTTCGACAGTTCTCACAAGTCCACTGTGCAGTGAAAAAATCATGTTTGTCACCGGGCTCTGCTTCTGGTGCAACACATTGCAAGTGCCACTTGTTCTGACATTCACAGCATTCAATCAGCACAGGGGCGCCACGTTTTGGCTCCCCTGGTGACCTATCAGAGAAGTTCCACTCTGTCTCGTGACATCGAGAACACACTGGATACGGTTGTTTTCTTCGCTCCCTCGAGGCCAGAACGTCGCTCTTCACGAACATTTCCTTTGTGGTTTGCAACGTTACACTGCACGGTAACGATGACTTTGACGAACAAGTTTTAGCCGGAGGGACATCAGCTCCAACGTTCCCCGTGTTGGACGCCGACTGAAAGCGAACACGATATGCATTGCTTTTTGATTCTCTTGAGCAAGAACCACAACTATCCGCCTTCAATAAAGTCAGGGCCATGGGGTCGATGTAAATACTTCGACGTGTCGCGAAAGGTGCACCAGGGTTGAGAAATTCAGTCCAAACGTTTGCCTGTCCATCAGAACTGATTGGAACTTGATAATCAAACATTGCTGCCCGGCAACCATCAAATATCTCTCCAGAACATATATAACTACCATGAACATCGTGCACGGACCTGGTTTGCATTGCAAGCCTTTCAACAACATAAATTGCTGTTTTGACCTGAAATGCTGCTTCTTCCACAGGTGTGTGCGAGGGGGAAGATGAATGTTCATGAGTGACCGCTCGAACAAGCACCACATATTTTGGAACAGACGTTTGACTGACGAGCTCAGTATGCGCAAAGAGCTTGTACCTGTACTGTTTGTCCAGCACACGACCACGAAGACGTTGGTCAGATGATTGCTTTACAAGGTTAGACATGGTCCAAATTTGACCGACCTTAGGTTCAACAACTGCAGCCGTTTGGCGGCCTGGCAAGAGGAGATTATCTCCACAAGAAGAGAACGTATCACGCAATCCAGTTTTTGTGCTCACTGCTCCCCGCAGAACTGCAGCAACAGACGCGCGATGAGAAAACATATCATCGCTACAATTCGCAATGTCCCATCCGCGCCATTTTCTGCCCCTGTGTCTCAGTCTTTGTACGGCGCCACCGCGGCCTTCCTTGTACCAGTGACACCCTATCCCACCAGTCGCACTCTCGCTGCCTTTTTCTCTGTCAAGAAATGCAACCTTCCAGCGAGCAGGTCGATCATTGCAGATGTACCGGCGATCATATGCCATGAGCGTTGCGTAAACTCGAGGCAATCCGCTTCCATCTTCGTACATGGCCCAGACATCGCCAACTTTGCGCTGCGCAAGTCTGTGTTCAAGAGCTTCTTCATGGATATTTTCGGGAAGTTTGTTGATAACACAGACACCATTTTCATCTACGTTCGCGTCTACGAAATCACGCATGTCGGCCTCGTAAAACTCGTCGCGGAATGTGCAAGGGCAACCGTCTCTCTCGTAAATACCCAGAAGAGGGTCTTGATCGTGATTAGAAAGCTCTTTATTTGATATTAGTTCATGTTGAGGCTCATCACAAGACATAAGCTCTGATGTTGATTTGCTACTAGCACCTATGCTTTGCGTATAATGTATTCCTTCTAAACTTCGGACCTGACCAATATGCGGACTTTGCCGGCGTGCCTGGTTTTGGGGTAATCCACCTTCAGTGGTTTTCCTCTTAGACGACTTCGTCTGCGGTGGTGTACAGCTCGTCGGCTCCGCGTCCTTGTGGTGTACGCAGCTATGTTCTATCCGCGGCATTCTTACCCAGGCGTTCAGAGACAATAAATGAAAGTTGGTCCTTGATCGCGCACCGGTGCGCTTTAACGTCGTCACTTCGTTGTTAAGAAGTTTGGTTTTTGTCCTGCTGGCCTTTTTACTACTACTCCTACTACAGTGACGATAACTGCAACTACTTCTACTGCTACAACAACTACTACTATGATAACGAAAGCCGTCAAAGGCCGTCTAAAAGTATAAATTATGAAAACTATCTACGATGTAAAAAACCAGGGCAACATTACAAACAAGGCTATGCTCTGCGGCAGAAAGTAGCCGTAGGCTCGGGATAGCCCGCATCACAAGGATATCGAAAATCCACCCGTCACAAGTTCTACCCTAAAGCTACTAACCCTGCTTGAATGCCGTTGTCCAATATACGTCAACCGACGCCTAATTTAGACCAATTTTGATAGTGTGTTTGAAAACAGCTTCAGTCAGTTCTTTTCAAACAGGTTCGGTGGAGGGTCTGTGGAGATAGGGGTTTGTTTTTATAGCGAACCCCAAATTGGTCTAAATTAGACATAGCTCCTACGACTTCCACGACTTTCGTCAAGCGACCCCAAAAGTCGTGCTGTCTCATTTTCGTAAGGCTCCTACGACTTCCACGACTTTTACGACTTTTTTATAAGTTTAAAAAAAAAGGAGAGGGGAGGGCATAGGGGGGGAGGGGGGGGAGAGTGTAAGAAGTCAAATAAAGTCGTGGAAGTCGTGGAAGTCGTAGGGGCTATGTCTAAATGACGGAACTTTTATTCCACGGGCGCTATAAAAAGTCGTGGAGGTCGTAGGAGCTATATCTAAATCACGGAACTTTCGCGAAATGGGAACAACCAGTTCAAGCGATACTTACAAAGGTCTCAAACACCCGTCAAAATCTCACAGAAGTTCCCAGAAACTTGCGTGAGGTTTCTATATAGGTTTGTGAAGGTCTGCCGTAGGCTAAATCTCACAGGGTTCTATAGAAGTCTATGAAGGTTGCGGCCGCGAGGGGTCTTCAAAAAGGTCTCAAACAGGCTTCTTAAACAAAGGCTCATTTTGGAGACTTGCGTAAGGTTATGGGCCTTTTAGACAACACGCGATAATACATTTAGTCATTTAGACCAAAATGAGACCAAAAACTACTTGTAGTTATCACGTTGTGCTTTAATTAACCAGCGGTCGGTCGGCACCACTGTGCACGGCATTTCCCCGGGACCTCTCTGCGAACGAAAAATAAATGGGATCTCCCGAGACATCCTTCAAACCCCCTAAAACCCATGAAATATCTCGCGGATTTCCGCGATACTTTACCCACAGACCAGAAATGGCCGTGCGCGCCAACCCTAAACTTTTCGCGCCCCACAAACCCTAAAGGATATTGCGCGACGGGAACATGAGACCTTTGAGAAACCCGCCTGACGAGACCTTCTCACCTTCTCCTGATATTTTAATGTTCCCGTACCTCCGCTTTTTTTGTGTAAAATTAGGTTCAAATTGTGTATATTATTAAGGGTGAGTGAAACGAACCTTGAACGACGCAGTCGGTCAAGCTTAATAGTATCACACTATTTCACCTAATTTTACACAAAAAAAGCGGAGGTACGTGTAGCCCTACGTGTACTTATTCGGAACGTTGTACGGAAGACTTTTACGGAAGTACGAAAGTACGAAAGTACTTTCGAAAGTACGAAAGTACGTACGAAAGTACCTTCGAAGGTTCAGACAGTACTTTCGAAAGTACTTTCGTACTTTATTTCGAAAGTACGAAAGTACTTTGCTACTTTCGTACTTTCGAAAGTACTTTCGTACGATAGTACTTTCGTACACCGTTACAGTACACGTACGTACGTGTACAGTACACGTACGGAAGTACAACAATGGAAGTACTTTCGTACTTTCGAAAGTATGATATTTTATTTCCGGAAGTACGTTGTAGGGCTACACGTACACGTACAACTACGATTTGTACCTTCGAAGGTACTTTCGTACAACGTTGTACAGTATGATACTACTTTCGTACTTCCGTCTGGTACTTTCGAAAGTATTTCCGTACCTACCTAGCTAGGGCAGTGCTACACGTAGGGCTACGTGTACACGGACGGTACACACGTACAGTGTACCCCGCACAGCGCACACCTGTGATCTCAGCCTGATCTCCGACGCGACAGGACAACGCGCGTGGAACGTAGCGAACACACTCCGTCTCGAGCGCGATGGAGGGCGGCGCGTACGCGCAAGGCGATCAGACGACGGAGCTCGAGTTTGAGAGCGCCATGACGTTCGCGTCCGCGCGCGGCTTCGAGCTCGGTCGCGTCGCGGCGCGCGATCGCGCGCCGTCGCGCTCCGCCGCCGCGTTCGATCGCAGCTCTAGCGCTCGCTGTTGTTCCACCGCGCACGCATCGCGTCCGTTCGCCGCCGCGAGCGCGTCGAACGATCGCAACGTCGGCGTGTGGAGCGTATGCAAGTCCTTGCTCGCCGGCGGCGTCGCCGGCGGCGTCTCGCGAACCGCGGTCGCGCCGCTGGAGCGTCTCAAGATCTTACAGCAGGTCGCCGGGAGCACGACGAAATCGTATAAGGGCGTCCTGGGCGGGCTGTCGCATATCCTACGCACGGAAGGCGTCCTCGGGATGTTCAAAGGGAACGGCGCGAACTGCGTGAGGATCGTCCCGAACAGCGCGTCGAAGTTTCTCGCGTACGAGTTTCTCGAGGGATTTCTAGTCAAACGTGCACGCGAGAGCGACGAAAATGCGCAACTTGGTCCGGTTACGCGCCTCATCGCCGGCGCGGGCGCGGGGGTCTTCGCGATGAGCGCGACGTACCCGTTAGATATGGTACGCGGACGGCTCACCGTGCAGGTGGACGGGAAAGGGATGAAGCAGTACACGGGGATGATGCACGCGACGAGGGTCATTGTGCGAGAGGAGGGCGCCCGCGCGTTGTACAAAGGCTGGCTCCCGTCCGTGATCGGCGTCATCCCTTACGTGGGCCTGAATTTCGCGGTGTACGGGACTTTAAAAGACTACGCCGCCGACTTTCAAGGGTTGGATAGCGCGAAAGATCTGTCCGTCGCGAGTGGGTTGGCATGTGGCGGCGTCGCCGGCGCGATCGGGCAAACTGTAGCGTATCCATTCGACGTGTGCCGGCGAAAGCTACAAGTCGCCGGGTGGGAGGGCGCGAAAGCGCTCGCGGAAGGAGAGCATGCCAGGCGTTTGTCGAACGTGCGTTACACCGGCATGATAGATTGCTTCGTGAAGACGGTGAAGAACGAAGGTGTCGGCGCGTTATTTCATGGTGCGTTCTCGGTCGGCTCCTTGACGTCTTAACTCGTTCTCGCGTCTTGACTTGGTGCCGTGGTGACCTGACGCCTCGTGCTTCTTCGAAACGGTGATTCCGTCGTCGTCTACCCTCGAACGCGTCTCGCCGTGCATCACGACTGAACGATGCGTCTGGTCCGTCACTTCTCTCTTTAGGCCTGAGCGCGAATTACGTCAAGGTCGCACCGTCGATCGCGATCGCGTTCGTGACGTATGAAGAGCTGAAGAAGCTATTGGGGGTGGAGCTTTACATATCGTCCGGGTGACCGCCGGTGACCGTCGCGTTCTGAGCGGGGGATGCGTATTCCTATATCACTATATTATTATTTCTGGCTAAACCCTCCGTCGTCGCGTCGCGTCCTTGAACCCGTGCTACTTGACAAACCGCTTGCACAGCTCCTTGAGCTCGTCTCCACACGCGCTCGTGAGGCGCTCCACTGGGCCGTCCGCAAGGGAAATGCATGGCGCGCGTCTCACGAATCTTCCCGGCAAGCGTGCGTCTGGGGGGAATCGCGTTCTATATTGCCGCTCACGATGCCGCTGGCGTCGTCCGCGCGCTCGGAGTGAAGAGAAGCCCGACTCTCGACGGCGTCGCTTTCACCGCGCTCGACCTTGGGTGCTTTTACCGTCTAGTTAGTTGTCAAGTCGAATCGTTTCCACGAGTGGTCAGGAAATAAACTCGAAGCACGCCATCCAAGCGCGCGCACGGACCATCAACACTTCACCGGCCGCTACTTCGCGAGCATCGGTCGCAGGTGCTGCTCCGCGAACGACGTGAACACTTCCATCGTCTCCGTCTCCCTCGAGACGCTGACGCGCCCTTCTCTCCAAGAGCGTTCTCGCTTCTCTTCCGCCACGTCGAGCTCTAACGCGTCGATCTCGTCCTGGACCGTGTAAGCCTCCATCTTCGCCTCGACGGCGTCGACGTCGCGCTCGACGAGCGCGCGCAGCGCGGAGCCGCCAGCGCGAGCGAACGAGCGCGCGACGTGCCTCGAGAGCGCCTTCGCGCTCGCTTCGTCCGCGCTACGAGTCGCTATTGCGGCGACGAAGAACCCTTCCTTCTCGCTCGACGCGACGGAAAACCAGGACGTTCGAAGGAACGAACACGAAGGCGGTTGTGCGCCTCCGACGAGGGAGTGCATCGACGCGATCGCCGCCACAAGCGGGCGTTGGACCATGCCGCGCGCGCCGACGGAGCGCGAAACGCGCGATTCGTTCACCAAGATCGTCGTCATCTTCGTGAATATCACAACGCCTAGAAGCCACTCGACAGAGGGATCGACTAGGACGGTCATCGCGAGCGCAACCCAGGGTCTCGCGCGGCAGGCGCTTCGAAAACGCGGGCCGGGGTGTCCTTGACACCCTGCCCACTCTCTGCGGGTTAGGGGGAAAATCAGTGCCTTCGCTGCCGTCGGTCAGGTAGTTGGGAGAAGAGGGGCACGGCGCGGCATGGTATTTAGTCTGGCAAGTACGGAAGTTCGTGTACTGTACTGGTAAAAGTTCCTTTTCTAAACGCGACAGAACGGATCCAGTCTCTGACTGAAGTGCCCATACGAAAGATCGTGACAGAAACGTGACACTGACAAATTGCCCATACGTAACCTGTGGATGGGCCCAAATTCCAATCCGGGCTATTTAGTGTGCCCCCGCGCGAGTACACGCGGTCGGTCGAAATCGTCGACCGAACTCGCCAATCTCGGTTCAAACTCCCCGACTCGACGAAAAATCTCGTACGAAAACGACCGCACAGCGCATTCAGTTCGGATTTTCGATGGGACGTACAAAAAATCGGGAGGGAACGCTTAAAATTCTGGCAGCGCTTTTAGTCAGGAAGTGACGTATCGTACTCGACGAAATGTGATTGTTTAGTAAATGTGATGGTTCACGTCAGGTCGGCGGCCGGGTAACGGGCTACAACCCTAAAGTCCTACACGTACAAAACCCTAAATACTCTGGATTAAATTACACCGCTAGATACTGAGACAGACTACACCCGTCATCGACCTGTGCTCAGGCGTCACGTCTCTTAGCTCATCTACGATGATCACTCCTCGTCTCCCAACACGGACGCGCAGGATTTTTTTTTTCCCGACTTCAAGATCGTGGAGTTGTTGAAAGGTTACGATTCTCGCATGACAGAGCGGGCATAAGTGTCGGCCACGAATGCGAACGTGCGATTCGTCGTGCGAGTAGTAGCTTCGTTAATAATAATAATTATTATAATAATAATAATAATAATTATAATAATAATAATTATATTAATTATAATAATTATAATAATTATAATAATAATAATAATAATAATAATAATAATAATAATACGATTTCTCGCTCGCGAATCACCGCACCGTTCCAACTTCGTCCGCCGCGCGCGCCGCTTAGAGCGGGATGCGCTGCGGGGTCCAGCAGAGGTTCGTGTAGACGCAGCCGAGGAAGCACGCCGCGATCGCGGAGCAGCCGCAGCCCTCGTGCGATCTCACAACCCACATCGGGCAGAAGGTCTTGAAGCAGCACTCCGGAGGGGTCTTGTATTGCTGTCCCCCATCATGATCACCTGCGGCTGCTGCATCACGGGTTGTTGCGTCATCGTGGCCTCGCAGACCGGGCCGGCGGTCTCCTTCTCGACCTCGGGGGCGATGGTGGACATTTGCATGTCGGACATGTTGAGCGGTGGGGCGGCGGCGTGAAGCGCGTCGGGAATGACATTTTTTAGATATACAAAAAAAACTCGGTGGAGATAAAAAAAAAAATATTGGCTTCCGGCTTCATTAATTTTCAGGTTATTTTCCCCCTCTGCTATCTGTTCTACCCTGTATCTGTATTAATCTGTTGTTTGGGAGAAGGTTTACCTTCTCACCATCTAGGCATTTTTCCCGACCTAAGGGACGATAATTTCAACCAATCAAATGCGTTTGGCGCCCCGTATCCAAAGTGCACCCCTTTGTTAGTCTTAAATGAGTACGCGAATTTCGTACTACGCGGAAACGGCACCTCGGGGCTCGCGGCTACGACGAAGACGACGACGTGAAGAAAAAAGGATAAGGAAAAGGGCACGGCTCGCGCACCACACTTCACCACGTGTAATACAACACACCGCCTTCGTGCCACCCGCGCATTCCTCCTCCACACGCCCTCCATCGCGCTACGTAACGCCCCAACGCTCGACGCGCGAAATGAGCATCAGGGCTGCAGCACCGAATATGGGCCCTTTCACCAGGTTAGTCTGTACGAACTTTCGTACTCTTCACACTAAATACGCTCCCGGGCCCCTTCTCCCAACTACCGACGGCCGAAGCGCCGGAGGCGCTGATCTGGTACGTGTACACGTACACGTACCTGTACGTGTACACGTAGTCTGGACCAGAGAGTGACCCGGTCGGAAGGGCATCAAGGAAGAGATAGATTTACTGTGAGGCTGCGACGCCGCTTGAGCGCACTCGAGCACGCGCGCGCGCATACGTTCGTTCCCTTCGCGCAATCTATATGGCGAGCTTCGTGATGTCCGCCGGCGCGACCGCGAGCGGGACCAACGCGCGCGTCTCGACCAACGCGCGCGTCTCCGGCCTCGGATTCCGTCGCGCGGTCGCGGCGCTTCCGCGAGTCACGTCCGCGCCCGTCGCGAAGTCCGTCGCGCCCTCCGCGGTGGTGACGACGTGCGGCAAGCCCGGGGCGAAGGCGAAGACGAGGAAGAGCGCAGCGAAGCGGTACAAGGTCACCGCGAGCGGCAAGGTTCGTCCCCTCGCATGCCGTTCTCGCGCGCGTCTCCGGATAGGTCGTTCGCGCGTTGAATAGGGTTCAGGTTTTCACACGTGGCGGACTATCCTCCTCCGTCGCTGACGTCGTTCTTCCACTCTCTTGATCCTCTCTCAGGTTCTTCACCGGCGCCCGGGTAAGCAGCATCTCAACGGACACAAAACGACGGAGCGTAAGACGCGCTTGAGCGGCGAGCGCCAGGTTGGAAGAGCGCAGATCCCGCTAGTGAAGGGTTGCCTCCCGTACTTGAAGTCGAAGATTCGTTGAGGGTTGTGAAGTAGAAGATTCGCTGAGGGCCACGACGCGGCGAAGGCGCCATAGCGACGGGTGGGTCGCGTGTTCGCTGTGCCCCAAGAGGGTGGATGGACGCGCGGCGGCCGGGGCATGTAAAAAGATCCAGCCCAATATATTGTCGCGGGTGCAGTGTGTTCAGTTCTTGGAGTTCGTCACAATTAAGCGGCCCCGCGATCTTCACCAACGCCGCGAGCGGCCCCGCTTCGCATCGAAAAGAATGGCAAGCTCTCTGCTTCCTCGAGCTTCCTGCGGGGCGTCGCGACTGAGAAAAACACGGGAAAAAAGCCCTCGTACACAACCCGTTGTTTAATCGCGTGCGCGTCACCCTGACACGTCTGGAAGAGCAACTCACGTCTACACGCACTCACGACGGCCCGACGAACTCCCCTAATGCACGCGCGAGGTCCTCGATCTCGCGCACGTCCACCCTCGTGTTCACGACTCTTTCACGCGCGGGGTGACCGCACGCGCCCCCGAGCGCGTGTTTCAAACAAAAAACCGGCCGGTTAAGATCTCTCCTTCCTTCTCGTGTGGTTCCTCCGTAAGGCGCGCCCTTCGCGCGATCGTTCCCTAATGCCAACGCCGCGCCCGCGGCGGACTTTCCCTGCGCCCTTGCCCTCGCGATGGCTTGCGAGAGCTCGATGTGATCTTTCAGCTTCCAACACGTTTCGCAGCGCGCGACCGCGAGGTACGGCATCGATTTGCACTCCGCGCACACGACCTCGTGGTCGTGAGTCACTCTGCCTCCCAAACAATCATCGTCCGCACTCACGCGAACACCTCGAGTCAGCGCCGCGTCGCGTCCGGTGCGTTGCTCACGCGCGATCGTGAAAAGATCATCGCGTATCATCCGCGCGACACTCGCAATCCACGGCGCTCGAGCCTCGTCGCTCACGCCGCCCGGGCTAGCGAATGATCGCGCGTGTCGTCTTCCGGTTTCGAGCAACACCCTCTCGTGAGAGAATACCGCGTTTCGCTTGAACGAGCTCGTGACATACGCCTCCACCGCGGCTCTTCCGAATGGGACCCACTCCGCTGTGCCGAAATTCACGGCTGTTGAACGAACGACGGTCGCACGACGGTCGCGCAGAAAGTCTTGATTGGTCAGCGACGTCGACGCGAAGGATGAACGACAGAGCAGGTTCACGACACGAACCCAATAGCAATGGCGACGGCGACGCCGCGGGTACCGGTTACGAGGAGGCGATACGCGGAGTGCCCTCGTCGAGATCGAGAAGATGGCATGGACGTAGACGAAACGAAACGTGCGATAATGGTCTAATCGCACCTTCTCCGACGTTGTACCCGTGCGAGAACCCGGCATGGTACGCGCGCGGCCACGTCACGATGAACGTCCCCGGTTTCTGCAACGTCTGAAATACCGGGACGCCGTGGGCATCGCGAAGAACCCCGGGGGGTACGAGCGTGACGAGTCGGTGCAACAGATCCGGGGTGTCGTGCACGCGCGTCGGAACGATCGTTCGCACCGCGCGTTCAAATGCGGACGCCGACGCAGGGGGGATGGAATACCACGTCTTCGGCGCGCCGTCGTGGAGGTAGTTCACACTTCCGAGGTAGTGATCCTCGACATGCCAGCAAAACGCACTGAACAGCATCCCGAAGTAAATCCATGGTCGTGTCAGCCCGGGAATGTCCCCACCGACAACGCGAAGTATGTTCGACGGGTGATTCACGAGCTCGCTGAAATCCCACGCGTGTCGCCGCGCGCCGTCCTCGCTGTCGCTGTCGCAGTCGCCGTCGCCGTCGCCGTCGCCGTCGCCGTCGCCGTCGCCGTCGCCGTCGCCGTCCGCATCCGCGCGACGACTCATAACATCGTCGCTGATTTCGTCGTTACCGTCGTAATTCGCTCTTGGATACAACCCGAACCCAGATCCGTACACATCCGCGTCCAGGTCGCTTCCATACTCAACGCTGACGCGTTCTGCGTTCGTCTCGACGATGCGCCAAAGCCACAGGTCGCGTGCGTGCATTTATCAAAGTCAGGTGAGTCATGGATAGATAGAATGTGTGTGTCATGCATAGTGAGAACGACTGTGTCATTCAACATTTGAAGAAACCGACGGAGAAACGGACATGAAAATGTCGCGTCATTGTCGTCGTCGAGACGAACGATGACACAAGCAGAGGGAAGAAGGGGAGATACAGGTAGGGACAGATTCAAGAGAAGATCCATACCAAAATTCTTCCTCCACCGCCCTTGCCCTCGCGTCCGCTTCCTCGAATCCGCGCTCTATCATCAACCGTTTCACCTCCGCGTCTAACGACAAGTGCGCGTGCATCCACGCTGCCGCGAATGAGTCCGCCATGGCGCGAAAACTCTCGCGCGTGTACCGTTTCCCGTCCTCGAAGTCAACTCCCTCTTGAAGGCGGTGCACCGCTTGGAGTTTCGTGTCGAATGGGATCTCGCCGCCGCCCGCGTTTGCGTTGAACGGCGGTCTCCATCCTGGGTCAGAGACATGATCGAAGTCAGCGTCATAGTTCGTACGGGACGGGCGCCGTCCGCGCAGGCGCGGGGGACGGGGAAGCGCACGGGGTGGAGGCTGGGGGACCGACGCTCGACTCCGAATCTGAAACTTCGCGCGTCGTCGTCGTCGTAGTCGTCGTCGTCGACGACGACGACGACGCGTCCGCGCGCGCGCGTCGCACCTTCCGGAGGGACGATTTTCACGATCCCCGCGGCGATCCCCTCGCTGGTGATGCTCTTAATGTACGCGAACGGGTCGCGGAACTGCTCCGGGGTGGGGTGAAACGTCGGGCACGAAGGCATACACGTCGAAGACGTTCGCTTTTGAAGTTTCACCGACGCTCGCAGCGCGCGCTGCACCTCGGCCTCATCGAACATCGCGTCGTCCGCGTCGCGACGTTTCGCGGGCGGGCGCGTGAGGCGTTTTGACCGCGCCGCCATCGCGCGGAACACCGGCACCCAGGAAACGCACTGAACGCGTGTCCATCTTTCGTTTCACCTTACTCGTATACCCACAACCTGGTCTCGTTCAGGGACGGAATTCCGTCCCTTTCCGGCGAAAAAACTGAGAATTTTGCCTATGGGCAATTGGTCACAAGTGCCGAATTTCCGCCGTTTTTCGACGGAAAATCGGCGGAAAATCACCAAAAAATGAGTACGGATCGGAAAACTACTCGTACTCCAACTGATTGCCCATAGGAAAAATTCTCAGTTTTTCGCCCGGAAAGGGACGGAATTCCGTCCCTGAACGGGACTAACAACGCAGTGAAAGTCGAAAAATAGTCAGATATACAGGTTACGAGTATCATGTCCGGAAAGCGTCGATTTCGAGTACGAGTACAAAAATCGAAATTTCGATTTTTGCTGGCTTAATTCGCCAATCACGGTTTAAAATTGAGGGACTCCAACTTTTTTGGCTCGACACCCCCCTAATCCGCGCGGGAACCGACGGCGGCGGCGGCGCGACGCGCCGCGCCGCTTGGAGGGAATCTGCTTCAACACCCAAATATTGGATGTGGCAAAAAAGATCCCCCTAATTCAGCGATTTATTATGTTTCCACGCCCGCGCCGTGCACTTTTGCTCTGACAGCAAAAAAAAGACACAGAACTCCCATACGAAGCTTCGTGGAACAAAATGGCCGTCCCCTCACGCGCGCGCGAGACGAGCGGGCGAGCGTCGGCGGCTTATGAAGTCATTTCACGGCGGGAGGAGTTGACCAAGGGGTGTTGTTCGATATCCCTAGGGTCTATCTGTGGCGCCGCCGCCGCCACCGCCGCCACCGCGTGTCCGCGTCCGCGGATTGGCCTGAGATTACCTCATTTCGGAGGTCGAGTACGCGATGAGATCGAGGAAATCGAGTGGGCACCTCACGCGCGCGGCGGCGGGTGTCGCAAATGAGGAGCTTTGAGGGTCGCAGATGGCAGGGATCGAACGCTGACGCATGTGCCGAGGTGCTCTGGGGTTCACGATCGACGCCGCCGCCGCCGCCCACGACGCCGCGCACCAACAGCGCGCGCCAAAGCTAAATCTGACTATTTTTCGACACTGTGCCCGGCCTGGCGTGTGACAACGGCGCCTTTCCGGGAAAATGTGACGTACGAAAGTACTTTCGTACGAAGTACGGAAGTACTTTCGTACTTTCGTACGAAAGTACGAAAGTACTTTCGAAAGTACGAAAGTACTTTCGTACGAAAGTACCACGTTGTAGGGCTACACACGTACGCTATCTTTCGTGAAGCCCTCTCCTATTAGAAGATACGCAGCCCTCGTGGGAAAATGTGACGTATTCGGGCACGAGAGTTTTTAGTCTGGAAAAAATGCGGTTCGCGGGTCGCCCTCATGGAAAAAATGTCCAGGGCCGCCAGTTTCAAACTACGTGTAGTCGGGTAAAATAAAACGTTGAAACCGCGTCCTCCCGGTGGGGAAATTCTCATCGGTGATTATTTTTCAGCTAAAGAGAAAACACGATTGTGACACCACCCCGAGCTCCTTCTCGACCCATAGCGTCGGAGAGACTCGATAAGGATAATCCGTACATTTACGAGTACACACAATTTATTTCAGGAACCAGTTGCTTCTATCTTTTGCGTGCGTGCGTGGCGGCTGCCGCCGGCCACCTCCTTCACAACCGAGCTCCTCGGCCTCCCCCGCTCACCGCTCGCGCGCGGTCGGTTCCGTGCAGAGCCTCCGCACATCGCGCATCATCTGTCATGGCGCGCATTGCGCACCTTCTCCTTCTCGCGCTCGCGCTCAGCGCGCTGTCCTCCCCTCGTCTCGCCCTCGGGGTGGACCTCTCTCTCGCGGCGCTGCACGCGCGCGCGGGTTGCGCGGAGCACACTTACCCGTACGCGTGGAGTGGAACGCACCCGTCGCACGCGCACGCGAGCGGCACGGCGCCAGCGCCGCATCATTCGACGCCGGATCCGCATCACGACGGCGGCGAAGAAGCGTATGTCGACGCGTACGACTCGCCCCCCACAGCGCCAGGGATAGACATAGTTACCCCTCACACACCCGCGGCTGTGTGCGACACGACGCAGTTCACGGAACAGCTGCCCGAGTTACTTCCCAGCCTCCCCCGTGCATCGCAGTGTCGTCGACATCGAAACAGTGTTGCGACGCCATCGCGAACACGGTCGGCTCGGACGAAGACGCTTCGCTGCCCGCGTGCCTATGCAACCGAGACGCGTTCGTGCTGACGGAGCAGCTCCTCGAGGACACCTTTGAGATGGATTCAAAGGGCATGTTGACGGCATGCATATAGATACACGACGTAAGCGTACCATACGAGTGCGAAGACGTGAAAACAACACGCGTCAGCGGACGCAGGCGGCGGCGGCGCAGAGTCAGCGAAGATGACACGTGGGTTCGCGAGCGGAGCAGACGCAACACTGGACGCGCTTGAGCCCGAGCGTGGTGGTTCGAATCTCGTTCACGACCTGCGGACCCGCGATCCCGCGAGAAAGGGCGCGTCGTGTGGTGATGTATTGTCGCGAAATTACATTACACCTTCATCAATTCCCTCTACCAATCGAGACTCTTCTTCCCTCATTACGGGGACGATGTGAGTCCTGCAGCGGCGAGCCCAGCCGCGGCTGCGCCCGTGGGCGTTCCCCGCAACCCGAGCGGCACCGCTTTCACCGGAGTCGTCTTTGGGGTGCCATCAGCGTGAAAGTTGAACGCCGCGAACGCATCATCGTCGTAGTCGTCCCCACCTCCTCCGCCGTCGCCATCATCCGGCTTATTTTCTCTTCTTTTCTCTCTCTTCGCCTGGCGCTCCTTAGGAGGCGTCCGTCCGGTGACTTCTACTGCGGGTTCGGAAAGTTTATGTCTCTTTCTCGGGCTTGGCGTTGACGTCACGCGAGTCTGGCGCGAGTCCGTTCGCCGCGCGTCGGCGTGCGTCTCTGTCGTCGCCGCCGCCGCCGCCGCCGCCGCTGCTGCAGCAGCGTCCGCAGATTCCTTGCGCTTCCCCAACACCCTCTTTTTTCGTCCTGATGCTACTGGCGCAGCAGCGGCTTCCATTATCTCCAAACTCTTAAGCTTCCATTCATTCGTCCGCGGCGTATCGTCTTTTGGCACCCGTAGCGGTGACAACGACCCGTCGCCGACGCCTGCGACTGCGGCGGCGAGGCGCTTCGAGAGCGTCGGTCTCTCTGCGCCATCGCATTCCAATTCACGGGCGCCACCATCCGCGAACGATGCGATAGTGATCGGCACGTACTTCGGCGGTCGACCTCGTCGCTTCGTGATGCCGCTCTTCGGAGGCTTTCCTGCACTGCCGTCGGGGTTAGGGTTTTTTGGCGGTCGACCTCGTCGCTTTGGCGGGCCCGCGGGGATTTTTCCTGCGCCGTTGGCGCCATCCTCCAGGCGAATCTTACGCGGTCTTCCTGCCCCTGGGCGTTTCCCTCCGCGTTTACTCTTCGATGCAGAGCTGCCGGTTGCGAGAGTGTCCGCGGTCGTCGCTGTAGCAGTTGTATCCGCTGGACCAGACGTTTCATTCTTCGTCCCCTCTGGCGGCCGCGGTGGCGACAGCTGCATGGCTGTGTCATTCCCTGCGTCGTCCACAGAACACTCCCTCTTCGCTTCTGCAGCACCCGTGCCAGGGATTTCCACGCCCACGTCAAATCCCGCCGCCTGAATCACTATATCTGCCGTTTTCGTCGCTTTTGCTTTCTGGCTGCCGCCCGCGGTCGGCGACGTCGCCGGCGCCGCGCTCACGATCGCCGCGGTGATGAGTGCAGCAGCATCCTTCTGTGCATCTCGTCGCTTCGCGTTTGGGGCGGCAACATGTGTTGCGTTCGGTGATTTACTTAACTCCTGCGTCGATGTGCGAGCGTCCTTCCTCGCAATCGACGATCTCTTTCGCGCGTCTGCCGTCGTTGCGGGCGACAGTTGTTCTGGCGGCTCGGATTCAGACGCGGACGGTACTCCGGTGGTGGCAGTCGCGTCGTCATCCGTGTCCCCTGACAATACGGCGTCGTCCAATGTTCTATCCGTCGTCGATGAATCGTGTACCTTTATGTTTGAGGCGCCGAACGCGTTCTTCTTTTTCGCGGCCAGCTTTTTCGGTCTTCCCGCGCTTGGAATCTTTTTTTTTGGTCTTCCCCGTTTCTTCCCGCGCGACGCCAGTGGCGCGTCGTCCGAGTCCGAATCGGACGACCCGGAGTCAGAGTCGGAGTCGGCGCTGGAGTCGGTGTCGGGATCAGAACCGGAATCGGAGTCTCGCGACGACCTCGCTCTTCGCTTTTCGCTCTTTCTGGCGCTCTTCTTCTTCTTCCCTGGGCGAGCGTGAGCGCGAACGCCACCGCCGCTCTTTGACGCGTGAACTTGCGATCGAATGCGGCCTCGCACGTTCGGCGACATCGGCCGCGTGTTGAACGGGTCTAACGCTGGTTTGAACGATCCCATGACCCTGCCCGGAACGCCCTCGTTTATCCAAAACGCCCTCGGCGCTCGGCGTTCACGCCTGCCGGTCGACTTCCCACCCAAGCCTCCGCGGCCGCCGCCGCCTGTGTCGTCCTCGACATTCTCGGCGCTCTCTCGATACCCTGTCTTGCGTGTCATCAGGGATACCACGACCGCGCGTTGTTGTATCCTAGACGCTGCCGCGAGTAGCGCGGCTGCTTCTCTACTCCCTTTCTTCGCGCCAGTCTTTTTCGACGGAGCCGTCTTCACACCCGCGCGAACGTGCACAACTTTGTTCCCGTCGTCGTCACTGTCGCTCTCGATTCGAGTCGTCCGTCTCGGCGCGAGGAGATACTTCGCGTCCGCGTTCCTCTTTAATTTCGTTGTTTTGTCATTCCCGGCAGGTTTGGACGCCGTCTCCGCGAGCTTCGTGAGAGGGTTGCTTTTGTTCGTCCTACCGCGCTTGAAATCGTCGCCGCCGTCGTCTCTTGAACCCCTCGCGCCGCGTTCTGACTGCGGGTCCATTTCCTCCTCGTCATCATCGAACGAGCGCATCATCGGTGATGTTTTCAACTTGAGTGGCCGTCCTCTTTTCTTTCGAGAGCCGCTGCCTCTCGGGGGTGACGGCGGCGGGGAGAATATCCCCACATTGGTGCCGCCTTCGCCAACTGAGCGTCGCCGAAGAATCAGGTCGTCCAGAGAGATACCCGCGTTCGAGGGTTCGACGCCGCCATCCGCTCTGCCACGATCTCGCCTGCCGCCGTCGCCCGCGTGAGGCGACCGAAACGACGGCGGCGGCGACGTCAAATTCGCGAACAACTCTCTTCCCCCACCGCCGTTCGGGGAGCGCGTCCTCCCGCCGTTGTCGCTCGCGTCGCCAAGCAGAAGCGCCTTCGACCCCGGCGTCCGCGCATTCGACTTCACGAGTCCGTTCGACGACCCCGACATTGGAAGATATTTCACTAATCCGTCGAACGCGTCGCGTTCGGCGCGCGTGGGCACCGGCGACGCCCTGACCATGTCCTCGAACTTATCATGCACCGCCCTCGCGAGCTCGCCATTGAGCCAATCCGCGCCGCTGCCGTTCGCTCCGATCGACCGGCCGCCGATATCGCCCGGGGCGATCATTTCGACGATGTCGTGGTGTATGCGTTCACGAACCGTCTCGACGACGCTGCGACGCGTCCGAGATACCCATCCGTCGCCGCGAGTCCTGCGAGTCATCGGACGCGAAGGGGTCAAGGAGGCGAGCATGAGCGTGGGGGTCGGGTTCGTTCGTTCGTTCGTTCGTTTGTTCGTTCGTTCGTTCGATCCATGCGAACGATGAGTCGCGACCGACTCGAGGGGGCGTGCACCTCGATGAACGACCGAGATGAGACGCGCGAGGGGTTGGAACCGAGCGGAAGGTCTGGATTGTCGTTTCGAATCTCGGCGCGCGGACAAGGACGAGACGACGCGATCGAAGGACGTCGCGACCGATTCGGCGACGGGCGGGTGTCGACGCGACGCGCGAGGACACGAGGACGCACTCGTAGGACGTGTACTCCGCGGTGTCTCCTCTCGCAGCGAGCCCGTCGGGGTTCGCAAACCCGCGCCCGAACGCGCCGGGGGCGTTCGGGCGCGGGAGCGATCGGTCGCTCGCGTGGTGGTGCCCCGAAGACGGCACTAACGCGAATATCGCGCCGGATCTGTCGAGAAAGCGTCGTTCACGCGAGAGTTGCGGGTGGTTTCGTGAGTCAAAGACTTTAATGGACGCGAAGCAGAGACGCGCAGGTGGATTTGGACGCTTCGAGCCCGCTCGGAGAGCGTCCCGCGCGCGTCCGGAAGAAGGCGGGAAGAATGTCGCGAGAAGACGACGACGACAACGACGCCGGGCGCGAACGTACCGCACGGGATCTGCGGCGCCGCTGGGGGCTTCATCGTTCCTCACGAGCGGCATGACTTCCCTCCCTCGTTCAAACGCGGCGGCGTCGGAGCTCCGTGTCTCGTACTGCCCGGTCTGCGGGAACGGCAGTTAGTCCGGACTGGCACCACATTTCCGGCCCTTTCGATGTGCACTTAAGAGACGGTAAATCTCCGGTGAACGTTTACCTTTCAAAATTTTCGATCGGTCGATCTGGGCTCAAATTCAGATTTCATCGCAAATCGATCTCATTTAGGGTTGCAGTCA